TTATCCAAATTTGTTACATTTCTTACTTCTTCACATGCACATTGCCTTTTCTTAACTGACCTATCAATTTTCTATTATGTCTGAACTTATTGATGTGTATGAGTTCCTATTGTGTATTAGGGGAACAAACAAAAAGAAAAAAAAATTAGTCAATGAAATAATGTACATAATTTTCGTTCTTTTTTTATGTAATTTTCATTTTAAATGATGAAGAAAATTAGCCATTCAGAAAAGGATATAAATGTGCTCATAAATGAAAAGTGAGTGTTTATAAGACTTGAGGAACGCGTTTACCAATCAATAAATGAAGACTAGAGAAAGACTTAAATGCCAATGAATGGCTCCTTCTTTTGGTTGGGGGAACGTGTGTGTGGGTGTTAAAACTCATTGGAGAAAGATTAGACGACTATACCACATCATGTGGTAGATAAAGTGTCAATTTGCAAATAACTTTAGTAGCAAGTGGACTACACTAGCCACCTACAGCTTTAAGCCTGATCATTCAGATAATGCTTGCATCCTCTGTTTTACCGCGGCTGCTAGCACAAAGAAAGTCGATGCTTTCGTTGCCTCTTCTACCTCCACACGACATTGCTCTGTCGGGCTTTCTCACGTTGCAGAGAATTCCCCACTACTGCCTTCGGTAGGTATGGGTTGTGTCTCAGTTTGTGTGGTTGATCTTCCTAATTGCCTTAGTTAGCTTTGCCTTATCAACTACCTAATCAGACACAATGCCCCTCATCAGATAGAAAGTTACTAGATTAACTATATAAGACTTTTAAGAGTTGTCACATATGATTATGTGTGTTAAACCCCTTTCAACCTTAACCCTATAATTACACAGAGTAACAAGTATTATTTATTGAATTATCGAAACAGTACAATATTCTCAACAATTCATTCTTGATACAATAATTTTCTAATATAGCTGTAAGCTCTTATTAACCAATTCGATTAGAAACTAATTTCTTAACTAATTAATTAACAAACTGACTATGTCAGCTCATCACTAATCTAGCTCAGCAATGATGAAGGTTCCTAACAATGTGATCAGCTGATGTGACGTAGTGTAATTGATTAAAATATAGTCATCCCTACCACCTCAAGTAAATCCCACAAGACTCCCATTCACGGAGGGGAAGAAATAGGGTGAATGCTAGCAATCTTTTCTCCAACCTTCTCTTTTGGACTTTCTCCCTTTTTCTCATGACATGTGTCACTTTCCTTACACTAAAAACAATGTAATTAATGCATCAAATAAGGTAACATTTGTTTCCAAATTTACCCTTATTTTTTTTATATTGATTTTAATGTTTCCTTAAATTTATTATCCAAATTTATTACAACTTTCTTATCACCTCGTTAAAAAAATTAAATAAGAAAAAAACATTAGTTTTTTTTTCTCTTTTTTGAAAGACTCCAACAAATAAGACTTACCTAATTAATGGTTTGAAAAAAAAATTCAGTAATCAGACTTACCGAATTAATGGTTTGAAAATGCAATAAATGAACTTCCTTTTAAAACAAACTTCCTGAGAATGACTCTTTTGTCTGTATTAAAAAAAAAGGATATATCTTTTGAGGATTTTTAAGGTCCTTACTGTGTTTTTTTTATAACAAAAAAAAACATTTTTCCTCTAAAAAAAAAGACATTTTCTTTTAAAAAACAGATTTTTGAATTTTTTACATATGGTAAGAGAGTTGTAAGAAAAATTGGATAAATTGAAGGACAATACATTTAATAAGGGCAAACTTGGAAACAAAAGGTGGTTTGTTTGATGTATTAATGTCATTATTTTAAGTGTATGGGAAGTGACACATGTCATGAGGAAAAGAGAAAAGGTCCAAAAAAAAGATTTGAGGGAAGGTTGCTTGCATTCTCCGAATTTTCACTACTAGAGAAAAGTGACGTTATTTTCACCCCAATATTACTTTTAATAATTACACATGGGATGAGAGGTTGAAGGGATGTCGCTGCCTCTCTCTTTTCAGTTAATTAAAACAGTAACATAACACGATAATACATTTCAACACCATTTTTCTCACCCATGCCATGACAAGTTTTTGGGTGCAAAGATTTTATTTTCTTGACAAAAATGAAAAAGTTCCTAGTTTTTGCTAATCTTTCCTTTTTATGGGTGAAAATAAAGAGAGAGAATTTAAACGTATGAGGAGAGCATAACCCAAACAAGGAACAGATAAAAGGGTCTCCTTCTAGCTGGTCGTTTAACAGCTTGAGCCTTAAAAGTATAAAAACCCAAGCTTGGACTCTAAAAGGAGGAAGACGTAGACAGGTTAACGCTAAAACACACCAACCGCTCAGCCCTTCCCTCCCGCTTCGAATATATATAAAATAACCTTCCTTTTGAAACAAACAATCACACCAGCAGGCAGGGCCGGTCTTGAGATTTTGAAGGCCTTGTGCGAACCTTAAACTGGGGCCTCACATAAGCTAACACAAACTTACACCATTACGTAATGTCATACAATAAATGTTTGTTTTTAAGTGACCAAAGTACCCCTACTCCCAGGGGCAAAATTGAAAAGAATTTGAATTTGATTAAATTGATTAAATTGTGTCAGGAATGTTACACCTTTTGAATAATCACCATGATTGTGATGATGAGTCTTTGTCATCATAGATCATATTCAAATATTAATTATTTTTTAACACCTAATTTATTTTGTATCAATATTCCAAGAACATCATTAATTGGATGCAATTTTTTTGGTTGAGTTAGTTGGATGCATTATTTTTGCAAAATTGAATATCTGAGCATATATATAAATAATCGTGTACCACTTTACTAACCACATTTTTAATCGAGGTGATCACCATGATTGTGACGATTAGTCTTTGTCATCATAGATCATATTCAAATATTAAATATTTTTTAACACCAAATTTATTTTGTATCAATATTCCAAGAACATCATTAATTGGATGCAATTTTTTTGGTTGAGTTAGTTGGATGCATTATTTTTGCAAAATTGAATATCTGAGCATATATAAAAACAATTGTGTACCACTTTACTAACCACATTTTTGATTGAGATGATCACTATGATTGTGACGATGAGTCTTTGTCATCATAGATCATATTCAGATATTAAATATTTTTTAACACCTGATTTATTTTGTATCAATATTCCAAGAACATCATTAATTGAATGCAATTTTTTTGGTTGAGTCAGTTGGATGCATTATTTTTGCAAAATTGAATATCTGAGAATATATAAAAACAATTGTGTACCACTTTTCTAACCACATTTTTAATCAAGGTAAGCTGTCACACCCCGGATAGGCTTCGTCGTAGCACGATATTGTCTGCTTTGGCCTCTCTTGCCCTTACAGTTTTGTTTCTGGGAACTCATGAGCAACTTCCCAGTGGGTCATCCATCCTGGAATTGTTTTAGCCCAAACTTGCGTAACTTCGGAGTTCCCCTAACTCTAAAGTCAGTGAGCTCCCAAAATGCCTCGTGCTTGATGGAGGTGGGCATGCACATATAAGGCACATCATCCATTTTCCGTTGGTCGATGTGAGATGTTACAATCCACCCCCTTTAGGGACCCGACATCCTCGTCGGCACACTCGCACCATATGACAAAATGGCTCTGATACCATTATGTCACACCCCAGATCGGCTCTACTGTAGCACGATATTATCCGCTTTGGGCCCCCCTTGCCCTCACGGTTTTTAACCAATTTTAATGTTTTCTAAATTATCCAACTTCTTTATTTTAATTTCTAATTGGTTTTCTACTTTTTACTCTTCTTCTAAATCTAATCTCCTTTTCCCCATATAGGCTATATCCTAATCCCCTCTGTTTTTTTTCTTTTTTTTTTTTCAATTTGGGGAATGCTAGCCACCTTTCTCATGACATGTGTCACTTTCCTTACACTAAAAACAATGTAATTAATGCATCAAATAAGATAACATTTGTTTACAAATTTGCCATTATTTTTTGTATTGATTTTAATGTTTCCTTAAATTTATTATCCAAATTTGTTACCACTTTCTTATCACCTTGTTACAAAATTAAATAAGAAAAAACATTTGGTTTTTTTTTTCTTTTTTGAAAGACTCCAACAAATAAGACTTACCTAATTAATGGAAAAAAAAAAAAAAAAAAAAAAAAAAAAATTCAATAATTAGACTTACCGAATTAATGGTTTGAAAATGCAATCAATGAACTTCCTTTTAAAACAGACTTCCTTAGAAGGACTTCTTTTGTCTGTATTAATAGAAAAGATATATCTTTTGTGGATTTTTTTAAAGGTCATTATTGTTTTTTTTTATAACAAAAAAAAACGTTTTTCCTGTTAAAAAAAAAAAAAAAAAAAGAAGCCATTTTCGTTTTAAAAAAAAACAGAATTTTTTTAATTTTTTACATATGGCAAGAGAGTTGTAAAAAAAAAGGGATAAATTGAAGGATAATACATTTAATAAGGGTAAACTAGGAAAACAAAAGGTGGTCTGTTCGATGTATTAATGTCAATATTTTAAGTGTATAAGAAGTGACACATGTCATGAGGAAAAGGAAGAATGTCTAAAAGAGAAGGTTACTGACATTTCCCATATTTCAATCAAACAAACGCTAACAATTAGTTCTTTTTCATGTGGAAATTTTTACATTTCTCACTTCTTCACATGCACACTGCCTTTCCTTAACTGGTCTGTCAATTTTCAATTATGTCTGAACTTATTGATGTGTATGAGTTCCTATAGTGTATTAGGGGAACAAACAAAAAAGAAGACAAATTAGACAATGAAATAATGTATGGAATTTTGCGTTCTTTCTTTACGTAATTTTCATTTTAAATGACGAAGAAAATTCTAGAGGAAGACAGATTAGTCAATGAAATAATGTGTGGAATTTATGTTCTTTCTTAATGTAATTTTCATATTAAATGACGAAGAAAATTCTAGAGGTAGACTTATCAGAAAAGGATATACATGTGCTCATTAATGAAAAGTTGGTGTCTATAAGACTTGAGGATGTTAATGTATGCATTTTGAGTTTTTCTTTTGTCTTCCCTTAAAAATTCTGTAATAGGATTTTTATTGTTTTTATCAAGCTCAAGTTTAGATTAAGAATAACTTCTCTAGGTGTTCTTAACTAACAATTATCCTATGGAGGTTAAGCAAATTGACAAAGGTAAATTGTGTATTGCATCACATTGCATTAAATTGATTTCATAAAATGATGACTAGTCATCCTTGCTCTGTAGGATTTCCAGCTGGATAACCAACTATTTTGTCCTATTCTTCTTTCTCTCTTTGCTGCCATGTGTTGATTCAGACCTAGGAATTTTTGGTAAAAGCCAAAGAATTCCTCATTTGGCAGCTGTCACTTTTGTAGGCAAGTTTTGGAAAGTTTCTCTCTAAACTTTCTCTTCTTCCTCAAGTGCAACCTTCATATTTTTCATCTTTGAGTTTTCCAAAATGTTTCTTTTTGAAAACTGCATTTGAAATATGAAAACCTCATCTTGCTAGATCAAACAATCTCTCATATATATCTAGGTCAGATTCAAGATTGATTTCTTCAAGAGTATGGTTTCTTGAAGAAATTGATCATTCTCCTTTAAATCTAAATTTTGGTTTCTGTCTGAGATAGAGCTTGCAAGTTGGTGCCATGGGATGAATAAGCTGGAGAAGGAGTTGTCATTGCTATGAAGAATAGAGCTTCAAGCTTTGCTAAGTTGGAGAAGAAGATTGCACAAAGGTGGTATAGCCCATCTTCCTAAATAGATTTAGGTTTTTCTTGAGCTTGCTTGTGTTCCTTTGTAAGAATCTTTTTCTACTTAGTGGATTGCCTGGTCAGTTGATGACCCCCAGTTTTTCCCAATGGTGGGTTTCTGGGTGAACAATTTCTGATTGCATCTCTGTAATTTTTCTGGGTTTGTGTTCTTGGTGGTTGACTAGTCGTCGTATGAATTATGGTTGACTAGGCATCGTATGAATTCTGGGTTTGTGTTCTTGGTGATTGACTAGTCATCGTATGATTTTTTGTGTTATTGGTGGTTGACTAGTCATCTTATGAATTCTGGGTTTGTATCCTTGTAGTTGACAAGTCATCATTATCTGCTGTTTAGTGTTTGCTTGATTATGCTGTCTTCACACAATTTCACTATAGTTGTTGCTAGCACAGGGGATGCCTAGATTGACTGGTTCTTTTGAGTGCCTAGGTTGTTACTAGTAATTCTCTAGGCTTGCAGGTACATCTTGGTATGCTCTGTGTATGTTATTGTTTGGTATAGTTCATATCTGACAGTTGACTAGTCATAAGAGTATTTGGTCAAGGTCTAGAGTGTGTGAAGTTTGTTGCGTTCTTGGTTGAATATCTTTAAAGTTTACCCCTCGTCACCTAAGTACCAATTTCAATTGGTATCAGAGCACCAACTCTTAACATAAATAGAGAGATCCTTTGGGTGCTAATTGGTATTAGGTGTGTAAACATAAAAATGGATCAAATTGCTCCTTGCATTCATGATGAGCTTGCCTTGTTTGTTAAGAAATATAGAAGGGTTGTCAAAGATAAAACCAAAGTTACTAGGAATTGTCAAAATCTTCCTAGTTCGTCTACATGTGTGTCTCAAGACAATGTTCTTAAAGAGAGGAATTTTTTTGAAAGGTCTTGTAAAGTGCTATCTATGTGGTGGTGCTGGTCACATTGATGTAGAATGTGCAAATAACCACATGACTGAGTCTAATGGGAGAGAAGAGTCAATTAGTGCACAATGGAGTGATAGTGACAGTGATGATTCCAACAACTATATCACTTCATCTTATGAAGAGGCAAATAATTTTGCCCTTGTTGGTTTTGTTCATAACTCTAGCCTTGCTAGAGTTCATGTAGTCAAGGAAGGACAATCTAATTCAGAAAATGAATCTGTGTCTGGAGATGATAGGCAGGATGACCAGTCATATAAGGAATATGATGGCCAGTCATACCTGGGTATGTGTGAAAAGTATGATGTCCTTTTTACTGAAACTTCCAAGCTTAAAGAAAGAAATCTCTTACTTGAAGAGAAGGTAAAGAACCTGGAAATTCTTAATTGCACTTTTAAATAAGAAAATAATGAATTGAGTGAAAATGTTGAGACCTCGGTTAGAAACTAATTTCTTAACTAATCAATTAACAAATTGACTATGTCAGCTCATCACTAATCCAGATCAACAATGATGAAGGTTCCTAACAATGTGATCAGCCGATGTGACATGGTGTTATTGATTAAAATATAGCCATCACTATCACCTCATGTAAATCCCACAAGACTCCCATTCACAAAGGGGGAGAAAATAGGGTCAATGCTAGCAACTTTCTCTCCAACATTCTCTTTTGAACCTTTTCCTTTTTTCTCATGACATGTGTTACTTTCCTTACACTAAAAACAATGTAATTAATGCATCAAATAAGGTAACATTTGTTTCCAAATTTACCCTTATTTTTTTTTATATTGATTTTAATGTTTCCTTAAATTTATTATCCAAATTTGTTACAACTTTCTTATTACCTTGTTAAAAAATTAAATAAGAAAAAACATTAGTTTTTTTTTTCCTTCTCTTTTTTGAAAGACTCCAACAAATAAGACCTAATTAATGGTTTAGGAAAAAAAAAAATTTCAATAAGACTTCTTTTGTCTGTATTAAAAAAAAGGATATATCTTTTGTGGATTTTTTAAAAGTCATTATTGTGTTTTTTTTTATAACAAAAAATTCCTCTAAAAAAAATAGGCATTTTCTTTTAAAAAAACAGAATTTTTAATTTTTTAATTTTTTACATATGGTAAGAGAGTTGTAAGAAAAATTGGATAAAATGAATGACAACACATTTAATAAGGGTAAATTTGGAAAACGAAGGGTGATTTGTTTGATGTATTAATGTCATTATTTTAAGTATATAGGAAGTGACATATGTCATGAGAAAAAGAGAGAATGTCCACAAAAACAAGGTTTAAAAGAAGGTTACTAGCATTCCCCGAATTTTCACTATTAGAGAAAAATAACGTTATTTTCACCATAATATTACTTTTAATAATTACAAATAGAATGGGAGGTTGAAGGGCTGCCGCTATCTCTCTCTTTTCCGTTAATTAAAACAGTAACACGATAATACATTTCTACACCATTTTGCTCACCCATGCCATGACAAGTTTTTGGGTGCAAATATTCTTTTTTTCTTGACAAAAATGAAAAAGTTCCTAGTTTTTGCTAATCTTTCCTTTTTATGGGTGAAAATAAAGAGAGAGAATTTAAACGTACGAGGAGAGCATAACCCAGACAAAAACAGAGAAAAGGGGTCTCCTCCTAGCGGGTCGTTTAACAGCTTGAGCCTCAAAAGTATCAAAACCCAAGCTTGGATCTCTAAAAGGAGGAAGACGTAGACAGGTTAACGCTAAAACACACCAACCGCTCAGCCCTCCCCTCCCTCTTCGGATATATATAAAATAACCTCCCTTTTGAAACAAACAATCACACAAGCAGGCTCTGTCATCACCACCATTTATTTCTTCAAGGTACATTTTTTATATAAAAAGTTTCTTAATTTCAATAATTTGTTTTCACAATTCGATTTGTATTTGGTAATTCAACTGTTTTGAATCTCTGGCATTCCTTTCTGTGCTGTTACCTGTCAGAAATGTGGAAGATGTTGGGTTCATTTTAGCTTATTTTAATTGTGTGGTTGTCTCCCTGCTGATGCTTCTTCTTTGTTTTTGGTTTGGCATTTTCTGGTGTGTCTGTTCTTGTTGCAGATATGTTTGAATCTTATGATGGGTTGGGCCTGATTTTCTTTCGGTTGATAGTTTTTCATTGTTTCTGATTAGTTTTGATCTCAAAATGGTGAAAGTTAATGGATCTATCTGGAGTTTATGCCGTATTGTTTGGGGTTGGCTTCGTGTCAGATCTGAATTGGTTCAGATGAAAATATGGGCTTGGAAACTGTTTTTCACTTCATAATACATCTTGTTGGGGGTGGCTTGGTAAAGCAATTCTTGGATATCCTTGCTTAGTGAAAATTAAGGGAAATTTATAACCAAGTAAAAAAAAAAAATTGAAAAATAAGGCAAACCATGAATTTGGTTCATATTCTTTGGTCCTCTGTATTTCTCAGAAGTGTATGTATGCCTTCCATTTTTTTATATTAAGTACATGATATATTTAATGAGTACTGACCACTTTCTGGACTTGTGCAATGCAGAACAGCTTCTGAGGATATCAAGAGGAAATAGAAAGAGTAACACGTGGTGTAAATGGCCTCCGAGAGGGAATGTTTCGAACTTTCAGGGCCATTACAACTAACTTCCATTGATTGGTGAGACCTCAAACTCTGCCTCTCCACACCCACACAGTTTCTTTCAAAAGATGAATGAAAAGTATTTTAAGGTTTGGAATCAAGTGTGTTTTTCTTTTCCAAAATGGTATGGAGGAAGTTCTTGTGATTGACAGTAATGCTAATCGGCTGTTTTTGTATCTTGAACTAATAAAAAAGCCATATGAAGATGGATGTTATTGTGCTGTTTTGTTGTTATGTGGAGTTATATGCTTGTTGGATTATGTATGCATCGATAATACTCACAATTCCAATTATCACTCGAGGGGTTCTATTCTTCTAATTTGTCCCAAGGTTTTTGTCGACACAATTTGAAGGAATTTAGTGCTTGAATCATTCTTCTCAGGCAAAACATTGTTGAAAGATGATATGGGTTTTAAAATGTGTGCCACTGTATGCAGGCAGAATACTCAACATCAAAGGTCTGTTGCTGCATGTTTGGTTCAGGGTGTCTATGTTGTTGAGCGGGACCGCCAAGAGGAACGTGAAGGATCCCAAGCCCTTGCTCCTCCTTGGTGGGAGTTCTTCCATTTTAAGTTGCTCCGCAAGCTTGTGGATGATGTTGGTTTCTCAATCTTTGGTGCCATTTATGAATTCAAACCTCCTCCTTCTCTTTGTAACTCCCCATTAGAGGGAATACCTCGTTTTGTAATTGCCTTCCGAGGCACCTTGACGAAGAATGACTCAGTCTCACGAGATCTTGAGTTGGATGTTGAGGTGGTCCGAAATGGACTTCACCGGACATCTCGCTTTGAGATTGCTATGCAAGCTGTCCGGAATATGGTTGCTGCAGTAGGTGATTCAAATGTTTGGTTAGCTGGCCATTCCTTAGGGTCAGCCATGGCAATGCTTGCTGGAAAAACTATGGCTAGCAATGGCATTTTCCTCAAATCTTTTCTCTTCAATCCACCATTTGTGTCTGCCCCGATAGAGAGGATTAAGGACAAGAGAGTGAAACATGGGCTTCGGATCGCAGGCAGTGTGATTACAGCAGGCCTCACTCTTGCTATGAAGGCTAAACAACAACCACAACAGAGAAGTCATTCAGAAGAAAACCCTTTCACTACTCTGTCTGCATGGTTCCCTAGTCTATTTGTCAATCCGGCTGATGACATCTGCTCCGAATATATCGGGTATTTTGAACATAGGAAGAAGATGGAGGACATTGGAGCAGGAGCCATTGAGAGGTTAGCAACCCAGAATTCTCTTGGGGGTCTACTAATGCATGCAATGGGAAAGCAGCCAGCGCCGGACCCTCCATTGCACCTCATTCCTTCTGCAAACCTGACAGTTAATTTGACCCGGTCACGGGATCTCAAAGAAGCCCATGGAATTCACCAATGGTGGAGAGACGATCTGCAACTCCAGTCTGAGGTTCACAAATACAGATAGTTTTTGGTGTAATTGTTCTGATTATTTTCCATGTACTCGTGGTTTTAAGTAGTCAAACAGCCTCCAATCTTGTTTTCATCAGCCATGATTTTGGAAAGAATAAACCAAAGAAGTGAAGAGGTTTACTAGTTAAGGAAGAAGAGGAGCAAGTAGGGAGCTGCTTGGTTGTGTGAATGCTATTATAAGAGTTGTAAATTATGAGTTGCAGAAAGGAAAATTTTCATTTGAAGCTACTGATTTCTTTCATGGGTGGCTTAATGCTTGAAGTGAGGGCCATCACTTCTCAATCGAATGACGGATCGATAGGTAAAAATTAAAATTAATAGAAAAGGTATTGTGGTGGCAAAAAAATAATTACATACTGCTTTTCATTTTTTACTGGGAATGGTCCCAAAGTGCTCCCGCAAGCCGCAACAAAGCGTGAACAAACATGGAGAAAGTCAAAAAAACACATACTCGAATCCCAATGACCATCTTGACCCAAAAAAAAAAGAATCCCGATGAATGACCATGGCTGCCACTCTGCCATTTCCTGTTGTTTTTCTCTTTGGCAAAAGCACACTTTTTTACCATTGCCAATATCCCATTCACCATGTTTACTGAATTACCACCAATTACTGGTTGGGTTACTTTGATGTTTCCACACTTTCAAACTAGAAAAGGTGAATTAAACAGTAGTGGTTCTTCACAATCAAACTCTTTCACTCATCCCTATGATTATATAAAGCTAGAGGCTCCACAGGCACAGTTAAGATCCTTTACTTGATGATTGGGACCTGGGAGTTGGGGCCCATAACCCCAAATTTCAGCCTTAAATGCCCCAAATAATTGGCCAACTCTGTTCTATTTAGTCCGACTGCAAGACTAGGAATTTAGGATCTACCTTTACTTAAACTCTAATTAATCTCTCTCTCTCAACATTAAGCAAACCCAAGAAAGAAAAAAACAGAAAGCAAAAGCAAAAAGCTCCTCCCTTCCACTGCTCCCACCTTCCCTCCCTTTTCTTCAAGGCTCCTACAGCCTCTCCACAGTGTACACCACTGCCAACCCCAATTATCTCTACCTACTCCAACTCATCAAATCAACCTTCAGCTTTCTGCTTGCTAGCTAATCAAGCTTGCAGCTTTATGAATTGATGACCAGCTAACACCACATAAAGAAACCCAAAACTCCTACAAAAACAAAAACAGATTCATAATGACAGCTGAAGAGAGATTAATTGTTAAAAATCAATTCTTTTTTACACTTCCATTGATCAAATGGGTTAACAAATTGGGCACCCAAGTTACCAATTTTGGCAAAAACTAAAAAGCTACTCTTTTTCACTCATCAGAAGAAAGAACAGCCAAAACTAACGGCTAACAATTAAAACCCAACACAGATCCATCATTCACAGAAATCACAACTCTACACCCAGATTTAGCTTCCACATGGTGAGTGAAGAAGTGCATGACCCGAATCCGACCCGCCATCTGCAACCTCGACTCAATCTCCATCGTGGGTCCGCCGGCGCCACTCAACCCACTGTACCCGTCCCCGAACGTGGGCCCCAACGGGTTCTGGACCAACCCGACTGCCCGATTCGGATCGTTAACCGGGAACGACTGAACTGCAAAAGTGGCGGCCATGAACTGGGTCTGACCCGCTTCGATCTTGCCGGCGGGTATGAACATGAACCCGACTTGGTTTCCGGAGTAAAGAAGCTGAAGGCTACTGTCGAAGTGGCTGAAAGCTGCCCTGTTCGGGTTCCGAACGCCGACGTATTGGGCAAAGGTGAAGTTGACGGTGGAGTTTTGGATGGAGAAGGAAGGGAGCTGGACGGCGCTGACGGAGATTTTGGGGTCTTTGGGCTTGAAGACGGTGAAGTAGACTATGAGGATGACGATGACGACGAAAATTAGGAAGATTGTGGCGACGATGCAGGAGGCGAGGTTTGTGCGACCAGAAGGTGGAGGTTTGGGCCTCTGAGTCCGAGGCTTGTTCATGGCTAATTAATTTTGAGTTTAACAGAGAAAGATTGAAATTAAGAGAAGCGGTGAAGCAGTGTGGATCTGTGTGACTGAGATTGAGACAGAGGAGAGAGAGACAGAATGAGTGCTATGGAGAGAGGATATAGGGGTTGTGTTTGTATGTGGGTTTTGAGTGTATATATTGAATGGTAAGCGGTTGAGGAGTCCTGGTGAGTTTGAGACAAAAGTGTGAAAATGTGGGAAAAAAACTCTCATTTCTCTGATTTTCGGTTTGAATTTGGAGGGTAATTTTTCTCTGACTTGATTAAATTATTGGACAAATTTTAAATCACAAGCGAGAATTAACATATTCGGTGGTTCACAATTTATAAATTTGGTAAAATCTACAATAATAACTAGGCTTTTTATCACAAATGGTCCCTTAAGTTTGCAAAATTATCGCATTTCGTCCCTAACATTTTTTTGTGACACTAATGGTCCCTAAGGTTACCCTTCACACATCAAATGGTCCTTGCCGTTAGCTTCTGTCAAATTTTCTGTTAAGTAGCTAATGTGGCACGTGTGTGGAGCCCACACATCCAATAGTATAAATCCATGTGGCTTTAAATAAAATATATTATATTTTAAATATTTTAAAACTTAAAATCGAAAAAAAAAACCCGTACGTTCTCCCTATGCCAGCGCCTCCATCCAGACCCACTCTTTGCCTCTCTCTCCCTCCTCTTCCACCCTCCTCTCTCCCTCTTTCCCTCATCTTCCTTGGTCGTGGGTTTCATTGATTTGTAGGTTTTGGTCAAACAAAAAGGAGCCAAGTGTACTACAACTATGCCAAGCCCAATCTTGGTTCCAATGCTGCAGAGACAGATTCTGGGTAAAAACAAGTGCATAAATTCAACAAAAATGATTAGCTTCTAATTTAAAAACTGAAGTAAATTATCTTCCTTGGTTGTGGGTTTCATTGATTTGCAGGTTTTGGTCAAACAAAAAAGGACCCAGCGTTTATTTCATCAAGCTGTGGTAGATGCAGAAACTACATCAAGCTATAGTAGATTAGCCTGTAAAAATCAAGGAAGATGAGGGAGAGAGAGAAAGAGAAGGGAGGACAAGGAGGGAGAGAGAAGCAGGGTGGGTCTGCGAGGGTGGGTAGGAGGCGCTGGCAGAGGAAGTTTTGGGTTTTTAATTTTATAATATATTTTCTTTAAAGCCAAGTGGATGTATATTGGATGTGTGGACTCCACACACATGCCACATCAGCTACATAACAGAAAATTTGATAAAAGCGAACGGCAGGGACCATTTTGATGTGTAGAGGATAACCTTAGGGACCATTAGTGTCACAAAAAAACGTTAGGAACGAAATGTGATAATTTTGCAAACCTAAGATACCATTTGTGATAAAAGCCTAATAACTATTCTAATTACTTAAGTTACGAGTCTCTTCTTATAATGATATAATATACTACAAAATCAATGAATGATTATGAATTTATGAATTTAACCCCACACAAACTTGATAAATGTCATCAACCTAATCTTTTGTTTCCTTGCACACCATTAAATTTATGATACAAAATGAGGATTAAAAGTCAATTGAACTAGTGAGGATTTAGTTTGAAAATGTTCTCTACTCTTGGGTGATGAAGAGTGGGGCTTTTGCTGTCTGTGTGTCTGTCTTGCTGGGGCATGGACTTTGGTCCACGGGTGGATGCAAGTATGCAATCCAAGCCGTTGAAGGTTTCAAGAATTAAAGGGGGGGTGGGCCTAAGAAAGACAATTAGGAAAGTGGGTCTGACAAGTTTGCACAAGCATGTCGATAGGGTAAATTTGCATTTTTTTTTAAATAGCAAAAATGGGTTATTTTAATCCATTTAATTTCAATTAAAAAAAAATATATATCTTATATCTTCGTCAAAATAGAAATGAGACATCTTAATCATGCAGAAGAATAACAATGTAATTTGATGAATAATGCTTGAACGTTGAGTGGGAATAACAAGTGCATGTGTTTTAATTATGGTAAGAACGGCTAAAAGTTTAAGACAAAACGGTGATTAGAATCTTAATTTAGATAAGTTTATAATGTTCTTAAATGGGGGCCACTCAAACTTGAGAAGGATTATTATTATACAAAAAGGTGTTTAAGATTAATGTTCCCTTTGCCAATGGTAATCTTTCTGTCAGCATATTTTGTTAAAACTTCTGTTGGGATCTTTCAGTAAAGATTGAGTTTGCTGAGGAGGAGTTTAGTTCAAAGTTTGTCATATTGAGCATGTTGAAATCAGAACAATTCTGATGCTGCAGCTGCTGTTTTGACATAATATTCCTGAAACTGATTGCATAATTTGAAGGTCTAACTTTGCATCTGTTATTAGAATTGGTTGTGTTAGAGACTGTTATTAAAAGAAAAAAGATGAAGCATGGAAATCACTTTATTGAAAAAAGTGCTTTTCCCTCACTTTTTTTGGGCTCATATAGATAGTGCCAACAGCAGAGCAGGTTTCAATTTTCAAACAGAGGAAAACTCACATGGGCTTTTGGCAGAGAACCAGCAAACCATAATTTCTCCAGTTTATTATTGAATGAAAGAGAGATTTTCAAACCAGCAATGCTGAGTTTTCAGTTTGAGCCTGTGGGGGATGAAAATCAATCATAGATAAGAAGATGCCATTGCAAGCTAGTGGTCTCTAGGTTCAGAAGTAGCTGTTGCTTGTTGACATTTTGTGATTCCCTATTGTTGGGTGTTTAAAATTAAACACCTACATTAAACAATCTAAGGGCAGATTAGCAATTATCAGCATCTTTCCCATTGTGCACAAGTTAATTGTTGTGAAAGCAGACTCTAATCACACCAGGTGAATGCAGAAATAAACTCAATGCAAGATATATCTCCGTATATATAGGTGCTTCCAATCTTGGTTATTTTATATTTAAAACACAAGAGTTACAACTTTTAAAAACAAACATTAGCTACCACAGTTGGGTTATATCATGATTCCCAACCTCTAAGATTTAGGTCACCAGGGATGATGCCTTGTAGTAGTTGTGAAAGGCTTAAACACCCAAATTGGTGATATATCTACATATATATTTTAAAATCCTAATAAAGTGATGTAATACAATACATAAATAGGAATAGATCTTATTCATGACCATTTTAAATAACAGTTGACAGAAGTCTTGGTATATTCTCCATCAATTGACAGAAATGAAGGGAAACTTCAGGCTTATATGAAACTTCATAAGCCATCCACATTTCATACAACCTGCAGTCCATCCAAAAATGGACTGGTCATTCAATCAATACATACATATATGTACCTATAAAATAGATGCAAATTTATTTTGCAAGCTTGTCGAGCTGCAAATCCATGAACTCGGAGATGGCTTCAAGAAATGCAGCTTCACTCATTCCAGGGAGCAAGGAATCCTGAGCTTCACGCACAATCTCCTCAATCACTGATTCTTTGTTTATATTTTCTCTACACATTAGGCTCCCAATAGCAAAGGGGGTGAGACCTCTCTCTACCCCTTTCTTCAGAAGCATAGTGGAGATACGGAGCGTGCGGGCGCTCTCAATAGGAATATCCCATCCATAAAACTTCAGAAGTGCAATATCTTGTTCAGCATCTAAAGAATTTATGTACTCAATGGTGTCAAGAGAATAAGGCTGGCAAGCTTGTGGCCAATAAAGCCAATCAAATGTGCAATCTTCAAACTGCAGACAGAGGAAAGAAAGGTTATTATCAGTTAAAAGAATAAAAAACCCAAATCAAACCTATATGATCGAAAATATGGTGAGAAAAATACAGGTGTATGGAAATCATTCTGGCAGGTAAAGAAAGAGCACCAACCAACAAAATTTATAAACACACTGCTCCAACTATTTAGATGTAAGATAAGATAAAAGAATTAAAGACCACCCTAGTTTAAGTTGGAAATTTATTAACCCATTAAACAGTCATTTTCAACCTAGATCCAACATGAACCCCTATTGCACCCACACGGAGATTAAATGAACATCTGTGACTGGATGTTAGAATCTACAACCATAGCTTCATAATTCACAGAAAATTATGAAAAGAAGGCAATGGCAAGAACGATGGTGCAAACATTTAAGATATTACTAAGACAGCAAAGCATGAAAGCAAAAGCGCATTTACTTACATTCTCAGGAAGGCAGTATCCATGATCAATTGGAATGAGCACAGTCTGACCATCTTTCCCTTTTCTAAACAAAATATTCCCGGCATGCCTGTCGGCATTTGCCATTCTTAGATCAAACACGCTAATCTTGTGCACCTCCTCCACGGGGAAACGACTAGGACCCATGTCCTCACAACTTCCATCATTCTTCATGAACATCTGCAATGACCCAATCTTAACATTCTTTAATGAGCCTTCATACCCTTTGGAATAATTAAAGCCTTTGTGCAAGCACCTAACCAAAACTGTAGGAGGCACGCCAGCAAAGCCAATAGCCTCTCTTGATAAGTTGCGAGGCCCACCCTTGGGATGATCCAATATGTATGCTGCAACTTCCCTCAGGGCTCCTTCTCCCACCCTTGTTCCCCTTTTCAAACCTTCACCATCCGGAGATACGGCCAAGCCATGGGGATTGTTCACTGCATTAGGCTCCTCATCAATAGGCTTGAAAACAGAAATAAACTCTTGGGAAGGATCTTGCATGAAGTAAGTTCCTCCAGTCCCCTCAGAGGATCTTATAGGTTGATTGCCCTTCTGCAAACCATTAAATGTAGAGTTAAACATGTCCCATACATAAGAGGGAACTTTAACCTTGGGATTGACAATAATTGGTTCCAACAAGAAATCTGGATTTCGAAAAGCCGACTCCCAGGTTACAACTGGAACCCCCTCGGGTCGGTGGTTGGCTACTCCATTGACTCCTTCTCTTCTTTCATCAGAAACTGGTGCCACAACTGAAAGCTCCAAATCTTTGTCAAAATGTTTAGCTCTAACCTTTGCAGATTTCTGAACCACCAGGTGAATAACATCATCATTGTTCTTACAAATATCATCAATAAGCCTCTGGTCATCAAGCTTTTCACCGTTGCAGAAAAGTTCTTGATCCTCTGGATCATAACCTTTCCCCTTTTTCAAAATCCGTTGCTTCAGGTACCCGACCTTTCGATGTCGATCAACATGGAAATCAAATTCCTTTCCACAAATGGTCTTAACAGTGATATGCAAAAGATCAGAAAGTCTAAGAACCAAATGCAAAACATTCTCACCAGTGATACCGTAGTCCTTAATGAGAGTATCGTTCCGGGCCAATTCCCTGCCTTCGAAAACAAGCTTTTGCTTCTTTACCACGAATCCATTGCATGTTTGGATCCTAAGCTTCACTGAAGCAATCGAATCCGACTCTAAAACACGCAGAGGAATCACGGAGCCGGAAACCCGGAGATATAACATGATTGATTCGCTAGAAAAATGCCCCAGGTGGCTTTCAAAAAACCCAGCAGCAGAATTTACCGACTCTTTCCGAATCGAGACTCAGAGCAACATCAGCAACAGACAAAGACTGCAACTTTTTTTTTTTTTTTTTTTTTTTTTTTTTTTTACCCCACAAAATGAAAAACCAGGACCTCTTTGTTTCTGTTGCCTACTGATATCCAAATTGGCCCTACACAATCAAGGCCCCTAGATCACATGATCAAATACCCAGATGCTAAAAAATAAAAATAAAAACAAGACCCAATAACCAAAATCTGTACAGCAGATTGACAGAGCTAAACAAAAGGGAAAAAATCGAAAATCCCCAGAAAGAAATGAAATTTAAATAGAATTCCAAATCCCCGGGATTCAAGAGAAACCCTTTGCACGAAGCCAGATGCCTAAATCAAAGAAAAATGTAAAAAGAAAATCCAACTTCTTCTTGAAGCTCCCACAAAGATTTCAACAAAAAAAAACCAGTCTAATTTTGTAAATTGAAAAGTTGGGGTCTTGAGGGTAATGGAAAAACTCTCATAGAAAGAATTAGGGCAGAGAATTGCAATTTGGAGGAGAGAGTGGATTCTTACCTTACGGGAAAGAATCAAATGAAATGGGCAAAGGAAATGGGCTTAAATTGCATGACCAACAAGCGTGGCGATTAATTGCCGAGTAATTGAGCCGAGTTTTTTCATTTTCCGATAATGGGATGTAAAAATTCGGGGTCTTCTAAAGCTCCCGCGATATTCTCCCCCGAGTTTTTCTGGTCCGAAAATTATGTCGTCGATAAGAGAGAGAGAGTGAAAGACTGAAGAAAAGCGTAGAGAGAGAGGAGGGGACGGTATTATAGCCGTTGGCTTTATATAAATGGTTTGACCCAACGGCTATAACGGGAGGTGTTTCGTTTTTAAAATACAGGTGTAAATTGTTACAGGTGTAAATTGTAATATCTAAATATTGTTACAGTTTTCTTTTCTTCCTTTTTCTTTTCTGGATTAATAAAATCATTTATGAAAAATTAAAAATAATAAAAATTAAGCCAAAAGGGCTTTAGTTAGATAAGTACATGAACCATGTTAACGTTAAATACTTCCTTGCATCTATATATTAGCTTCTCCGCACGTTCTTTCGTGCCTGCAAAAGGTTGTTTTAAAATACTAGAAAATGGTGAAACATTCAAAATACCAGGAAATGCCATTGATTAATGCAAGCATTAAGAATTGAAATTATTAATTAAATGAAAATAATATGGTAAATTCACACTTTTTCATATTAAAAAAATTAAAATGAAAAAAAAAACAAATAATAGATCTTATTTTTATGAAATACAACTACCAATGATCTTTTCTAATTATAAAATAAAATAAATTTTTTTAAAAAAAAACATCTCACAAACGCAAAAGCACGTGGTTAATATATATATATATATATATATATATATATGCTTTTGGATAAGCTTTGTTTCATTGATGTAGCTCCAAGAGAATATTATATATATCAGAAAATTTTAAATTACAAGTTCTTTTTTTAAATAATAAAATAAAATAAAAAGATGCCACGTACGTACATTAGTGCCAATATATAATTTGAAATTATTTATCCCAACAAAAAATATAATTTGAAATTAAGTGGTTGGTTTTTTGTATAATTGCTCCACATGTCCACTGCACTGCACACACACGTGTATTTGTCATCAACACAAAGCTGAAGAATAAAGCATGCAGACCAATTTGTCTCCATCTACAGCTAATCAATTTTGGTACAAAGATTAAGGATTTAATAACAATTAATTAAAGTTAACTTATCAACTTGCACATGCATTGAGGTTCACCCCCCTTCCCCCTCCTTTAATTATTTGTTTAATTATGTCCTTGTTAAATGTTAATTAAGCATTTGGGTTGAAGGACCAAGTTGATCTCCGTTGCACTCGAAAAGGGTCCCCAGTCTACATTACATATCTGCAAAAGTAGTCGGCACTATCTTCGTTTTTAATTTCAATCGTATCTTGATGTTTTGTTTTGTCTCATATTTGCATATATTTAAACAATTTGAAGCCATTTTTATAAGTTAGAATGCAATAAAAAAGAGTAAATATTCATTTAATCTGGCCTCTAAAGACTAAAGAGGGTTCTTCCTCAAAAGATTTGGTAGAGTACACTGAACATGGGCTTTACTTTCCAATGAATGCATTGGAGTGGCTTTAAGCTGAGTTCATCATTAAGATTAAATTTTACATAATATATATTATGTTTAAAATTAAATTTTGAACAGACGTGTGTTAGAACAGTTAGTTAGAACAATATGTCTCATTTTTTGTACCGAAATCCGATTGCCCTATATAGTTAAGTTTGCATCACACTTAATACAAAACATATAATACTATTTTACTTGCTTTAGTTTGATTCATTCTAATTTCAACCGTTCTGAATTTTCATCAAAAGATGTAAAAGCGATTTGTACACTTTGTTGTGCAAATATTTTGTCCCTGAATTATAGAACATCATAATGGTCTGTCATGCAATGAAAAGGCTTGATGTGTGGACCTTTTCTTTTTCTAATTTTTGTTTCTTTTTTGACGAAGGCAAATTCTAGTGGTTGTATTATTTTGGTAAACAAGAAATTAAAATTAAAAAAAATAATTAACGGTGGTAGGACGATAATGCTTTATATCATCATGGCCCTTCATGTGCAAGACAACCCTACATCCCATACTCATCATAAGCATACATAAATTTATATCAAAAGCAAGCTCAAAATGTCAATAATTATTGTACCAAGTATGAGTTGTAGTTTTTCGGCATTAAAAAAAATTAAAAAAACAGAAAATTGCATTTGTAAATTAAAAAACAAAAATAAACTGCAATTTGTTTATAAATGGTGGAAAAGGGGGAGCTCATGGGAAGCCTTATGAGGACGTCCACACCATAGTCCTACTCATTAAAAACTAGCGCGAATGTAATGTAAGTGTACAACCGACTTTCTTAGACGCTCCACCTCCTCTTCAAGTGGCCATTGTGGGTGGAAGACCGTTAATGTGGTCGGCTAGCAGTCGGACACGTGATCACTCCAGATAGGCTGTAATTTATGAAACATTCTGCCCAATGCTTTACGTTTCAATTTTTCTAATACAGTAGTACCCTCTAATTTCCCACTGAAGGAAAAAACATATAGAAAGTCGGTTGACACGACACTGGGCATTTCTATGTTTATTTAGAATTGTTTTGAACCATTCCCGGTAACTTCCCATTCTTGTGTACTTCTTGTCGTATGACATTTAAAAAACACTTGTATTATGAGTTAGAAGCACTTGATTTATGCTTCATGTTATGTTGTTTGACATTATCGAAGTAGATAATATGGGGAGCTTGTTTGTGTGTCTGTGTGAGATTGTTATGGGTACTCCAAAGGAGTCGTCATATCTTTGTGTTTTTATTTTATTTCATAAGGGAGGAGTGCCATATGGCTACTTTTAAATGTTAATTACCTAAATTTGAACCATTTAAAAAGTAGGAAAATTTTCAAAAAAAAAAAAAAAAAAAAAACAACAAAAAGACACCCATTAGAAAAAATATCAACAAATATGTACCCCAAAAAAAAACTAAATCCATTACAGAATCATCTTGGTTCTTGCAAAATTGGCGGCAGAGTAGTTAAGACCGACTTGATTTACGAGGCTATAATCAACTTGTGAACTTGTAATGGAGAGCTAGTTATATACAATCACAACTCACCAAACATCACAAACTAATCATAAATCACTAATCACATCGTACAAATATGAATGAATGGAAAAGCTTATTTAGATTTTCAAGTCTTATATAGATTTTGTGCGATTTTTTTTCGTTTTCGTTAGTTCTTCAGTTGTATGTACTTTTGTTTAGTCCTTAATATCATAAAAATCATAAAAAATCCAAAAACATTTTTCTTTTTATTCTTGAGTCATTTTAGTACGCCTTCTATAAATCAATGATAACACTTAGATTCTATTTTGGTACATAGCTTTTAAGGATTGATATACATTATGTGAGTTTAAATTGTGATTCTAAAGAGATTACCGTGGACTCACATATATGGAATAATGATTTTAGACCTCTATAATTATTTTTCTGATTTTTATTTTAGAAAAAGGCTATGTGTTGTAACAATCGTGGTGCTCTTTTCAGTGCATTTTTCTGGTTTTTAATTTTTTTATATGATAAAATAAGTAATAGGATATAGAATAAATCATTCCAGAACATGGGCATGGGGTATACAAAATACATCCAGTATCGGAAATCAAGTGCATCCATCCAACTTATTCCTCGGCCATTTCATGAAGAAGCCAAGCAACCTTGAAGTGAGAACTTTGCACTTTAGAAAACACCATTCTCTTCTTAGGTTGATATTTAAATAGCCCTCTTGCAAACCACCATAAAATACTATCGAAATGTCCCCCAGGTAAAGATTTGACGGCCTGCATCACTTCATCAATCGAAGGTGCAGTACTACTCTCAAATGCCTCAACAAGGCCACCACTCCCTTGTGCCAAGGTCGCAGCACCTCTCAGTGTTGCATCACCTCTCCATTGTGATAATGCCCTCACACTTCCTTTGTCATTCTCATCTTTCTTAACTTGTATGACAAGTTGTTCAGCTCTCCTTTCCCCCATCCCAGATGAACCCACTACTATAAAAAATGATAAAGACGACGGGAATTCACCGTCGTGTATTCGATTTTCAAACCGTCGTGGAATCGACCGACATCTATTTGGGTGTCAAATCACGACGCTAAATCACCGTCGTTGTTAAAACAAACAGCATCATTAACAAATAATAACCGACATCTTTGTAATGGAAAAAGAGATAAAAAAAAACAGTTGAGGATGAGAATAGACGACCAATTCTAACAAAAAAACGTCGTTAAAAAGGAAACATATGACATATATTAACAGAACATGGCCGCAAGATATACATACAACGACGAGAACTAAAACCCAACGCCGTTAAATATACCTTTCACGACAAATAAAAATATGACGTCTTTAAATACATAATCGACGACGTTATTGACTCCTACTACGTCAGTATCTTTTCAACAACCGTCGTGAAATGAATTTTCCACTTCGATTTTTCTATTAATGATGACGTGGAAATAGATGTTTGGGTCATTACTTATGATGAATATATTTAAACTGACGACGTTGTACTAATAAACAACGTCGGTTACAAATAATTGAGAGCCGTATTACAGAATTTATACGTCATCTCTTAAAATATAATCGTCGTCTAATGGATCTGACACGGCAAGGTTTCTCAGTTCACCGCCGTGTAAAATAGTTTTAACGACACAATCTTAAAATAAACGACGTGGAAAATATGTTGGGGTCATTACTTACGACATATTAATTTATAAAGACGACGTTGTCGTCAATATACAACGTCGTTATCATTCAAAAGACAGCCGTGTTTCATAATATATACGTCATCATTAAAAAAATTACCGTCGTCTAATTCCTATTAGACGGCGTTGTTAATTTGATATTAGCCGTGTAAAGAAATTTTAACGACATTATCATAAGAAAAGAGACGTGGATACATTCATATAACGTTGTTTTTGTAAAGGAACGACGTCCAAATATATCTTAACGTCGACAAATTTACTAATGGATTTAAAATACCGTCGTGAATTCATCCTTTTCCACTTCGTTTATGAAATAACATGCGACGTGGTAAAGTTAAGACGACGTTGTCTTTTGTAACGTTTGGGTTAGATATCTCGTCTTTTAGACGTCGGTATTATGGGATTGGAGTCGTGTTATTTGGAATTACATGGCGGCTCTTTATGCTTCTCCGACGTGATATCCTTAATAACTGTTTCACAATAGCGTCGTGGTTCTTCTTTGTTACGTTGCTTTAAGACGTCGGTAAATATATTGCGGTCGTTGAATGCTCCAAAACGTCGTTTTTTATTAGAACAGACGTTTGTTTTTCACATTTTTATCAAGACCGTCGTGTTTGTAATCTTGAACAAGTATTTTTTGTATTGATTGTTTTGTGGCCAAAACCTGTATAATGAAAGTGAAGAAATCACATTACAATATATTACAAAATTAATGTCATACACTGCCAATTACATAAGCATCATTCAATCCATATATCTTCACACCCATCTCGAATATTTTGACTCCCAAACTCACCCACTAGTTCATCAAATGTGTCAACATTTGGCATCCCTCTAGTAAATGGCTCACACTCAATTCTCACATCACCTAAGACATCATCATCACCAATAACATCATTATATTCTCTATTAGGCATTGATAACACTACCGACCAACCACGATGCATCGGGTCGTCAACAAAAAATACTTGTTTGACTTGAGAAGCCAAAACAAATTGGTCATTCCTATGTCCAATTTTACTCAAATCTACAAGGGTAAATCCAAGTTCGTCGACTACAAGACCAGAAGTACTATCTATCCAATCACACATAAAGACTGGAATTGTAAACTTTTGGTAGTCAAGGTCCCAAATTTCTTGAATGACACCATAGAAACCCCATATTTGAGAGAATTGGGTTTTTATCCTTGGCACTAGCAACTTGCATGGTATGTGCAAGTAAATAAACTCCACTATTTTGAGTTGTCCGCACATCATCTTGTGCCTTGATGTTAAAATTTAATACCTTTAATAAGATAGCTCCTATATGATGGCACTGCCATGTTTGGACCAGCTGCTAGCCACCTTAAATTTTCTGATACGCCATGATTGTCTTCCTCATTAAGTTCACTTTGAACCTGCAAATTAATCATATCTTAATTCAATCTAACATAGAAAGAAGAAAATTAAAAGTCCAATATGTTATTTAATAACATATACCTTGAAGCGTAGCCATTGAATGAAAGTGCTATTGTGCTTATCCTGCAGCCACTTTGTTCTCTTTCTAAATTTTGGATAAGCGATCTTGATGTGGATCATATGTTGCCTACATGACACGAAAAATTCAAGCATTACGGTCCCAAACATATAAGATAAACATAAGAAATAATTTAAAATACAAACTTAAAAAATAAAACTCATACATACTCGATATAATGTAGGACTTCCTCCGTATTTTCCAAGACATATAGATGTGCTTGGTTCAACAGGTCCCGATCAACTACGCTCATTGTGCAACCTGATAATGGCTTTGAAACTCCCATCTTTTGGCTTGAAGGCACTCCAACTGTACTAACATCAGATAAATGCTCAGTACAAAACTCTACAGCTTCTTTAGCTATATACCGCTCAGCAATACAACCTTCGGGACGAGTACGATTCTGAACATACTCCTTTAGCACTTTCATATATCTTTCAAACGGATACATCCATCTAAAATACACTGGCCCACATAGACGAACTTCTCTGACAAGATGTACTACTAGATGAACCATGATATCAAAGAATGAAGGGGGAAAGTACTTCTCAAGCAAACACAAAGTAACTACTACATCTTCTTCCAACTTATCTAACTTGGAAACATCAACAATCTTTGCACATATAGCATTGAAAAAGAAGCACAAACGAGTTATTGCATACCTTGCAGGCTTCTCCAAAACAGAACGAATTGCCACAGGGAGCAATTGTTGCATTAAGGTATGACAATCATGTGATTTAAGGCTAAGAAGTCTTGAATCTTGTAAAGATACAAAATTTTTTATATTTGAAGAATAACCTTCAGGGACCTTCATACCATAGAAAGAATTGAAAACCTCTCTCTTCTCTACTCTTGACAAATTCCAAGGCTCGGGAGGCAAACGAGTACGTCTTTCTCCATACTCCGATTGCAAATCAATTTTGACTCCCATGTTCAATAAATCTAATCGAGCAGCAATCACATCTTTATTTTTTCCAGGGATCTCCAGCAATATACCAATGATACTATCGCAAACATTCTTCTCAATGTGCATAACATCTAGGACATGCCTCACAGGAAGGTATTTCCAATACTCAAGATCAAAGAATATTGATTTCTTCTTCCAACAAACTCTGTCACCATCTTCAACCATATGCAGCACTTCTTCTCCGGTTAATGGCTCGGGAGGCGTGCCATATTCAGGTTTCCCATTAAAAGCTGCACGTTGCCTCCTATATGGATGATTGATTGGTAACCATTTTCTATGCCCAATGTAACAAATTTTGTGGCCATTTTTCAACCTGTGACTAGGTGTATCATCGCCGCATATTGGACAAGCTTTATATCCTTTAACAACACAACCAGATAAGTTTCCATAGGCGGGGAAATCATTAATTGTCCACATTAATGTAGCTCTGATTGTAAAGTATTCTTCATTATGTGCATCATACACTCCTCTAATCCCATCCCACAAAGATTTTAAATCATCAATCAAAGGCTCCAAGTAGACATCTATATCATTTCCGGGTTGTTTAGGACTGGAAATCAATAAGGTCAACATCATGAACTTTCGTTTCATGCACAACCATGGAGGGAGATTATATGTAACTAAGATAACTGGCCAGCAACTATATCTGCTACTTAGAGAACTATGGGGATTGAATCCATCATATGAAAGAGCCAATCTCAAGTTTCTCGGCTCATTACCAAACTCGGGCCATTTATCATCAAGAAGTTTCCAAGACGGGGAATTCGCCGGATGAGACATCTGACCGTCAATTGATTTTCTAGCAGCATGCCAAGTCAAACTTTTAGTTGTCTCATGTGATCGAAACATCCTTTTAAACCTTGGAATTGGAGGAAAATACCACACCACCTTCGCTGGCACACCCTCTTTCAAGATTGAATCTTTGCCTTCCTTCCACCTTGAGATACCACAAGTAGGACAATTAGTTGAATCTTCATACTTCTTCCTATACAAGATGCAATCATTGGGGCATGCGTGCATTTTCTCATAACTCAGCCCCAATGCACACAAAGTCTTTTTTGCCTCATACATAGAGGCCGGTATTGTATTTCCTTCTAGAAGCAAATCGCCTTGAAGTATCAATAATTCTGTAAAACAGACATCACTCATCCCATGTTTTGCCTTCAAATTATACAACTTCACTAATGCTGATAACTTCGTGTACTTTCTACAACCAGGGTACAATGGTTGATCTCCATCCCCAATCACATTGGCAAACTCATAAGGATCGGATCCAAAATCACCAAAATCATTATCATCCATCTCTATTTCTTCAGACACAAAACTGTACCTACTATGGTCATCATCTTCTTCAACATTTCTACTAGCATTAGTAGTTGCTTCCCAAGGTTCTCCGTGAAATGTCCAATTCTTATAGCTTTGGTCAACTCCATTAAAGTATAAGTGATCCCTTATAATTCCAACCCCAAACAATTTCAAATTAACACATTTAACACATGGACAACGGATATGTGTTGTAGTTAGAAGATTTTCTACAGAAAAGTTCAAAAATGCTTCCACCCCTAACTCATATGCCTTCGATCTTCTATCCGAGTGCATCCATGACTTATCCATCTCTGACACTATACCCTATTATCTATAATAAAGTGAAAAGACAAGCAATGACCATCACTATAGCAGATTATATAAAGTTTTAATAGCAAGTAATATACTACACAGACGACGGTTTTTAAACAAAACAGACGTATTTGACATATATAGACAACGGTTTATCAACAAACGTTGTCTAATTATAACCACGACAGTAGATAAAGAACACCGTCGTGTATAAGTAATACAGACGACTGTTTATTAAAAAACCGTCGTCGTATGCCTAAAAAGGCGTCGACATCCCAATTTATTTTCAAGAACCCAAAACTCTATTAAGAACACAACATATACATTAATTTTTATGTTGGGTATTAAGCATGAAACTAAGCATGAAACAACATATACTAAGCATGAAAACAATAAATCCATTCCCGATTCAACATAACAGAGAGTGATAAAAAGATCCGACAAAATTAAATCCATTCCCTATTCAACATAACAGAGAGTGATCATGAAAACATTAAACAGAAAATCCATGAACCTATACCTCCAACAACATTACTAAAAGATTGCACAACATATATCTAAAACTCTTTAACAAAACAACATAATATCATTCAATGAATTTACAAGGGGAAAATAAGGGTTTGTACTTACAGGTTGGCAGAGCTCACAGACTATGGCATACTTGGATTTGACGGAGCCTGGAGAGCCCAACTTTGAATTAGAGATTAAGGGAGAGAGCGAAATGTTATGTTGCCCGAAATCTGAAAATGTTAGGTTACGCGAAATTTTTTTGGAAAGCGCGCTCTGTAAAACATCGACGAAAAAAACAATCGAAGTCGTCAAAACTAAGAGAAACCATGGCAAAAGTTTTACCAAAACCGACGTAAATTCATTATTCCACGACTCAAACACTGAACTCAACGCCGTTTATTTTAAAGAAACCACGTCCTCTGTTGAACCAATAGCGTCGTTTGAATAACCTTTTACGTTTTTTTTTAAATCGATGACGTTGTTATTCATGTACAATGTCATTTTAAAGGAACATAAACACCGTCGTCAAAAAAGTAAACATCGACTGAAAACATAAATACCGTCGTTAAAAAATAATACCCTAAACCCTAAATTATATATTACTAAAATATAATTTTATAAAAGGGTTTATGGTTTTACAGCCTAATATATAACGTCTTTTAAACCGTAAACCCCAAAAATTATCCTTTAATCCTAAACCCTAATAAATAACAACCCTAAACCATCAAACTACAAGTGATGTTATGACTCATCAAAACAATTTATTTTTGGGTGGTCATTTTAAATTTGTATTACTCAAACTGAATTTTTTTAAGGTTTAGGGGGAAGAAAATATATCAATGACTTCACAGGAGTTGACGTTTCATTTTTTGGATTTATTTTATATTTATTTTGAATATTTTGAATTAAAAATAATAAAATATTCTTATATCAACTACAAACCACATCGGGGTTAATAAATTAAAGACGTTGTAAATCATAATAAACGACTCATTTGTAAAAAGGATGTCGTTTAAAAGAGAAACCATAGCGGATGTTTCACCATCCGACGTAAACTCAATATTCCACGACTCAATCACCGTCGTTAAAAAGTAATACTCTAAACCCTAAACCTTAAACCCTAAATTATATATTTTTAAAATATAATTTTATAAAAGGGTTTATGGTTTTACAGTCTAATATATAACAAACATAAACCATAAACCCCAAAATTATCCTTTAATCCTAAACCCTAATAAATAACAACCCTAAACCCTAAACCATCAAATTACAAGTGATGTTATGACTCATCAAAACAATTTATTTTTGGGTGGTCATTTTAAATTTGTATTACTCAAACTGAAATTTTTTTAAGGTTTAGGGGGAAGAAAATATATCAATGACTTCACAGGAGTTGACGTTTCATTTTTTGGATTTATTTTATATTTATTTTGAATATTTTGAATTAAAAATAATAAAATATTCTTATATCAACTACAAACCACGTCGGGGTTAATAAATTAAAGACATTGTAAATCATAATAAACGACTCACTTGTAAAAAGGACGTCGTTTAAAAGAGAAACCATGGCAGATGTTTCACCATCCGACGTAAACTCAATATTCCACGACTCAATCAGCGTCATTAAAAAGTAATACCCAAACCCTAAACCCTAAATTATATATCTTTAAAATATAATTTTATAAAAGGGTTTATGGTTTTACAGCCTAATATATAACAAACATAAACTGTAAACCCCAAAAATTATCCTTTAATCCTAAACCCTAAACCCTAAACCATCAAACTACAAGTGATGTTATGACTCATCAAACTACAAATTATCCTTTAATCCTAAACCCTAAGCCTAATATAAATACTTTAGCCGTCCGACTATACTCAATTTTTTAAATTTTTTTAGCAAAGCTAGTATAGCCGAGCGGCTCTACTCGTTTTCCCCTAATTTTTTTTTTAAAAATTGTATAGCCGAGTGGCTTTCCTATTTCTACATGTGTCGCCTAGGCACTAGGCGGGTCCTTTTATATGCTACACCCGATTTTAAATTTTTTTTAAAATGCCGTATAGCCGGGCGGCTATACTGATTTTGGACACGTGGGCACCTAATCGTTGGGCCTGGGTGGGTCTTATACATAGTATAGCCACGCGGCTATACTAGATTTTAAATTTTTTTTAAAGAAATAGTAGGTGGCTTTACTCTTTTAACGCATGGCACCTAGGCGTTGGGTGCGTTCTTTTTATATATATAAATAGTATAGCCGCACGGCTATACTCTTTAAAAAGAAAATGTATTACATGAAATTTCTGCCGGCGAAATTTCGTCGGCACAGACCTCTGCAGACAAAATTTCGTCGGGAGAGTTTTTTTTTTTATAAAAAAAAATGTAAAAATATAAAATTTGTTTCTTTACTTTTGTTTTTTGGCCTAATTCGTTAATTTAATATATGTAATTAAGTAATATCTTAGTCTTTTTGAATTACTTTAATTAGTAATTATATTTTCATTATTATTTAATATATAAAAATTAAAGAAAAAATCCACAAAATAATTAATTTCTATTTATTAAGTCTTTTGTGAAATCGTTTGGGTGTCTTAATTAAATTTCCCCACACACCATTGACAATCTGCTTACTTAGCTTTTGATAGTTTATGAAAGTTCTTTAATGCCAGAATAGAACAATGACTGATGCTCAGGGTTTCAATGTAGTAGCTTTGATAATTATGAAGTTGTGTGTTGTAGTTTCGAGCTTTGGTTCACCAATTATAGCACAAAGGTTTTTATATCCCCTTTGATTAGGGAAGAAAAGAGAGATTTCATTTGAATGTGACTTCTTTCATTAATATTTAAAAGCACGTTGAAATAGACTAAAAACTAATTGGTATACACTCTTGTGTGTTGTCATAAAGGAAGCTCTTGTCATAACATGCAATTAATTAAACATACACTGTAAAATTATTAGACTGATCAAACTCGCTTTTTTCCAAGGAAATGTCATGAATTCGAGTCCTGACATCCGTGTAGTATGTGTTCATCCATTTCAATAGGAAATATTCTAAAACATGTATTAATAGTATTTGGGTTTGGATGCTGAGATTTGAGGGCTGTACTTTGGCTTAGTGGACTCCACGTTGGGACAAGAGGGGTCGCACAACCCCTTGGGATGCTGGAAATCTGGTCGTGGACTCCACCAACCACAGAGGAGCAAGGGTGGTCAAATGACCCCTGCAACTCTAGGATCTATCATTAGAGGGGAGAAAATTGACCCCTGCAAATTGCTCGACGAAGTCCTCAAAGGGCGCGAAGCACTGCTCTTCTCCCTAGCGCACAGCATCCTCCAGGGCGCAGGGCTGCTTGCGCTTCCTTCTTTTCTTTCTCCTCGACGTCAAAACGACGTCGTCCTACTAAACCCTTTTGGCTCAGGTTTTAAAAAAAGAAAGAAAAAAAAAGAGAACGGCCTCTGTTTTAACAGAGGCAGACAGCCCGACAATTTCCTCCCCTCCCCAAAATGAGTTTTAGCTCATTTCTGTACCCATAAACTACTGTACTCAACATATGCCAACCAATGTATATGTTTAGTTTTGTGAATGTATAATACAAATAAACAATTAAGAGGCCATATTAAGAACAAGGAGATCCAGTAAGATAGTCTTGCTCTCAAAATTAAGAGGTTGGAGAAATTCCTCTAGTCCCCTCACAAGGAAAATGAAATGTCAAAGTCTCGGCACCTGTTGGCTGGTTGTTTCAGACCGCATATACTCGAGTATGCCGTCAACCGTCCATTTTGGGATGGTTTCAAGCTTTGGCACCAGCACTAATATTTACTTTGGCACCAGCCTATACAAACAAAGATGGAAAAGTAAATGTTGCCAATCAAATGACGATCCACAGATTAACCTGTCCAGAATACTAACCAACTCCCTAGAAGTAAAAATTGAATTCGTATTTACATATACATTGTTTGAAATATTTACAAATTCTTTAATTATGATGTGATTTTTTCTCGTCGTGGACAATTGTAATATGGTTTTTTTGTCCTACTAATTATGAATTATAAATCATTGTTTCATTTTTGTATATAAATTTTTTACCTTTTTTAGACGTTGACCCATGCAAGGAAAATTACTGGATCCGTCCCTGTGCACATAAGGTACTCAATGAAAGTCCCCTGTGGGCTTGCCTTGCGCTGCTCAGTGCTCTCTAACCTTCGTCCAGACGCACTCTCGCCGCAGCACCACGACTTGAATTTCTTTTGGGTTGCAGAGGCAGCGAAGAAGATGATTTTGGTGATGTTACCCTAGCCTAGCTTATGCCTCATTTTAGTTGAAACACACTAACTTGTAGGTTTTTCAAAAAAGTCTGGGCCATGTATAATGATGAAGAAGTCTGGCCCAAAGTTTTATTAATAACTTGTAAGTCTTTTTAAAAAGTCTGGGCCATCCATGCTAGCACGACCCTATTGCTAGAATTCTTTTGTATCTGTTTCTATTATCTACTAGTAGTCGCACACTAAAAGTCACTGAGGCTTGTACGTAAATTAACATTCCAAAACTTCTAAAAATAAAGAACGTCTTGAGAAACAATAGCCTGCTAGTCCACATGAATAAAGAATAAAGGTTTACGCCAGAATTTAGAGGAAACCGAAACCCACAATGATGCCCAAATGCGAACTATACCCCACAAACACGAACATTTTCCCCACCATAATTTCAGTAATCTTTTTATTTTGTTTCATCTACACCACCTGGAAGACGACTGACACCCTACAATTCACAAGATTGTCACTTTATTGTTCCTGCACCAAAAGTGCAATTCTTCTCAATGTAGTTAAGCCGTTCTTTGTGTGTACAGGCTGCCAAAACTTCTTGCCAATGTGATTGTAATGGGCTCGGCAGTATTGGGCAAATCTTTGGTCCAAGCATACCGTATGTCGGGCATTCTCAAGCATGCTTCTCTTGAATCCCAAATTCAGAGCTTACAGAACAGAAATGCCGTGTGTGTAGTTTAAGATAGTATCTTTGTGGTATCTCTGAATGCAGATGCCTCAAAGTCTGGTGTTGCTCAGGAAGCAGTATAGAATATTAGGAGAGCAACCGAAATTATGGCTGAGCTGAGCCAGAGGCAAGGCAGGTTCTAGGTGTCACAGAGCACGCATCATGGGAGGAGAGATCTTGCAGGTTTGCTCTGTTCATCTATCTTTCAACTCCATTGTTTTGGCTGCATGTAAATGTTAGCGTCAAATCTTCTAAGAGAAATATTAGTGATTTCATTATTGAAACAATTCCTTTATGTAGGGGTATGACAACTTGTTCAACCAGAATATGCCACAAATTGAAGCTTTAATCTTCAGTCAAAGGTCTATAGAGCTAAAGAATGGTTAGAATTAACTCTCAAGATCCGCTTGGTATGCCCCTAAAACACCTTGTGTCTCTGGATTTAAAATAAAAAGAAAATAGTAGGACATCCCTTCATCATCATATACATTATGTTGTTTTTTTGTGGTCAAAATCATACATTGCGTTCTTCCGAGACATAATTTCACTGATGGGATTTCCATGGTCATATGAACAGTTGATGTAAAAAAATTCAGTTTATAATGACGCAGAAGACCAAATACCAGATACAATTCCACAATGATAAAAAAACGATCACCACCCAAAATGTAATAGAATCCCAACTTACAATATTAGTGCTATTGATTAAAACAAAACACACAAGAAATGTGAAGGAAATCTACGGTGTGAAGCATAGCTTAAGGCTGAACCAACCATTGCCCATGAGATCCACAGAACGAACAGTTGAATGCAAGGTCTTAATCATATGTCTTCCTCTTTTTCCAACAACAATTTGAAACGTGGTGATACAAAGATATTGAACATGGCGAGGTGCTTTGCAAGTGCCACTCTTAATATGACAAAAGTCATGGTTCCCTAAATGAACCAAATACTCTGTCCTACCCAAATGAAATGGCAGCGGCGGACTCGCAATTTTTAAGCCTCGTAATTTAAACAGTTTTCTTAGTGAATATACAACACCACCGTCATCACCTTTGTCCATTCTAAAGGAGAATGCCATAATCTCCTCTTTCGAACGCCTATTTAAAGCATATATAGTCTCACCTACAACCACGGCCCTCCCATGAAAAGGAGCATAAGTAGAAGTGTTAACTTCAACATGATTCCATTCTTTTCCCTTTCTACTCTCATGAAAAGCAAGGACTTTGGAATTCCAGTTGTCCGCGTTGCACAATGAAAACAAAATAACACCATAACAAATGGCATAACCAGTTATTTCCATACCGAAGAAATCATCATAAGATGGAAAAGGAGGCATTGACTCCCAAACCTCCAGATTGGGATCATATCTCTCAAAGCATGGATCATCCGGATATCTGGACCAGTGTGGAGAGGCAAGATAATACAATTTCCCATTAGCAGACACAACATTTGCCATTGGCTTAGTTGCTATGGTAGGAGGAATCGATGGAATTACTGCCCTAGTCTCCGTGTCAAAAACATATCCTCCCAATGATCTAGCGGGGGAGGGCCAAGAACTTTCATCGTGAGTGTCCTGTTGAAGTAGATATATTTTGGAGGAGATACTCGCACTCTGAAGGAAAAACATATTCGAGAACTTGGCTAGAGGTTCAAGAAGTGGAGCTGCTTCTCGGCCCATATCATCATCAAAAACTTCTCCTGTACATCTGCGTTTGAACTTTACTTCATATATTGCCTCGTTGTGTCGGCCCTCAGAAAAAGACACCACTAAAAACATAGACCTAGCTTTCCCCGGATTTACCGTCATTGATGCATGTTCCCCCGTGGGCCTACCAGCAACCACCGTGGGATTTGGACGACTGGGGCTAGCACTAGTACTAGCTTTCTGGATTTTCGATAACTTGTCATGGATCTCATCTTCCCGCCGTGAAGCCATCCTCATCAAAACCTGGTCCGAGGCAACCGAAGCTTTGGATTCATTATTCCGACGCTCCATGATATATACCAGATGATGTAGCAAGGAGATTAGAACAAGGAGATTAGAAGAAGCGAAAGAGAGATTAGGGTTAGGGCTAAGAAGAGAGACAAAATTTAAAAGAGATCACTCAGGGGCAGATAATTTCATAATTTCTCAATTACAAAGCATGTATTTATAATGACCTAATTAATATTGCTACAGGAAAGCAATCCTAAACCCTGTAGAAACCGGAAAGTAATTCTAAACAGTTGATTTTTTTTCAATGGAAATTTTTACACCCAATAACAATTGAGATACACACAATTTATTTTTTGCCCATTTTACCCTCTCCTCCACCAATAATAAGGCCATCTCCAACTCATGAGGCCAAACCCAAAATATCCCAAATGCTCTCCCAACCCAAGAAAATGAAGGGGTCAAAATTTGGGAAAAACCCAAACTTGAGGTCAAATAGCAGTCCAGCTATTGTTGGGACACAAAAAAATTCGGTGAATCCCACTGACTGCTAACGCAACCATGTGCAAGGGAGTCAAAATGGGGCCTGCGCTACAATGGCTGTTGGCTGACTAACGCAGTCAGCGTGAGTGTTGCGACATGGTCATGTTGTTGTTGGAATCCAACGACAACAATTTAAACTTTGTTTTATATATTATATATTCTAATAGTAACTTAAATCAACGATCTAGATTAAATATAAGCTATTTTAACAATAAAAAAAAAGATCCAATAACTGAAATTTAAATCCAACGATCAAAATAATAGTGATTGATTTTAGGGGTAGAAAATTGGACAAGTTGAAGGCTTAGAACCACCATGAAATCAATCACTATTATTCTGGTGCAAAGACAAAAGCAAGGAAGAAGGGATTTAAATGCTTAGCTGGGTGTCTTCTTTAGTATGTATGTGAAGAGCTGAGAAATACAAATGCAACAACACAAAATGCATGACACAGAGTTTAATGGGGAAGGTTTTGTTCATGCTAAAATATGAAAACTATGAGAGAATATTTGTTTGTGGGAATTTTCTGTGTACTTTTCTCCTTGTAGGAGGTCATATTTATAATACAACGAAACTTGAATGGGCAAGTAAATAATAAATTCATAAATCTATTTACAGTAGGAAATCAAGAATTAAAGTAAATCAATTACAATTATAATAGGAATTCTTGGTGTGTAAGGAAAGTAAGTAAATATCCACAAGTCACGCCAACACTCCCCCTCACGTTGGTTTATAGATGTCGCCAATGCCCAACTGATCTAGTGAATTGTGGAATGCTTTACTGGAAATCTCCTTTGTCAAAATATCCGCCAATTGATCCTCGGATTTCACAAAAGGAAACTGAAACACTTTAGCCTCAAGCTTCTGTTTGATGAAGTGTCGATCCACCTTAACATGTTTAGTACGATCATGCTGAACCGGATTCTATGCAATGGCTATAGCAGCCTTGTTGTCACAAAAGAGATTCATTGTGGATGTAGGTTTATACCAAGTTCAGTAAGCAACTTTCTTAACCAAAGAAGTTCACAAATCCCTTTAGTCATGCCTCTGAACTCGGCTTCTGCACTAGATAAAGCTAATGCATTTTGTTTTTTGCTCCTCCATGTCACCAAATTACCTCTCACGAATGTGTAACCCGATGTGGATTTTCTATATGTTACATTACCTGCCCAATTTGCATATAACCATCAATATTTAGATGACCATGCTTTGAGAATATAAGTCCTTTTCCAAGTGCAGACTTCAAATATATAAGCATCCAAAGAACTGCATTCATGTGGTCTTCACTTGGAGAGTGCATAAATTAACTGACAACGCTCACCACATAAGCAATGTCTGGTCGAGTATGTGACAATAGATCAATCTTCCCACTAACCTTTGGTATCTTTCTTTATTAGTTGGAACTTGATCCGGATATTCTCCAAGATGATGATTCTGAACAATAGCAGTGTCCGCAGGTTTGCAATCTAGCATTCCTGTGTCTGTCAACAAGTCCAAGACATATTTCCTTTGAGAGAGAAATATGCCTTGTTGCGATCGAGCCACCTCAATTCCCAAGAAATATTGGAGTCCACCTAGATCCTTCATCTCAAACTCAGTAGCCAAATAGTCTTGTAGCTGTGATATTTCCTGTTTATCATTCCCAGTAATAATCATATCATCAACATAGATTATTAATTCAGTTACCTTCCCTTTCCGATGTTTCAAGAACAGAGTATGATCTGAGTTGCACTGTTCGAAACCATTGTTCTTCATTGCCATGGTGAACCGTCCAAACCATGCACGTGGTGATTGTTTCAATCCATATATGTTTTTTGTAAATTGCAAACTGTTCCAGTTTGAGTAGTATTATATGTAACACTCCGACTCTAAATTAATTTCGTTATTTAAAGTATTTAATTCAATTAAATTTGAATTTACGAATTTACCATTAGGGTAGGGGTATTCTGGTCATTTTCTTATCCGGAGAGAGTTTGGGGAAATGAATGGTATTTTTGGATAAATCGTACTGAGATGAGTCCGTAGACACGTAATGGGCTCGATTCGGAGTTGTAACGAAGGAGTTACAATAAAAACAAGTTCAATGGCATAATCGTAATTTTCTCGAAGTTGGTTTTTAATAAATCTGGAAATTCCCTCTCTCTCTCTCTCTCTCTCTCTCTCTCTCTCTCTCTCTCTCTCTCTCCCTGCGCACAGAACAACCCCTCCTTGTTAATGTTCATCCGAACGGTTTTTCCTCCGCTACTTCTTCCACCGGCTACCAAACTTCGTGATTTCGGTACCAAAACGTCAAGCTCACTTCCCTCTTCCCATCCCAACCCTTCATAGCTGCCACCGCTGCCCGTGGTAGCCAGAAATTGCAGAAAAGTCGTCGGTTTTACCCATAACTTGAAGGAGCTCGTTCGGGTGATTCCGGCAACCACATTCTTCGAACTTGGTATGCATTTCTATCCTTTCAACTTACTCTAGCTGCTGGTTGTGGTATTTAGATCGATTTCTGAGTTTTGCAACGTTTCCAAGCGATGGAAGTTTTGGCCGGTTTCGGTCTCCGATTCCGGCCACTTCCGTCGACATTTTGGGGTAGGTCCAAGAACAAAAGTTGCTCCACTACATGTGATTTACCTAACCTGGAAGTCTTGGTTGGCGGTTTGGAGTTTTTTCGGCCCCAGAAAATTTCTTTGGGCACCTATGCGCTGCTGGCGCGTGGGGTGGCGCGTGGGGACAATGTCGGTCTGTCTTTAGGTTCTAAAATGATCCTTGTGATGTCCCGAGTATAACGGTATTCTCGGATTCCAATTTGGTAATCGTTTGATCGTAGATCGGATATCGCATATTGTGCGTTATCCGGGTTCGATATGTTCGGACCGTTGGATCGACTCCATTCCAATATATGTTAATCTAGACCTTCCTAGGATCGTGTAGAAATCCGCGGATCGTGAATCGGAGCCCTGGATGTTCCGATTCAATAACTTAAAGTTTGCGTTTTGAGATCACCGTCTGATTGTGCGATCGTGAGCAATCCGACCGTCCGTTTCGGACCAAACTTGCATGACGTGAATCCTAGACCTTGTGGAACCCTTAGGAACTTTCAATTTGTCTCGTTCCTCGTACACTCTTTAGAAACCCGGGAAACTAGGATTTTAATTTAAAGTTCTCTTTCGAAACGCTTTGTGTTAATCTCGTATTCGTATTCTGAAATAGGTACTCCGACCACGCACACGCAGCAGGCGGGACCCTCTCAGGGTCAAGCAGTGTGGGACTACTTGTGAGTGGACTTTGTTTTCAAATCTTAAGCATGTTTTTATTGATGGAAAAATATTGCATACTGTTTTAAATGGCATATTGGATTTATTATATATTTGATTGACGATTTTGATGTTCTCCTAAAGCTTTGGCATTATATTTTGGGTTTTGACATATTTGAGTATCTTGAGTATGTTTGTATGGAAATTGAGAATTTCTACCTATATTGTCTATGTGTGGGGTACTTGGGTTGTTGAGTTGTGATTGTGGAAAGGTTTGAGTATAGAATGTCAGTTTGGAGTGCTATAAGCACTACCCTATGTACCTCCCTGAAATTGGAACTTGGATACGGAAACTTGAGATACTTGGATTTGTCGGACCCGGGGCATCCTTGACGGGATGTTGCTGTAGACCCTTGATTGGGTAGTCTGCGCGTGTAGGACTGGTTTTCAAGCGTACAAGCTTTGAGAGTCTCGGCCGTACGTGCTGGCTGAGCGTTAGTCCCCCAGTTGGATGACTCGTTCCCTAGCCACATGGTGAATTGAGGAATTTCTCTGCCATGTGGACTAGTCAAACAATCCCCCGGTTAGATTGTTTCCCCGGTACAACTAGGTGTTGGTTATATTATATGATATATATCTTAGTATATTATATATTATTATATATATGTAACCATTCCTTCGTTCTTGTTTCTCGATGAGGATACTTCCTCGCCGGTCGTGCCAATGGGTACACTTTCGAGAGTTAAATTGTGGGATTTATAAGTTTTGGATGGTGGGTATGTAAAGTATTCGTTATGGATTTTGGACTTGGCATCCGGTATTGTTTTGATTTGATATTTATATATGATTTTAATGGTTTTGTGATGCATTTGGACTTTCTAGCATGTTTTCCTAAACGGTGGGGTTATATTATGTTGGTTTACACTGAACTGAACTTTATTTTTGTCCACCCACAATTTTCTGTTTTGCGCCCCCCAGCCAATAGTTGACTGAGCTCCGCAGCTGAGTCGGATCGTGTGCTTTCGAATCTTGAGCCTTCATAGGAACTCTTTCTTCATTTTATTATGTTGAACTTTGTTCTTGTTGTAACTGAAATTCTTAGACATGCTCTGTTAATGCCCGCGTAGGGTTTGGTTTGTGAGGCCGGAGGCCTTTGTTGTAAACTGTTTATTTGCTTTAAAGCATGTTGTTGGTTGGGATTGTTAAACTGTGAATTTTGAGCAAGTTGAAGTTTGGGAAATGTTCAATTTACATGGGAGACTTAGCCAAAATTTTGGTAGAAAGTCTCGATTCTTAGTAAGTGGGCCCGGCATTAGGGTGATGTCGGTAATTAGGCGGGATCCGTCCCGATTTTCGAGGAAATCCGGGGTAGGTCCTGTCATTATATCCAGGAGGAATGTCCATGTACACTTCCTCCGTGAGTTCGCCATGTAGAAAAGCATTCTTTACATCAAATTGGTGTACTGACCAATCCAAATTAGCTGCAAGGGACAGTAAAACTATGATGATGTTTAACTTTGCAACTGGTGCAAAGGTTTCTTCATAGTCTACACCATAGGTATGTGTGTACCCTTTTGCCACAAGTCTTGCCTTATATCACTCGATAGATCCATTTGCATTGTGTTTTATAGTAAACACCCATTTACATCCGATAGTCTTTTTTCCTCATGGTATAGTCTCTAATGTCCAAGTCTGATTTTTTCTCAAGAGCTTTCATCTCCTTTTTTTTTATAGCTTGGACCCACTTAGGATCTTTCAATACTTCAGAGACCTTGGTTGGAATATGAATAGCAGACAACTGATGCACAAAAGCCTTGAGTGGTTCAGACATTCTCAGTGGATACATGATTTGCAATTAAATACTTGGATGTCTTACCAATATCAGGTGAATAACAGTTTGGTGGCTTCCCACGATTTTGCTTGAAAGGTAATTGATATCCAATAGTTTTATCCTCTAAATGCACAAGTCTAGTAGGAGTAGTTACCTCAGAGATATTCTCAGGAGATTGGTCCGTTGGTACTATTGAGTGAGAGGGGGGGTCTTTATCTTGTTTTTCTGAGTTGTCTATAGGAATATGACTCGAATCAAAAATAGCTTCGCAAGGGTTAGGCGATCGATCGTTGGTTGGCAGAGAGCATTCGCACGTGCTAGACTCGGGACAATCGATTGTTATTGTTTCTTGGCCGAGAGTAATCTTCATGCATAGATGAATATCTTCGTTTTCCATGCTGCTCCAGTTGAGCTCTTCACTCCGTATCTCCCCCTGAATAGTAGAATTGGATGTTGGGTCATAGAAGAACATCTCCGATTCCAAAAAGGTGACATCCAAAGTGACATAGGTTCGCCGAATAGGAGGGTGATAACATCAGTAGCATTTCTTATGAGTGACATAACCCAAAAAAACACAACGAAGCGCACATGGATCAAGTTTGCTTCGTTGATTTTTGTGGAGATAAATGAAGGCCACACAACCAAAAATGCGAGGGGTAAGCAGCGAAACAGAAGGTAGAGGCCCATGTTGTGCGAGCACTTGTAATGAAGTTTTGAAGTTCAAGACCCAATAAGGCATGCAATTGATAAGATGGACAACAGTGATGATAGCATCATCCCAGTGATGACGAGGAACATGACCACTAATGAGAAGAGCACGGGCTATTTCAAAGAGATGATGATTCTTCCGTTCAGCAACACCATTTTGTTATGGTGTCTGGGTGCAAGTTGTCTCATGAATAATGCCATGTGTCTGGAAGTAAGTCTGAAAATCATTATTAACAAATTCTCCACCGTTGTCAAAGCAAAAAATCTGTATTCGAGCATTGATCTGTGTTTCCATCTATTTGTGAAAGGATTGGAAGAGGGAAAACACTTCATTCTTATTTTTCACCAAATAAATCCATGTCATTCGTGTACAATCATCTACGAATGTGACAAACCAACGAATACCGGAAGAAGTCGAAATAGGTAAGGGTTCCCAAACATCAGAATGAATTAAAGCAAAAGGAATAGTACTTTTATTCATACTTAAAGGTAGGCCTCATCATTTGGCCCGCGGGCTCATAGGCCGATGGGGGCCCGCCCGGCCCGGCCCGTTATGGGCTTTGAGATGGCCCGGCCTGCCTTGGGCCGGGCTAGGCTTAGGCTTGGGTGTTTGAAGCCCGGCCCGACCCATAGGCCCAGCCCGGTTAAGTACAAGAAAGCCCGGCCCGTTAGGTCCGCATACATATATAATTATGTATAAATAAAAGTTTATGATTAGGATTATATCACTTAAATCACATATATAATTTGTTTCATTTCATTTACTTTTCTTTATTCATTCCTAGTTTATAATTGGATGATTAACACATTAATTTGTGTCAATTATATATATAAAAATAAGATGAACAACATATCATATCACCAAATATATTCATATCACGAAACATAATCGTACCACCAAATTTAATAATGCTTTTCTTGAACACATCACCAAACATTTGCATATTTATTCATACCATCCTTTAAAAAAATATTTTTTTGATACTTATTATTTTTTAAAATTATTTTTTAAAACATATTACGGTCTAATTATGTAATAACCTCAAAAATAATACTTGGTTTTATTATTTTTGTGGAAAATCTTATTAAGTTGTGTGACTTTATTGGGTGTTTTATGCATTTGGTTTGATGTGAAAATATTGAAATTAAGTGAGTTTAATCTCAAATTTGGACTAAAATGCCCTTATGATTAAGTTTATGATTTTTTTCGAATGAAGTAGGCCGTTTCGACCCGGCCCGTTGGGCTAAGCCCGGCCCGGCCCAATGGGCTTTCTCAAGCCCGGCTCATGGGTCGGGCTTGGGCTTTGAATTTTCTAAAAAAACTCGGCCCAAGCCTATTAAATTTGGGCCAGGCTAGCCCGGCCCGGCCCATTGACGAGCCCTACTTAAAGGATAGGATGCCCTATGACTCTTGGCTAAAATGCAAGTTTCACATTTAAAATATGAGTCTTGAAATACAGAAAACAACTCGGGCAATAAGTGTCTCATATAACCAAAAGATGTATGCCCCAAACGTCGGTGCCAGAGCCAAATCTATCAGTGCTTATCATCAGACGAATGCTTCACACTATTGGCACGTCCCATACTAAAGTCATGCACATAGTACAACCCCCCTCTTTTAGTACCACGTTCAATGATCTCCTTGGTGAGAATATCCTATAGTAAACAAAAATTGGGATAAATTAGTGCACAACAATTTAGTTCTTCAGTTGCCTGGCTCACAGACATTAATTTATTGGACAAAGATGGAACGAGTAGAGTATTAGAAAGGGACAGAGAAGGTGAAAGGGCGACAGTGTCGGCCCTGTCACAGGATAGGTAACTCCATTCACGTTGGCAATACTTGTGCGGCGAGGTGTAGTGGTATGCAAAAAATCATTCGGATCAAAGGTGATATGATCAGTGGCGCCAGAATCAATTATCCAACCAGTAGTATCTCGTAGATCAGAAGTATGAAATGCATAACTGCAATTACCAGAGACATCCGGAAGCGTGGGACTATCAGTAGGGTTTACCTACGGGAACAAGGCTAATTGGGGTTCGGTAGAGACAAGAGCAGCACGGCCGGAATTACTAGCAGTTTCTTTGAGCTTACAAGCGCGGAGGTCCTCCCACCAATCAAGATAACCATTCAACTTAAAACAGGTATCGCGTGTATGTTTGGGGTTGCCACAGTGCGTACAACCACTGCCATCCGTCAGAACTTTGGGGTATGAAAGGTGGGATGGTTTTAGGAGGTGGCATACCACCAGCAGTAACATATGACTGGATCTGAAGGTAGGCCGCAGTAGAGGAATTATGGGGATGTCCGGCACGAGTAAGGGGACCTGATCGAGGCGCACTCTTGGCCGCTAAGCTAATGCTAGTGGGTACAGAGGAACCCATCATCACAGCTTGTCGAACATCTTCACGGCGAACATAGGCATAAGCTTGGTCCACAGTAGGGAATGGAATCATGTGAAGAACATCACTTCGAGCCTTATCAAGACGATCATCAAGGCCATCCAAAAATATGTAAACTCAATCTTCCTACAGAATATCATTATATCGCTTGATATCACTTTCATACTCCATCATATTTGGACGACGGAAATCAATCTCTCTCCATAAGCTTTGGAGAGTATTGTAATAGGTTTCAATGGAGCCGCTAGCTTGTCGCATATGGGAGACTCGTCGTTTCATATCATAAACCTAAAAGGTGTCAATGCCATCATAGTAAGTTGTGGCAATTGCATCCCATATTGCTTTTGCCGTCGGAAAACGAATGAAATTGCCAATCAAGCTCTGCTCCAAAGAGAACACTTACTGAACAGTAATTCAACAACCACAATGTTTTAAAGAAACATTAAAAGGTAAAGTAAAAGTTAAAAGTCATACAATGGAACACAAGGAACACATAATTTACAATTCTTCCAAAAGCTCTACATATTGTTATGAATCAAATCTAAAAATCCAGGAAAGAAGCATCTAACATCAGCAACGACTTCTTCAATAATAACCCTAACCCCTCCACGTTTGCGGCAATTAACATGAATGTAGTGCTGATAGAGATTTCGATGAAATCTAAGAAGGTCCACCATCAACGAACCATCATAATCAGAATCCATATGACGATAAATCTCCTTCATGTAATCTTTCCACGAAGCAATTGCAGCTTTAGTATTCCAAGGCCTGAACCATTGAAATGTAACAGAATTCAACAGTTTTCGTAGACGAGAATCCTTGTTAAGATGAAGTTTATCAAAGTACCGCATCCTACCATTGTGAGTCTTCAAGAAAGGATGGTTCTTCAGACTATTCACATATCCAGCGTGCCTAAAACAAAAAACACCTTAATCAAACAACACAAACCAAAAAACAACAATTCAATCAAAACAAATGAATCAAAATAACAAAACTCACTACAAACGGGATGTACTGTTAAAACATAATAGAAAACTATCTCTCTCCTCCCAAGTACTGGATGAGGGAATACCAAACTTTGACAACAAAGTGAATATCCTTTCCAAAACAATCTGCAGGCCATGAAAATCCTTGGTTTTCTTCAACTCTTGCTTAGAGGGATCATGTTCAATCAACAAACCTTCCACATTGATTAGCTTGAAGGAACCACCAACAAGAATATAACTTAAACTCTTGTTCAATGCACCATGATATAGACCAATACCAATTGAATGAAGGTGTGAAATACCCTTAATCAATTGTCTGCAAACACAAAATAAAAATACAATTAAACAGCTGCAAACCTTAATAGGATACAAAATCAAAAATCAATGCTCACCTAATTTCATCAATCCAATATGGGCACAGGCGGCGCTCACCGACCATGACATTAACCTTGGCAGCATCACTTACTAAACCAGACTTTAGATATAGCATCCAATCGCTTAAATTTGCAGCATATTTCTCATAGCAAACCGCAGACCAATTCACAAAGTTACTACCGACACTGTCACATCGACCAAATTGCAAAGCCCTAGAAAACTTAATATGTGAAAAGAGTGAAGATCAACTGAAAATCTTCTCAGCTTTCAACTAAGCTTCCAAACCTTGGCCAATAAGAGCAAAAGTGACCTCTCTTGGAGGTCCACCCTGCTGGAATGAAAGATCTCCACTGCAATAGCCATCCAAAGCAGATCCAGAAAAACTATAACGATTGAGAAATGCCCCAATCACAGTGCAATGAGACTGGTTCTCTTAAGGTAGTTTTGCACTGTGATTGGGGCATTTCTCAATCGTTATAATTTTTCTGGATATGCTTTGGATGGCTATTGTAGTGGAGATTTTTTGTTCCAGCAGGGTGGACCTCCAAGGGATTCATACAAAACGAAGGACATAGGATTCATACAAAACGGAAATTCACCTCTGCTTCACCTCAGGGGAACTACAATTATGATTTGGCTTCTCTGGTGAAACTGCAAAAGGATTTCTCTGTCTCTGGTGGACCGCGATTAGGATTTCTCCAATAAATACTAAACCATAGGATAAGTTATCAACTATTTCTCCTATTGTTCATGGGATGAGGTAAGAAATTTTATGTAATTTTACCGCCATCTGTTTTAGGTCAGATGAGACCACAAAGTTATCAGCAACAATAACCAAGATTCTAAGAATCAAGAGAGAGAGTTCTCACTTATGTTTGTGCTTCTTAGAGCATCCACAGTGAGATGGTGTAAATTCGGGGGTGTAAAGCCACTTTTACATCCCCTTTACACCTCCGGGGGGTGTAAATACGTTTTTTGCTCCAATGGGAAAATATGTAAATATAAGATGTATAATTGTTTTGTTTTGTCTTAATTCGTTTTTGTGTTAAATTTGTATTTTGTGTTTACTTTATAATTTTTTTTTTTTTTTTTTTTTAATTTTAATTTTTCAAACAAATAGACCTAAAAATATTTAAATTCGAAGAAGATATGATTTCATCCAAAAACATTGGGGGGAACATGAAAACCACAAATGAGCAAACAACATGTGATTTTTTTTCCAGCAATTACTGTAGCCGCGGGTCCCAGCCTTTTATGCTGACTTTTCTTCATTTTTCTTCTCTCTTCTTGGGTGGGTCCCGCCTGCAAAAGATGTAAAAATAGATGTAAATATACATTTTATTTTACATCTCCATGGTGATGATGTATATTTATAACCCTTTACATCTTCCCATTAGAGACGATTCCAGTGACAAGGGTTGTATATTTAACATACACCCCCATATACACCCTCCCATTGTAGATGCTCGTTATAGTTTGGCAATGTACTTGAATCTCTTGTTCATATTCTATTTATAGCAAATTTAACAACTCGGCTTCACCTTTGTATATACCTTGTCTTCACTGGATCATTATTCCTTATGAGAGATGGGATTTGAATGAGTTAGACATTAATCAACACTCATACAGAAAACCCCACCACTAAGTTTTAATTGAAAGCCTTTAGCCACTAAAACTTAAACAAATACAAAGATCTTAAACACTAGTCGCATGGCTAATATTGTTACATGCCTCTCTCTGTCTCTTTCTTTTTCTTGTTTTCCAAGTACTATATAGATCAAAGCTAATTAAGGGTGAGGGTGACCTTTTTATGCATTGGCGGTTCATTTATTCACTTTCCGGAAATTATATTAAAGGTTTCCTCTCTTTGTTGAGAGGCTAGGCCACTGATCATTAATGTTTTAACCCTAAGGCCCCGTTTGATTTAGGGAATGGATTTGAGGGGAAATCATTTCCCATGTCATTTCCCAAGGAATGGGAATGAAAGATTCTTTTCCCACGTTTGGTAATGTCGGGAAAGTAACCGGGAGATTTCACTTTGTTTCCTTTCCCATGTTTGTTTTGAGTAGGAATGGAAAACAAAGTTTGTATAATTTTCCAATTATACCCATATTAAATCAAATAAAAAAAGAATGCATTTAATTATACGTTGTAATTATAAATTGTTCATAGGGACAAAATAGTCATGAAAATTGTGCATTGAATGTTGGCTTATTTTTCCAAACTTTCCCATGAGGAGGGAAAACAAAACCCAAGTTAAGAAGATAGCTTCACTTCCCCCCCTACTTTCCCATGTGCCAAGCAACCATTTCCCATGCCTAGAGTCCTAGACTTACCAAACATAGGAAAGCAATTTAATTCCCATTCCCAAGCCTCCTTTCTCATGAACCAAACAGGGCCTAAGGGGTCTGTTTTGGTGAGATAAGGAAGACTAGATCAAGGGTTTCTCAGGTGATTAAATACATAATGATATTTCAGTGATGAATCCTGTTGTTAGTGAAAGGACATGGTCAACAGTTGATGTAAAAAATTTCAGTTTCATAATGATATTAATATGTACATTATAAGAATGGAAATCTTCTCTTCTTTTATGGTCTCATTTAAGGGAGTTTTCAATCATCTTTTTTTACTAGCCTTTGGAGAGCTTCAGTGTACATTTTTGAACTGTGGTTTGGATTCTCATTGAGCTTACTAGGTTCTTTAGTAGGTATAAAGATTTTAACATTTTCATGTTTAATAATGTATTATACATGTACGCAAGTATTTCTCATATTTAATACACGTATTTTTTTACAAAAATCTCAATAAGACATACAAAATTCACGTATTATACACATAATTCTCACATATTACTAAATAGAAAATAATATATATTTAAAAATAAAATAAAAAATATATCGCCGCACAGCTATACTTAGCTTTTCCTAATTGTTTTTAAAATATAGTATGGCTACCCCACTATACTCGTTTTTAAATTTTTTTTAAAAATAGTATAGCCGCTCGGCTTTACTGTTTTGACACGTGGCAGCTAGGAGCTAGGTGGGTCTTTTTTAAATATATATAAATAGTATAGCCGCGCGCCTATAAGAAATTTTAGTTTTTTAAAAAATCTGGAATAGCCGTGCGGCTATACGTATTTTGACACGTGCGCTGGACATGTCCCTTTTTGTTTTTTATAAATTGTGTAGCCGGATGGCTATACTCGATTTTTTAATTAAAAACAATATAGCCGCGCGGACCCTTTTTATAAATTTTTTTAAAATAGCGGCTATACTTGCTGTTTTTAAATTTTATTTTTAATCGAGTATTGCCGGTCGGCTATACTTTGACATGTGGGCACCTAATGGCTGGGCGGTTCTTCTTTTGTTTTTTTTTATAAATAGTATAGCCGCTCGGCTATACGCGATTTTTAAACTTTAAAAAAATAGTATAGCCGGCCGGCGATACTCGATTTTTAATAAAGACAGATTCAGGTGTGCGGAAATCATTCTGACGGATCAAGAAAGAGCACCAACCAACAAAATTCATAAACACACAGCTCCAACTATTTAGATGTAAGATAAGATCAAAGAATAAAAGACCACCCTAGTTTAAGTTGAAAATTTATTAACCCATCAGACAGTCATTTTCAACCTAGATCCAACACGAACCCTATTGCACCCATAGCTTCATAATTCACAGAAAATTATGAAAAGTAGGCAATGGCAAGAACGATGGTTCAAACATTTAAGATATTACTAAGATAGCAAAGCATGAAAGCAAGAACGCATTTACTTACATTCTCAGGTAGGCAGTATCCATGATCAATTGGAATGAGCAGAGTCTGACCATCTTCCCCTTTTCTAAACAGAGTATTCCCGGCATGCCTGTCGGCATTTGCCATTCTTAGATCAAACACACTAATCTTGTGCACCTCCTCCACGGGGAAACGACTAGGGTACCCATGTCCTCACAACTTTCATCATTCTTCATGAACATCTGCTGCAATGACCCAATCTTAACATTCTTTAATGAGCCTTCATACCCTTTCGAATAATTAAACCCTTTGTGCAAGCACCTAACCAAAACTGTAGGAGGCACGCCAGAAAAGCCAATAGCCTCGCTTGATAAGTTGCGCGGCCCGCCCTTGGGATGATCTAATATGTATGCTGCAACTTCCCTCAGGGCTCCTTCTCCCACCCTTGTTCCCCTTTTCAAACCTTCACCATCCGGAGATACGGCCACGCCATGGGGATTGTTCACCGAAATAGACTCTTCATTTGTATAGTTGTCTCAAATTCGAATCTCTATAACACCCACCTTCGCTTTTAGACTATCTTCATTTGTATTAAAGAGAGTTTAACTATTGTGTTGCTTAATAAAATGAAAGCCCATGCATTTAACGCCCATTTAAGCCCAATGAGGAAAGCATTTAAGCCCAAGGTTGGGACTTTCAACTGCCCCTTTACCCGCCAAAACCCTCGTCTCTGACCTGACTCTGAAACAATGGCGATCAATCTTCTGCTTGTTACTTTGCTCTGCATTCTCATCTCAACCGTTGTTTCACAGCCTGGCTCTCCTCCATTTCCTCAAGAACTCATCAATGCCATCATCAGCCCCACTCCTTCACCTTCTTCTTCTTCAATCCCTTCAACCCCAACACCCTCAATCCCACAGACTCCTCTTGTCCCTGCTCTCTTTGTCATCGGCGACTCCTCTGTCGACTGTGGCAACAACAATTTCCTCGGAACTTTCGCTCGTGCTGACCACCTTCCCTACGGTCGAGACTTCGATACCCACCAACCCACTGGGAGGTTCTGTAATGGCAGAATCCCTGTTGATTATCTTGGTAAATGTTGCTTCTTTAAACACCCTTTTCTTGCTCTGATGGGTTGTTTCTGTGTTCTTGGTTCATTTCATGTCGATGATTTTTCTGGTTGGCTCTTTTTGTCTTTCACGTCAGAATTCTTGTTTAATTTTCCAATAAATGTAGAGGTTCAGTGAAGCTTTTGGTTTTCTTGGAACCCCCAAAATGGAAGAAATCTAAAGTTCACGGATTTTACCAACCAATTTCTTCATTTCTTGAAGGATTGAGTTCTGAATGTGTTTTCGTGAACCAGAATTCAGGATAAAAGCTAAATTTTGAATGTTGAGAATCTGTGGCGTGTTTCTTTCAATGGCATGTGTGTTTGATGAAACTGGCTTAGTTATTAAACTATCTCTCATAAGGGTTTTTTTTGTTGTGGAATTTTCTATCAGCACTTCGTCTAGGGCTGCCTTTTGTACCGAGTTATCTTGGGCAGAATGGAAGAGTGGAAGGTATGATTCAGGGATTGAATTATGCATCAGCTGGTGCTGGAATCATATTCACCAGTGGTTCGGAATTGGTATGTTTCAAATTTTCCCCTTAGTTGATTGATAATATTGCACCAGAAAGTCAGAAATGTATTAATTTTGATATTGAACAAGAAGGCTTTTAAGCCTTTCAAGTGCTGTTAGCTTTGCAATATAAGCTCTTCATTTAATATGGTTTGATTGGGTATTTAAGGCTTCTTGATTTTGAATGACTTCGACTCTGCTGGGCTATTCCAACTATCAACCATTAGTACTGATGTAAAGTTTTCTACAGGGTCAACATGTTTCCTTCACCCAGCAAGTTCAGCAGTTTACAGATACCTACCAGCAGTTTATATTAAGTTTGGGCGAGCAAGCTGCTATTGATCTCATCTCGAATTCAGTGCTTTACATTTCAATTGGAATCAATGACTATATACATTACTATTTGCGTAATGTATCTAACGTGCAAAATCTGTATCTACCGTGGAGTTTCAATCAGTTTTTAGCATCTACATTGAGGCAGGAAATTAAGGTGATTTCCTAACCCTACTGGTTTAACATATTCTTGTCTTTATATAATTATGGTTTCTAAAATAGCTTCCCAATTTGGAGTCTAACTGATTACTTAGAGATCTTGGTTTACTTTGATGGTGCAGAACTTGTACAGCATAAATGTCATGAAGGTGGTTGTGATGGGGCTGGCACCTATAGGCTGCGCTCCTCACTACTTATCTCAGTACAGAATGAAGGATGGACAGTGTGTTGAGGAGATAAACGACACGGTGATGGAGTTCAACTTTGTGATGAGGTATATGATTGAGGAGCTACGCGAAGAGCTTCCTGATTCCAACATCATCTTCTGTGATGTGTTTGAAGGTTCGATGGATATAATAAAAAACTCTGAACATCATGGTGAGAGGTTTTCTAAATTTCTTTTTCCCCTGTTACCAAATCTGTTAGTGGTGTCCACATCTAATGCAGTGTGAATTATGATCATGTTCAGGTTTGAATGCCACAGCTGATGCTTGCTGTGGGTTGGGGGAGTACAAGGGTTTTGTCATGTGCTTATCACCAGAAATGGCTTGCAGTAATGCTTCTCACCATATCTGGTGGGATCAATTCCATCCAACTGATGCAGTCAATGCCATCCTGGCTGATAATGTGTGGAATGGCCTGCACACAAAAATGTGCTATCCCATGAACTTGGAGGAAATGGTAGCGTTCGACTCCTAAAGATTGGATGGAGAATCTGAGGAAATAGTTGTATGCTATATAAACAGAGATTCGACGAAGAAGACTAAAGCATATCATGCAAGCATGTCACCCCTGCTTGGAAACATGACTGAGATTGTGAATTTGATGTTACATTTCACTATAGAGGTGGCATTGCCAAATTGTTGGCTGATGTCTGTTGGCAACTAAAAGTGCATTGTAATTTTGTGTTTTTCTGGTTTATGCAATGAGATCCAATTTAGAGGTAGTTGCTAGTTTCATCTTCAATGTCTCGTCTCAGCACAAAACTAGGAAAAGCACTTGTGATATCCCTGCAATGAATATCAACTTCAATTTAGCTTGTGTTGATCATAAATTTACAGGATGGCAACCAAATTGAAATTGAAAAATAGATATTGTTTTGAGTTTTTTTTATTCGGTACAAATCGTTTTTAGGTTTTCACTGGTTGATATGTGAAAAGTATCAGAAGAAAAACAGAAGGCTGGGACTGTAAGCAAAAGAGGAATTACTTCAGGTATGGAACTGTCATGTTCTTCAATAAGGACGGATTTCGATCCACGAGTTCCCTCCACTCTTCCAGATCAATCTTTCCATCTCCATTTAAATCTGCTTCCTCAAATGTCTATGGAGTTACAAAGCAAAAGATGTACTCAGTTGATATTTGACTAGGCGGATTACATGTAGCACCATCTTGGATGCCTTACCTTATCAATAATGGCTTCCACAATGTCATCAGAGAGGATCAAGTCTGACTCCTTCAGAAGCGCCAAAATCATCTCTTTCACCTTCAAACACTACTTCAATTAAATTCTTGGATTTGAAATAAGCTTTAATGGATCTTCTCAAGGTGTCTGTTAATCATTGCGTTAAAAAAATAATGATTGCCTCTGTTTAGGCCATGACAAGAACTAGGACTTGAAAGTGACTCTTTACCTCTTCACGTTCGATGAAGCCCGTCTGCCATATATCGTATAACTGAAATGCAACTGCCACATATTCTCTCAAAGTTTTAGTATAATCTTTACACATATAAGCAGGTTCAAATAAAAATGTACAGGATTGCTTACATGCAGCTTTTTCTGCTTGGGGTGCTTCTGGGTGGAACACACTTAGACATCGAATAAACTCTTCAAATTCTATTACCCCGTCATGTTTCGAGTCAAACATATAGAAGATCTATTAGGATAAGCAAGGCCAAGATAAGTTGTCCCCAAAAAACCAAAGAGAATGTTAGAATGGCAGTAATAAAGATCAGCATTCCAAATTTTAGGAAAAGCTACAAGTTACAATTTAAGTGTTACTTTCTTTCCCAAGTGCCAAAAAACTCAAAACTGACTTCAGGAAGCTCACCCTATCTGCAAAGAGACTTTGTTTTTTGCTGTTCCTGAATAAACCTAGCTGAAACTCTTCCTGCAAACGAAGTGTAGAATGGTAACATAACACCAAATAATAGCTTTATAATATGTTCAAGCTTCATGTATCGATTCGAAACTAGAACCGATTTTTCTGTAATGGAACAGCAAGATGTTCAGCTACATGTAAACTTACTTTGCTTATAAGCCCATCATCAACTATAGAATTGCTTAGCTTCCTGAACAACTCATACAGAGTTTTAATATCAGTTATCTCAACTGCAAATACCAAAAATCTAAGTTATCAGAGTCATGAGGCGAAACCTAAAACAGAAAACTGCACCATAAAACAAGTAAATGAAAACAAAATGAAGCTTACAACATGTTTGAGCAGCAAGAACATCTGCATTGTCACATTGACGCCGCTGCTTCATGCAGACACAGCCCATCTAATCAATCTATGTGAACAAAAATTGTCTTCTTTGAGGAGAGTAAGTTACTATCATAAGTGTTATCCAATATAAGGTATATAGCTTTCAATGTGAGAGCCTGTTGGGTTTTTGTAGTTGCCTTTAAAGAGGGTTAGGGTCACATTTTATAACTTCATAACCGTCACAATTGTTTTCACGAGGAAGCATGTTCCAGCAGAATAATTTTTTCCTATTGTTTCTCTCAGACCCTAGAAAAACTAGAAAAAGGTTGAGATTTCTATTTAACCTCTCACTTCTCTTTGTTCACCCCAATACTTAAATCATTAAGCTGCAAGTTTTATTATAGTGTAAAAGACAAAAAAGGTCATCCAACTTAATACTTAACACTAGTACATCTATTCACACACCCCACCACTCTACATATTAAGTTTTAGAAAAATACAAATTCCTCACCACTCTTGATATCCTTGATATCCGATGCATTGAAGCACCGTGTGCGGCTAGACGTTTAGGTTCCACAACTGTAGAAGATTCTTTCCAAGGCTTGAAGAGAAAGATCAGTTGTGACAACATCTCATGTATACTACAAATACCTTTGCTTCAAACTGATGCCTAGCACAAGAAGAAAATCTCATGTATTTTTGCTTCAAACTAATGCCTTCAAACCGTCCTTAAACTGATGCCTAGCACATACTTTTGCTTCAAACTTTCACTCCAAACAAAATCTCATGTATATTACAAATATTGTTTAATGATTTAAATATTGAGGTGAACAAAGAAAATTGTGGGGTTTAAATAGAAAATCTTTTTCATTTCTTATTTTTTTAGCTTGGGGTGTATTTAAGGGTAGTTTAGAAAGATAGTGGGGTTTTCTTAGAAATTGTGAAAATTTAAATTAAAAGTTGGGTTGAACTTAGAAGTCATGGGGTGAACTAAGAGAAGTGCGAGGTTTAATAGAAAATCTCAAAAGGTTTTACCTTCGAAACTTACTTTTTAAGCTAAGGTCAGACGATTGCCAATGACTATTTGGTCTATTTTGTTGGGGGGAAGTCCCGAGTCTTGAATCCGAATTTAAATCTCATAAACAACGGTTGTTCGTCAAACGAAAAATTAAATAAATCTGAGGCTAAGGTCCATCACTATTTTGTATGGTCCATGTTGAAATAAATTTCTGGTTAACTGTATGATGATGTTCCGTGTACGGGTACGTAGATGCTAATTTGACACACACCGAATAATTCTGTAACATCTGCTTACAGAATTGGTGTGTTCCCTCGGTGGGTTTCAGTGATGGACTTAACATCTTCATGCTCTAACTTCTACAGTTTGGAGGAATTTGGAACTTGTGATAAGCAGGTGCGCATGCCCTGACTGAAGATTTAGATTGTAAAAAAAAAATTATTCCATAATTACGGCCATGGTTTCTTCCATATGAATTTGGAATCTGGTTCTTATTTTTCCTGAAAGAAATGGCTAGGAATGGAGACTTATTCAGTGGAGGACATAAAGTTCCTCTTTAAAACATTCCTTTAACCATGAAAAGTTAGGGAAGGCAATACAAGCTCAGAAATCAAATTTCTGTTACAAGCAAAAAAATATCGGCAGAAATTTGGAATGAATCAACCATTGATTGATGTGAGTTTCAAAATAAATCAACAAATCAACCATTGATTGATGTGAGTTTCGCAATAAATTGCATTATTGCTTTTTCGAGCATGTACTTAACGAATTCTTAGCAAACTTTAGAAAGAACAGAAAAATGATCCAGCCAAATAAAGGGGAAAAGGGGGAAAGATTGTAAACATTCTAAACTAAAATTTACACTTTGTGTACAAATTAAACAGTTAAATTACATAATACACTGTGAACCACTACAGTGTTTGCTGAGTGAGGCCTTTATTACCGAAAACTTTGTAGAAAACATACCACGCGATGCTTGATCTCAATTGGGGGCTATGCTAAGGGGTGCAGCCTCAATATTTTGTTTGGTTCCTTTCCTCTTCTATGTGCCATGCTTTACACAGGCTGCTTACTTGATGTGTCCGTCATCTGAGGCGAAAAATGTTGGCACTGTCTATCTTTGTAGTACTATTATATCTAATCTTGAACTTCAGTGTTGAGCACAAAGCTGGGAAATTGTATGGTTATGTCCCTAGAAAATGGAAACCAAATTTAGAACCATGTAACTTTGAGGAAATGTGTTCTGGATTAGCACATTGAGTTAGTTGAAATAAGAGAGCAATTTTCATTTTGGAGCCTTGGAAAGAGCAGAGAGTTATATAAGTTGTGCCTTCATGAGACAACTCTGCATTGTTAAACTCTTTAGCAAATGAGATTTCTTGTTTCAATGTATTGTCATCTGCTAACTATATTTAACCAATCACAATCAAATTAAGCAAACATCGACGCAAGAAACGAGTGCTGGTGAGATTAATAGGCTTTTGGGACTCACTTTAGATATGGAAGAGTCATATTCTTTATTAGAGATGGATGCTTTGCTACAAATTCTTTCCACTCTTCTTGATCAATTTTCCCGTCCCCTTTTAAATCTGCCTCCACCATTGTCTTTAGAGAAACGCAAGGAATAGTTAGATAGAACAATGAGTAACACAGAACATATATAACAAAGTGTAGAATAATCAAAACCTTATCTACAATTGATTCGATAACATCATCGGAAAGTTCCAGATCTGATTCACTCAATAGGGCTGACACCATCTCCTTCACCTGCCATGGAAACATTACCCACAACATGCATAGAGAGGTAGAAAGCATCAGAATTGCAGAAGTTTCTTTCTTTAATAGATAAATAAAAGATGTGGAAATATAAAACTGATGATATTTTGTACAAGCTACAGTTGATACTAACAAAAGACCATGGGACATCTCGATATAGCCTACGTATAATGAGCATGGGAGAATCACAAGAACACATGAAAACTTTGTTCACATACATTGACAATGCCATTTAACTTGATCTAAAAAAGATGCATTACTTAATCATTAATCACGAGCAAGAGTAAGAACAGTCAAGCACATTAGTTGTGCTCAATTAACTACAATAAGGAAAAGCGACCAAGATGAAAATTGAAGGGGATTCACCTCATCACGCTCAATGTAGCCGGTCCCTCGTAGATCATACAATCTGAATGCAACTGCAAAGAATATACTTTAAGAGTTTAGTGATCATAAATATGCTGGATTTTGTAGTTGAAAATAGCACGAAGAGAAGGAAATCATGATCTTCATTCATGACATAATACATCATACATGATATTTTTTCTGCTTCGGAAGCATTTGGGTGAAAAATACTTAATGACCGAACAAACTCTCCAAATTCAATAACCCCATTACACTTGATGTCAAACAAGTCAAATACCTGCAATGAGAATATGCACATTGTTAGAAAAACATCACAAATTCTCAATTGGGTTCAGTTTCTTATTTTGAATATAATTCTTGGAAAGTTTCTTATTGTTTACTTTACATATCTCTGCTACATGGTTTGGGTTATTTGTATCGACTAAAAGCTTGGTTTTCTTTTTCTTTTTGTATGAAAGGTCAAAGTTCATAAAATCCTCACACGCTTGACTGTAGCATTCACCATTTGATCCAAAGTACAAACTCACAAACACAAACTTGAAGAAAATTAAGTAATAATATAGGTTGCACTCACCCTGTCCGCAAAAAGATTCTGTTTACTGCTGCTCTGAAATAGTGCAAGTTGGAATTCTTCCTGTTCATATCATGTCAAAGATTTAGTGCAAGCCATCTTAAGAAAATGAAACAGTTAAGATTCTATTTCGAGTCTGCAACAATTTCAGATTGCAGATCAAACACTAAGCCATCTCAAGTAATATGTCAGAAGATTGAAAATGCAACCTTAGCTAGAAATACCTTGTGTAGAAGAAGACCATCTTTAATTATGGAACTGCTTAGTTTCTTAAACAGATCATACAAGGCCTCCACTTCATTTACTGTAACTGTTAAGTAATTGAAGCACCAAAATTTAGAAATTTGAGCTTAATCCATACAAACACTATCAATTAGCAAAGCAAATACACAAAAAATTTCGAACAGTAAGCATATGGTGAGTCAGTGATGGCGGTACTATGTGGTGAACCTTGCATCTATGCAACCATCACAGCAGGTGAAGAGGGAGGAATTCTATGATAACACAATAAAAAGAAGCAACTAAGATTAATAGTAAAGTAATAAACATCAGGCAATAGCACTGCAGTAGCAGAGTTTGTGTTTTGGCAGCTGCAATATTGCCTACCATGACCAAGGTGCCAGAAAGAACACGGCACTGCCTTGGAAGAACTTTAACATGTGAATATAAAGGCGCAGACATAGTATATACTTCCTCCTCCCAACTCACAAAGCGAGAGGTTAGAGGAGGAAGGACAATCAGTAATAGAAAACTATATGCACAGCACGGCATCAACACGATGGCTTCATGTACAATGCCAGAAATAATTATTGGAGCATGCAGGCAACTCAATCAACATAAATTTGTTAAAGTTCCACAACAAGTGAAAAACTGTGCCAAGTAATTTGAGCAACTATCGAGTCTACTACTTACAAGCAGTTTCTGAAGCAAGAATAGTAGGGTCCTCATACCCAAGTCTATGTCTACCAACTCTGGAACTCATCAAGCAAAAGCAGTGCAGGAAACAACGCATGGTCCAATATAAGATTATCAGATGTTTGATCTGCCAGAATCCAACGAAAAATGCATCAAATTAATAGGTATTATGAGCAGCAATTTCATCCCATCCCAGCAGAGAAAAGATAACACCACCAAGAAAATGGAGACTGAGCCACAAACTTTCCATGTTGAAATAAAAAATTAAACTACGGTCATGATTGACCCTTAAACAATCAATTTAGGATCAAATCCAGCAAATGTAGACAATATTTAGACACCCATCTGCGCAAAATGGGTGTCAATAGTTAGTTAGTAAGCACTGTTTCATAGCCAGGGTCCAAAGCAAATGGTCATGATCTGGATACCAGTACTTTTTGGTGGGAATAAATATATCAATTATCAATGGCATACTGCAACCATTTGTACAGGGATTACTAGATGAGATCTATCCAGCAATAAAAATTGAAAAAAAGCACTAATAATAGAACTGTTCCATTAATCCATGAAACATAAAAACAAAGTTTGTACCTTGCAGAGCCAAGCTGCAAAAACATTCAGAAAAAGTCAACCTGCAGAGCAAAACAGCAGTGTCTGCTTTCATATCAAGATTTCCACCCTCCAAACTCAAGTAAAAACAAACTATTTCCAAAATCTCATTGCACCTTTCTGAAAAACAATGAAAATGAAAGGAACCCAACATCTACCTAAGTTGACCTCAGCCAGCACACAACAGCAGCATGCAAATTAAACCAGTTTCCCCCCACCTCCCCACTAAAACTCCCAAAAGAGACAAAAGGAAAGTAACACTAGAAAAGAGAGATATATGACAGAGAAAGAAGTGTAGATTTTGTTTGGGTTTGAGAAAACTGACCTGGGTTAGTGGGTGTTGGTGCTCTTAAGCTTTAAAAGGAGTTGATGATGATAAAGCTATGCACTTTCCTTCAAAACTAAATCTTCCATTTGTTAGTCTCCTTTGACACAGAACTAGTCCATCTTTCTTCCATTTTTAATTGGCATATTCTGCTCCTGACTTTGGTGTCAGATGATTTTAAAATATTCAAGCAATCGCTTTCTGCTACCATCATTTTCTAAATTTGCTTCCATTATTTTCTAGATTTCTTTTCCTTTCGTTTGTTTTTGTTATGGTTTGTTTGCCACTTGCATTCTATACGCGCATGGGCGGTTGTTGTAGATCACACACAGGCACAGCAGACACACATAGTTGACAATCACTTAGATAAAAATCTAATCTCTGGTTACCGTTGTTATTGGTTTTGTTTTATTAATATGTGACTCGTCAGCAGCAGTGAGCTTTGAATCTACGTGCTTTTCCAAAAAGAAGTTCAAAGAAGAGAGCTGTTGGATATTGAACATTTCCCCACACGTCCCTCGTGGAAACTGTTTTGTTTAATCACAACTTTGAGAAGTGTAATCCTATACGGACGAGCTTCCCATGGATCTTGCTCAAGCTCGTCATATAATGCCACATCTTAACTTCCACAATTGACAAAGAAACGAAAATTTCCATGAGAATAAATTATCATCTCCCTTACTTTCTTTCTCACTCATTACATGATATGTATATATGCTTTTTTTTTATATAGATTAAATATTGTATTCGAGTGCCTACACCTCCTATTTGTCTCTCTCTCATTACGGGCGCTAGCTAGCACGTAATGAGAGAAGAAATGTAGATGGCCCATTCATGATAAAAAAGATCATCTACCTTCTCTAGGATAATAAACATTTATCCTTAGACTAAAGCAAGAGTAAACTTACCTCTTTTGTTGACTAAAAATTTATGTTATGAGATTATACACTCTTTGTGTTTATTTCTTTGACCACATTGGCATCTTATGAGAGAGATATCCACATAATGTGCATGTCTTGTAATAAAGGACGGTATTGTGAGAATGTGAATGAGTGAGCATGGTCTAGTTTTCACCTTATACCGGAACCATAATTGGTACTATTCAACTAGTGTGGTTTGGTTTGATTTTGGTAAAACAAATTTAAGAAACCAATCGGTCTGATTTAAACCGATTTCGGTGCAGTTTTAGTTTTTTCAATTTTGGACCGAATTATATATATATATAATTTTTCAAATTAATTAATTTTTTTAAAAATTCCAACTAATATTTTATTTTTTGGGCTTAAAAAATCACAAATTACTCAATTCATGCAAAGAGATGATTGGGCCTAGAAAATAGAGTGTTTTGAAGTTGGACTTGGGGAAATATTAGTTATGGGATTAGAAATTTAGTATTAGACTTAAATAATTAAAAATAAAAATAAAAAATAACACAGTCGGTCTAGTCCGGTCTGATTTTGTAAGGTGTGAAACTGACACTAAAATCGGTTTGAACAATCCGGTCCGATTCGGTGCCAGTTTGTTGACTTTTTAATCAACATGGTTTTTTTTTTCCACTTGTTTCCGTTTGGTGCAACTCGGTATTCGGGTTTTCTGATCTTGATGCCCACCCCTAGTAAAAAATCCAACAGTGGAAAGTTGAGAAATCTACAAGAGCTTATAAGAAGTTAGACTATTCTCCCCTATTGCCAATTAATTTTGAGGTGAAACCTCAACTTCTTGAAGGTAAGTCACATAATAGGACGGATGTGAGAAATAACCACACAATGTGTATTTCTGGTAAGAGGAGAACCTATAGATCACGTAGAAGGTTAAAAAAAAAAATTCAAGATAGTTGGGCCTTGGTGGTGGTGCTATGCATATGGAATTATCTAGGGCCTTGGGCCTCAAAATAAGATAATAGGAGGCGACTGGGCTTACAGACGACAATTATTTTGGGCCTTCTCCGCATGTTGGGTCTAACAGCGCTTCCCAGTTTCCGAGTTAACTCGCTGGTGTTGATCATTCGCAACGCTCTCTCCCAGAGATACACAGAAATGGTGGTCTCTCTCTTTTCCAGGTAATCTCTACCCCTCTTTGTTCTGGTTTCCTTGTTACCCGTTTTGACCTTTGCGATTCTAGTTATTTAAATCGCCAGACGGTTGAATTCAACAAGATCAGATTTTAAATAAATAAAAATTTTAATTTCTTATTTTGCATAATAATTATTGTTTTATTAGGTTTTAATTTGAGGAGCATGTTCTTTGGAGACGCAATGGAAGTGGATTTAGTTACAAGCAGCGTACAAGAGGGAGGTGCTTTTGGAGTTACTGATACTTATAGCAATGTAAGCTTCAAGATCATTTTCATTGAGCAGCACGTAGTTTCTATGTCATTGAAGCTTATTTTTTAATATGTAGCTTGAATTTGTTGAATGAATGATTATATATGGAAAATGCGTTTCTCTTTTTGAAGAGGTGTGGTGAATGGTTGAACCATTTTCATCTAGTAAGTCAGACATTTGAAGCTCTAAATAAATGTGTGAACTTTGACTTGCTCATTATTGTGTTACTTGTGGATAAGCAAGTTTAAGTTTGGTTACTTGGTTTGCTATCATTTTGGGATCAAATTTTTGGTATGTATTTAATGTGCAGGATAATCCTAATTTCGAGGGCGAAACATGTGGGATATGCATGGATGCTGTTATCGATAGGGGTGTTCTGGATTGCTGCCAGCACTGGTATGCGCTTAAGTGTCTGTCTTTGTGTGTGTATGTGGGTGAGAGAGATTTGAACAAGTTTTCATTTTTATTATAAAAGTATTCTGTTGCTACCTTGAACTCTTTCCTCTCCTTTTCTATTACTTAATTAAAGGAAAAAAAATAGAGGAAGGAAAATGTTCAAATGTGCTCATAAGTTTTTCAATAGTCATGTATGATGAAACCTACAAGGTGTATCAATATATTTAGAGGTTCATGTGAGGTGAAGTTATCCTTTGGTTAACACCCTTGTTGTGTAATTATGGGGCTAAAATGAGAGAATGGGTTGCTTTCCATATGTTATATATATTTGACAGATGAAATTTGTATTATGGCAAGGGTTAACATTGTGATTTTTCAGGTTCTGTTTTGCATGCATTGACAATTGGGCTACCATTACAAACCTCTGCCCACTTTGCCAGAATGAATTTCAATTGATCACATGTGTTCCAGTGAGTGATGCAAATACACGATTCTTTGTTTTTCTTATCCTGGTTATAGTAGTAGTTCTTTTAGGTATGGGATAATGTAATGGTATTGATATACAACTAGTTGCAAAGAACAATTGTTATTTTGATTTCTACAACTGGCTGCTTTCAATAGGTTTCTTTTTCTTGGCAAATGGAAATTTTATTTTTGAAGTTATCCTATTGTGATTTGATGCTGTTGCAAAGTGATCCTAAAGCATATGAGATCGGTTTGAATGTGAAGGTATATGATACTATTGGGAGCAGAGTGGACGAGGACCCACCTTACAGGTACTTTGGCAATTAACTATAAGATGTTTAAGTATATTGGTGGGGGTTCATTGTTCACATTTATACATGGCTTAGACTCATTATTTTGTGGTTTTTACTGCCCATACTATTATGTAGTCTTCTTATGAAATTGACATTCAAGATTCTGTCCAAGAAATTGCAATTAAGCCACTTATTTATTTATTATTTATTAATTTTTATTTTTATTGTGCCTTAGTTTCAACATAGACTAATTTTTCCGTATTCATCTCTGCAGAGACGACGATTGGAGTATTGAAGGAAAGAATAACACCCTCTCATTTCCATCATACTATATTGATGAAAATGTAATCATCTTTACATGTATTCTTCTTTTTAAGATCTTCTTGCAATTCTCATCTTTTCTTTCTAAGATTTTTGTTAAAATTACTGATATCAGATTCTTATTTACTCTATCATTTTGTAGGCAGTTATCTGCTTGGATGGAGATGGTTGCAAAATTCGAAGTGGCTTAGTGGCTATTGAGGATGATTCCAATCTTGATACATCAATTGCTTGTGATTCATGTGACTTATGGTAAACAATCAGTCAATGTGATATATAATCTTTGTCCGTATAGATAGATATATGATTTTATCAAATATTGTTATTTTCTAATTGCTTTTTTATTTGAATGGAGACAGGTACCATGCTTTCTGTGTGGGATTTGATCCTGAGGGCACATCTGAGAGTACATGGTTATGCCCCAGGTAAGTTACATGGGGATCATTGTTTTGTTCATGGGTGTTGCATTGTTGGTTCTTTTGCTGAGTTAGTGTGTGAATTTTCCTTAAAACTTCAGTTAATAAGCACTTTTCATGCGTGTTCCGAACCTTACCTCTAAGCTCAAAGTTGTTTAATGGAGATGAATAAGCTGTCGGTCCTTTCTGTGGAAGCTTTGTTCTTGTTATGAAATCCCTGTCTTGTCTTGAGTTTGTCAACCAATAACATTAAACCATCTGATTTATGACTTGAGGACAAAGAGAGCCCTTTATGTATACAATTGCTGCCAAGTAACAATCCTTCTAGGCTTGGACTGATTAGTGCAGCTTTGCTGATCTTTATTTATGCACCTCAGGATTAATAGAGATTTGAATGGAATACAAATTGCTCTGTTTTCCTAAAATCCTAGGTCTCCTCTTTTCATTTCTTTAAGACACTGATACTTTTTTAAATTAATCCTAAATTGTGTATTTTCTGTAGATGTGTAGTTGATGAAATCCCGAAAAAATCAGATACAGATTCAGTACAGAGGTCTAACAGCCAGTATGGCCCAGAAAACGGTAATCGTGAATCTTTAGATGAGGATAATATTTCTGGAAAGGTATCTGTAACTGTGGCTGATAGTGGTGAGACGGCTGTTGTAGTCTCAATGGTTGGAGAAAATCAATGCATCGCGGAGCCAAGTAAGAGAGTTTTGCCAACCGTTGAAGTTGGCAAGGACCTGGAGTCTGAAACATTGGTATTGGCTTCTGAGGATAGCCACAAGTTGGCAAGGCCCACCGGGGAAAGAACTATTACCCAGCCAGTGCTTGGAGCTCAGGCACTAGAACTATCCTTATCCTGCGATACCTCAAATGTACCTTCAAATTCTTTAGCGCAGCAGTTTAGGATGAGTACTGATGGATCAACCAATGAGCTTAGTAGTTTTGATTGCATCAGGAATCCTTCCGGAAAGTCTTTCGATGAATCACACATTATTAACAAACTGATTGACAGTGATTCCAATATGGGTCTTGAACTTGGGTTATCTGTGGGCTCGTTTCTGTCTGGTAATTAACATTTTTTTTTCCTTTTTAAAGCTTGATAATTTCATGATTAGGATAGCATAGAACTGAAGTGTATGCTTTCCATGTTCAAGTTTATTTTATTTTTAATAATGTGCATCTAGCTGTTGACCTGAATAATAATGGAACTGAAGATGTGAAGCATCACAATCCTAAAGAAGAATATTTGTCAAAAGGTATTAAGCTGTTTTAGTCATTAATTGTCCTCTCTCTCTCTCTAGCACTATTTACACAACAGTCATTCATGCTCGTTTGTTGAAATGTTTCCAGCTGCCATTCTTGTATCAAATCAAGAGACTGAAGATTTGAAGATTCACAATCCTTTAGAAGAATATTCGCCAATAGGTATGTGAAGCAGCATTAAATTGTTTATTCAACATTCACTCCTGCACATTGCTTAATTGCTGAAATGTTTACAGCTGATGAGATTGTACCAGATGCTAATTCGGATGCTCCTGGAATTGCTGTTGGTGGAAAGAGAAAGCATACTGATTGCAGGTCACATGTCATCCAAATATATCCGTTGATTCTTATACGGTTTTCAGCAATTAGTGCTCATAACTATGTTGCCTCAGGTTTTGTTACTGCTATCCTCATATCATAATCTGCCACCACTACACTGTAGTTTTCCTAATTCAAGTAGGATGCATTGTGTTTTTCTACCACCATCAATTCTGTTCACTGAAGTTTTCGTGGTTTATGTTGGATGTATTGTGTTTCTGGTCTCCATAAAAGTCCTTGGTTCATTCAGCTGGCTTGTTGATCCTGTAGTAGATATTGGGATCATAGGGAACATCTCTTCTTATCTTAACGATTCCATCAAGGTGGTTACTATCTTGCTAATAACCACTGCATGATATGGTAGTTTGTAGATAAAACTGAACCAGGATATAGGGGTTCCAAATTATTGGATTATCCACATTAAACATGCATGCATACAACACAAATTTTCAATTTCCTCAAAAGCCCATTTTTAGTTGCCCTTTCATGCTAAACATCATCAGTAAAATATCAACAATACTTGTCTAAAACATCAAGGAAATGTCAGCATAAGTAAATTCAACTGGTTGAACAAAAAATGCATGCTAATTTAAAGTGAGTTAACTATCTTTATGCTTGTATGCTAGCCACGTTTGTTTGTTGTCATTTGCCTGAAAGAGGTGTTTGTAGTTCAAATGGCAATTTGCTATTGTTTTTTACATTCTTCATAGCAAGTAGAACACAATTTCTGACTTTATTTTTCCTTGACTTTTTGAAATAATAGTGATGACGTTCATACCATTGTTGTTGATGATGGAGATACTAACCCTAAGATTGAGACCAAAGAGTCTGTTAAGAAGATCAGACATGAGGAGAAGACTCAACCAATTGCTTCCAATGACCAAGCCAAAGCATCTATACCAGATGACTCTAAAAACTGCTCTATCCTGACAGTAGTTCCTAAAGATAGCATGTTAACTTTTCATCCTGTTGAGGAGAACATCACTTCCGATATATTGAGCATTGTTCGAACTACAAACCGTAAATCTTCCAAGGGGCTTGCACGCCCTAATCCTGCTGATAATTCATCACAAGAACAAGAAACTATGGCTGGTTTGAGAGTTAAAAAGATCATGAGGAGAGCTGCTGAGGACAAGGACTCATCCATGGTAGTTCAGACACTGAGAAAAGAAATAAGAGAAGCTGTCAGTAATAACTCTTCAAAAGATTTTGGCGCAAACCTTTTCAATCCAAAGCTTCTTGATGCCTTTCGGGCTGCTGTAGCAGGACCTAAAACAGAGCCTGTTAAGAAGTTATCACATTTGGCAGTGAAGGCAAGGAAGGCAATGTTGCAGAAGGGGAAAGTACGTGAGAATCTAACAAAGAAAATTTATGGGACATCCAATGGAAGAAGAAAACGCGCATGGGACCGGGACCGTGAAATTGAATTTTGGAAGCATCGCTGCGTAGGAACTACTGAGCCTGAAAAAATTGAAACTTTGAAGTCAGTTCTTGACCTTCTGAAAGGGAGATCAGAGGGTGCAGACACAGAGCGGGAGTCTGATAGGCAGTCCACAAATCCAATTCTTTCCAGGTTGTATTTAGCAGATGCATCTCTACTTCCAAGAAAAGATGATATTAAGCCTCTCTTAGCCCTTAAAACTGCTGGTAATTCAGAGCACAATGATAAACAACCCACCTTGATTGAAAAGTGTTCTAAGTCGTCTCTTAATGATTGTACTTCAAATTCCACAGAAACAAGTAAGGTTTTATCAAAAGGTGGGATTCCTTCATTAGAGAAATATGGGAGTAAAAATAATGTTCCAAGCTCAGGGAATGGTGTTGCTTCTAGCAAAGTACATCAAGACAGACACGCAGAAGGGTCTTTGGTTTCTTCAGCTGGTGGTTCCAAATCTATAACCAAGAGGGAAGTGGTTGAAAAACCTGAAGATATAAAAGTGACAAAAGAAAATGGGCTTTAGAGGTTCTTGCCAGGAAAACAAGTGGTGCAGGCGGGAAAGCAGCAAATGAAAAACAGGAAGGCAACACTGTGCTCAAAGGAAATTACCCTTTGCTAGTACGTAATAGATTTACTTTTAAAACCTTTCATCTTTTCTGTTTGGTTATGCAGGTGATCTATCATATTAAATTATGTTTTGTGGTTGCTTTGAGCAGGCTCAATTACCAATAGACATGAGACCAAATTTGGCACCCAGTCGTCATAATAAAATCCCCTTATCAGTGAGGCAGGTATGAAGTGTGTGCTTGCTTCTATTACATCTCTCCTTAGGTTACTCTTTGAGTTATTTTTAATATGCAAGGAGTGTATTGCTTTCTGTTGGTCTTTGCAAAATAGAAAGGCAGAAGTTGTTTTAAATTTTCTTATGAGGAAATGGTAGAAAGCAACCTTTCCGCATTTTTTTTGTAATCTTGCATGGGGAATGATTCATGACACACAACTGCGTTCACCACCATCTCAATCAAACCACAGTGAATTCATTACCATCATTTTAACCAGTGCTACTGGTACTACGAGCACACCAATGCGAACACCAGCATGACTACCTCAATTACCAATTTTAGTGACAGTACTTGTCTGCTGAAAACTAACAAATTCATCCATATATGAAAATTCTAAAATAAAATCTCAATTCAGTTTAGGCTGCATTCTTGCATGGATAGATCTTTAGAGCTGGAACCCAAAGGCCACAATTATAGTCAACTATTTTCTTGGTTTATCTATCATGTATTTTAATGCAGAGAATAGATCCATTCAAACAAAGGATATGTTAGTACAATTTATAAAGCTTGCTTTTTCAAACCATTTACTTGTTTAATTTTCATGAAACTGGAGGCTAATTGGTTATTTGGACTTTGTTATAAACATCTGCTGTGCAGACACAGCTTTACCGTCTGACTGAGCACTTCTTGAGGAAAGCAAATCTTCCTGTGATCCGTAGAACTGCAGATACGGAGTTAGCTGTTGCAGATGCAATTAATATAGAAAAGGAGGTTGCTGATAGGTCAAATAGCAAGCTAGTGTATCTGAATCTATGTTCCCAGGAGATATTGCATTGTTCAGAAAATAGGAAGTCTAGTGGAGCCCCAGTACTTAGTTCAGCCCCAACTTCAGTCCCTGCAGAAAGATCAGAACAAGCTGCGAATGAACTTTCAACTGATCCTGTAATTGAAGCAGCACTGAGAAATGCTGGTCTTCTGTCTGATTCTCCTCCAAATAGTCCACATCCCAATATGGAAGTTCCAGTTGAAGAAGATGGCCCCTCATTAGATATCAGAGAGGAAGGGCCTGATAATGTATTTGAGATGGATTTTCATCCAGACCTGGACATATACGGGGATTTTGAGTATAATTTGGAAGATGAAGACTACATTGGTGCTGCTGCTACAAAAGTCTCTAATGCACAACCAGAAGAAGGGGCGCCAAAATTGAAACTGGTTTTCTCTACACTTCAGCCTGAAAGATCTATTCATACTCTTGATCTTGAAAAGACTGAGAAGACTGAAATACAAAAAGATTTTTCCAGCATGCCTGAGAATCCTACTTATTCAGGTTTGGAACATTCCACCACAGACGGTGGGACTGACGAGTCTTGTGCTCCTTTGGAATCCTTATTCGGTAAAGAAGGTGAAGAGCTTTCTGTTGCAGAGTGTGAAGAATTATATGGACCTGATACAGAACCACTGATGAAGCAATTTCCAGGAGCATCTGAAAAGCAATTGGGATTACTTGATGAAGCTCTGGTTAAAGACAAAGATCCTAAACAGAACGAAAATAATGAGCCAAAGCCAAACAAATCAATAAAAACATCTGGAATTGGTAATGAGAACAATGCACAAAATATGATGGTTGCCAGTGCTGGTTGCAACTCCTCTGGTGGTGAAGATTCAACGAACCATACCCAACCAGGTGGAAATGTTGAAAGTAAGGAGAAGAAGACCAGTACGGTCGCAAACAATCAGTCTAACAGCAGCAGTTCTGTATCTAAGAAGGTCTTCCCCAAGCCACTTACCCCGAAAACTTATCTTCCCTTTGTGTTGATCTTAAAAGGAGTTTACTATGCGTGATCTTAATGTAATTGACCTGGGAGAAAGAGGGTTTCTTCCCCAGTGTGTTATTTAAGCTAACCCGTTGTTCCAATGCTTTACAGGTTGAAGCCTACATTAAAGAGCACATCAGACCGCTATGCAAGAGTGGCGTGATTACAACTGAACAATATAAGTGGGCAGCAGCCAAAACAACTGACAAAGTTATGAAATATCATTCTAAAGCCAAGAACGCGAACTTCCTAATTAAGGAAGGCGAGAAGGTGAAGAAGCTTGCAGAGCAGTACATTGAGACAGCCCGACAGAAGGAAAAAACTGATCCTCTATAACGACAGTTATTTTCGGCAATCAGATTATTCAGAATTTCCACTCTTCTAATTGGTGTAATTTGTAGATAGGAGACATTGTATAAAAACATCCCCAACCCCATGCATTGTATAAGTTGATGAAGAAACTCGTGTTGGCACATGTATGCCGGTGAATTTTCATATGCCTGAGCAAAAAGCGTATACAAGTATATCACAATTTATTGTGCATGGCATTTGGACCAAACTTGATACATATGCTACTCATTCCAAAGCAGAATCCGTCACCTCACAAATGTTGAGGTTCTTTTGCTTGATTAAAAACGATGCAATCTTATGTGGAATGCTTAATAGATGAAGAGAAACCGGGTTCTGTGAATACATTACACCACCAAAATTGCCAATGAGAGAGCGAGTGGAGATCCTAAGTTGAAAATTTTTATGTAAGCAAAAGAAACACCACCAAAATTTGATACAAACAGACCATGGAGCAAAGGGCTCCAGACGCCACCAGTTGCAGCCCTCATCTAGGTGCTGTTTTCCTTCCAAATCCGTCCAGCAACCCGGAGCTTGAGCTGCTTCCTGTCTCCACCAGAGAAAAAAAGTGCCATGTTACGCTGGATTATGAGACCATCATGGCTATCCCTAACCTTCTGATCGCTATCACGTATGCTCCGAGGGGTTCCTTCCCATATTAGTTTCCTGCCATTTGCGCCCACCTCCAGTCTGTAACCAAATTTTCGTGCCTCAACGGCATCACCCATGAAACGAAGGAATGCAATGTAAACCGGAGCCATGCCAAGTAGGAAGGCTTCAAAGTGCAGGCAGAAGTACTGGCTGTAACAGTTAAACACCTAACAAACATAAAGAACATGAAGGTGAGCATCTAAAAAAACACACACACACATTGCATCAGTTACCAATCACCATAGATGCCACAAATTAGAGCCAACCCATTTGGTAAATAGGCATCATTCTCAATGTTACATTCCAAAAAAAATTCAAATTTAAAACATAACTTAGGGCATAAACAATCAACGACTCCAAATCAAAACTTGAACAATGAAACTCCACTTACCATAAGCATCCTTGCTGCATTGTCTACCTCACGGGGATTCGACTTAACATAGAGATGATTGAAGGTTGATCCAATGTGCATGTCAATCTTGTGATCTTCTCGTAGATGGCCAACCAAAAATGGAATATCCCCAACTACTGAGCACTCAGATCCAGGATATGGGCAATTGTATGGTCTAAAGTTACACTGAGCTTCATGTTTAAGTTTGTTGTAGTAAGGGAAGATCTCCATGCAGCCCAAAGAACAATACTTACAAGGAAGTTCTAGTGACTCTGCTACCTTCTCCAATGCCAGACATCTGATGTCTCCAAGTTCTTCTCTACAAGTTGGGCACCGGTTGTTCACCCTCAATTTGCAGATGGAGCACAGAGTGTGCCCATTTAGGCACTGCAGAAACAGAAACTTTGAAATCAACTAGTTCCAAACTTCTAAGTTCCAACCAATTTAAGCAGTGAATCAAACTGAAAACTCTAGTTGCAGGCTTAACATCTACGAAATCAAAACATCCTGAAACTCAAAGCAAACCCACAACTCAAAACATCATTTTAAATAATTCTCCAAATAAAAAAATCATGCCATAAAGACAGCTTCTTTATGAAGAATGAGATAATTACGAATTCAGGCTACATTCTAAGCCTTTATGGCCAAAACAGAATCAGACCCTGCATCAAGGAAATACCCACATCCTAGAATTACATTTCCCAACCAACCAAAACTCATCACCTGAATTTCAACACCAAATTAAAATAAGCTCAATATATCAAAGTCACCCAAAAACAATCATAATCTTACCAAAAACAAAACTTAATGTGACCCCATTCTGATTAAATGTGACAACTAACACACACCTGGTGGATTGGTGGGAACATAGAGTTTGTGCAGACAGGGCATTGGAGAAGTTCATGGACACTTGTGGCCGGAGACAGAGCTTTGTTGTGAGACTTGGCTGAGGCCAAGAAAAGATGGTGGTGATGGTGATGGCGACGGCGGCTGTGGTTACAGTCTCCCTCGTAGATCCCATCACATGTTGTCAAACATTCAACAACACCAACATCCTCCATTGTAATAGCTGTTCATGCAGGTTTGAAGAAACGAAAAAAAAAAACAGAAACAAGCACTGAATTTTTATTTTGTTCCTTTGTGTCTGTGCTCTGGCAGTGGCAATGCTTGAATTGATAGCATCTAGAACGAAGTAAAGGGGCAGAGAGAGAGGAGAGACAGATGGGCAACCAAGGCTTCAAAGAAGTTGGCTGTCTCGGGAGCATTTGTTGAAGGAAACAGACAAGTCTCCATCGGTCCTTCCAAAAATATAATGCCAAGGGCAGTTAATGCTGAAAACAGAGGACCAACTGCACCTACTTAAAAATTGCTTCCCAACTGGGTAATTTCAGTGTGATCCCTTTATGTTTTCAAAATCTAACTTGTAAGTTTAATTATTTTTTAGGGAGATTCATTATTATACCTAACTAGCCCCTTGACACATGCTCACGCATGTGCCAATTGGTTTTCTTTTTATTTTATTTATAAAATTAAGAAAAGATATCATGGGTAGTTATATTCCATAAAAGTATGACTTATTATCTGATTTTGTTTTTAATTTTAATTTTTTTAATATTAAAAAAATGTGAATTTACCATATTATTCTAATTTAATTAATAATTTCAATTCTTAATGTTTGCATTAACCAAAGGTATTTTTTGGTATTTTGAATGTTTCACCATTCTCTGCATTTTGCTTTATATATATATATATATATATATATATATAGGAGCTTAAATTATAAATTTAAAAAATAAAAATAAAAAACTCTATATGAAATGGACTTTAGAAACACACTCAAAGTCCATTTACAATATAACAAAAAAGCTTTTAATTTCTTTTAAATTACAAAATTGTCATTGATTTCTTAAAACGAATCCAACCCCAAAACATTGAATAGGGCATTAAAATAATTTAATAATTAAAATTCAATTCAATATGGCCAGCTATCATTTTTTGGGTTTGTTTATAGATTTTAAATTGTGTAGAGTTTATCTATATTATTAGTGCTAAGAATGGGTATATGACTAAATATCTATATTTTTTTTATTCATCCCCTCATATGTGAAGAATTTTGCATTTTGAAATTCTTATATAAATTTCCACCAAAAACAAACAAATTCTTATATTGGAGTGACTCCGATTAGTGGCGGATTTAGGATTCTCAAGCTAAGCGGTCACAGCTTTAAAGCTTTGAAGAAATTAAAAAAAAAAAAAAGAAAAAAAAAAAAAAAAAAAAAAAAAAAAAATAGTACTTCCATCCAAGCTTCACTTGTGCATGACAAGTTTTCCTTTCAAAACATTGCATTATAGCTTCATAAATCAAAATAAATTAAAAAATTGTTCCATAATTCTACACATAATTTAATCAAAATAAATTTAAAAATTGTTCCATAATTCTACACATGATTTAATCAAAATAAAAACTCAATGTAATATAATTTTTGTTAATGTCTCATCTAAAAAATAATATAATTTTCTTTTTTATAAAAAAGAATATAATTTTTGTTATTTTTCAATAATTTTAGGTACTTTTGTATTTAAACCCCACACTTCTCTTTGCTCACCCCATATTCTAAGTTCACCCCAACTTCTAATTCAAATTTTTACACTTTCTAAGAAAACTCTACTATCTTCCCAAAAGAAACTTAAGAACTTAATGATTTAAGTATTGGGGTGAACAAAAAAACTCAAAAGAATATCATTTTTTTTTATAAGGAATAAAATAATAATGTATAAAGACTAGAATTATCTTCCTTTTTTTAATTTAAAATGAAACAACCCCAACCTACACCTCCCCCTTAGAAAAACAAAAACAAAAAACAATACCTCCCCATCTTCTCTTTCATAGTTTCACTCTATACAACATCTACTCCAATTCTCTCTCTTCCTCTCCTTTTGTCTCTCACTACTGATACCTCTCTCTCGTTCTTTCACATCTTTTTCTCTCTCTCCAAAATTAAAACTCACCCACTGCCATCGTTGTAACTCCATCAACCCATATCTCTCTCTCTCTCTCTCTCTCTCTCTCTCTCTGGGTTCTTTCGTCTAGTACATTGAGTGCACCCAATAGGTCAACAAGTTGCTGGCCAAGGGGTCTGTAACTGCTCACCTAAGACCTCCACAACCAAATGCCGGCATCCCAAGGGCCTCTTGTTCCTTGGTGCGTTTGCTCCTAACTCCGAGGTAAAAGTAAGGAGCTTGAAGCTTACGTAGTTAAGAGCATATGTCCTTACACTTGAGTCTCGAGATCCTAATTTCACCTTCCCCAATATTTTTTTTAAAAGTAAGATTCACAGCAATAAAAACGTTTCAAATTCACTTGATACATATCGAGTTGACTGTAACATAATTGTATGTATATGGATGAGGGAAATCAACTTGGAATTTTGACAAAAGTCATAATCCTAAATTGACATGAACCAATTTCCGTGTTTGGATAACAAAACAAAGAAATCTAGAAATTCCATGTGTGAAAAAACATAGAATTTGGAGGTCATAAAGAACAACTTTAAATTTTATATGAATAATCGTCATTTCTAAAAAGTGTTTATCTTCCCACCCACTATGTAAATTTTAAAAAATACAATCCTATCTTTCCACCCACCATTATTCCTAAAATACCATTTAATTATAATATTAAGAGTGAATTTCATATTTTTGCTTGTTTTTATGTTTAGGTGTAATAAAATATTCATAGAATTTATAAAACTCAATTAAAAAATAAGAACATTTTTAAAACAAAAACCCATCTGCACCCTTCCCCAACCCCAATCCCTAGCCCCACCCCATTGCCCAGATTCATCCCCAAAAGCCTAAGCCTCGACACCACCGCCGACTCCGCGTCTACCGCTGACAAAGAATTTTAAGCTCTACGAGAAGAGAATCGGCGACTAAGAAACTGTTGTGGATTCAATCGACATCTTGACACGAATCAGAGCTCCAAAGCAGGAATCTAAAATCAATTTCCTTTCAAGGTGGCCACATGTATTTTAATTGTTTCAATTTTGCCCATATAATCATTAAAGCATTGGGCTTTGTTTAAAATACATGTTTGTTTTTTAGGAAGTGTTTTGGAGGCAGCTGAAATTCTCATCAATGTTGACCATGAAGAACCAAGTTGGTGGGTTTGGGTAATGGAAGATATGATTTTGGGCAAAGTTGAGGATATGAGTGGAATTGACAATGAAAGCTATGTTCTTGTCAGTGGGTAAAGCTCCAGTTTCCCAATATTCATATGGTTCTTCTAGTTCGAATCACAGAAGCACTCAATTTCCACAGAGAGAACCGAGGGGTGAATGGATTGGGCTGGGGTACAGTACAGAGGTGGGTGCAGTGGAGGAGATGGCTGCCATGCGGTGGAGGAAGAGGGAGAAGGGTGGGATATGCGTGTTGAGAGGGAAGGGGTTTGATATTTGTTAATAATCATTTTAGTTTTTTTTAATTTATATAATCATTTTCTTATGTTTTTTAATTGGTTTTAATGATTTTCCCCTAAGTCCTTGTAAGTCATTTTATAAAGGGGTAAATTGGTCTTTAAAATTTACAAGATTAGGTGAGTAAGAAATAGGACAGGTGCGTGAAAATATCAACACTCTTTCTAAAATTACAAAATTATACATAATCAAACAAGAAACTATACAAATTCTAAAACATTTCATCATTTTAAATTCCATCATTTATGAATTTATTAATACTTTTACATTTACTCATCCAAACGCACAGTAAGAAAATACCAAAGAAACAAACCAAGTCCCGGGGGTAGTCGAATTCGGACCCTGATAAACCAAACCCGCATGAAGAAACCTGGGTCTCAGATCAGTACGACCCAAATAAAAAAACCTGGGTCTCGGATAATACCGTAACAGAACTCAAAGTTTCAAACTTCCAACTCAAATTCATGCAATACAATTACAGAGGCAAAATGAAAAATCATAAACCCTAAAAGAGATAAACCCCCCAGAAATGAGCACAAATATCCACATTCCCTTCTAATCCCACCATTTGTTCAACCTTCTTTATCGTCCCAGCAATGACTTCAATGGACATTCTCAATTCACCCAGGCTTTACATTCCCAAACCCCACACCCACCTCAAATCCCCAAACCACTCAAAGCGTTTCAATTTGATTCGAAAAATTCAACCACAGCCACCTTTCCCTCACCGGACACTCACCTTCCTTTGCCAGTCGTATTCGGGGCCCTCGTCACGGTCGGGTGACACTAGCAAAGCCCCCCAAGACGATTTTGTGACCAGGGTCTTGAAGGAGAACCCAAGCCAGATTGAACCCAGGTACTTAGTTGGTGACAAGTTTTACACTTCGAAAGAAAAAGAGAGTTTGGGCAAGAATTCCAATGTGGGTTTTATTGAACTCTGGGCGAAGAGATTGAAATTTTCGAAGGCAGAGCCGAAGAAAGAGAGGACTGAGGATCAAAATGATAGTCAAGTGAGGGATGAATCTGTTTATTTGAAGGACATTTTGAGGGAGTATAAAGGAAAGCTCTATGTGCCAGAGCAGATTTTTGGGACTGAGTTGCCGGAGGAAGAGGAATTTGAGAGGAGTTTGGAGGAATTGCCCACAATGAGCTTTGAGGATTTTCAGAAAGCTTTGAAGAGTGATAAGGTTAAGTTGTTGACTTTTAAGGAAGTGACAGGGACTTCTTATGGGTTCACTGATTTCATTGTCGATTTGAAGGAGATCCCAGGCCAGAAGAGCTTGCATAGAACCAAATGGTAAAAATGAAAAAACATTTAATTACTTAAAAGAGTTTTGCTTTTGTGGATGTTTTGGCAGTTCAGTGATATTGTTTGCAATTTTTTAGGGCAATGAGGCTGGATGAGGGTGAAGCTCAGGCTCTTCTGGAGGAGTATACGGGCCCGAGATATGTAATAGAGGGGCATACTACGGTGATCAATCTTTGAACTCTTTTGAGCTTAGTTAATTATAACATGTGAATCAAATGGAAATTGGTTTTAAGAAAGGCAAAAGTTATTGTGAATTATCTTGTGGCACTAGTTTTCATGGTGTGAAATTAGAGTGTCTCTATTGTACTCCCATTCAGTTGGAGGTTCTGGTTTGAGCGCTTAGAAAGTGAGCATGGCTGTATTGACCTTCCTTTATAAATTCTATTATCAATGATAGAAAACCTTTAGCTGTATGGACATACTCTGGTTCAAGAATTAGCTTCTATTTTCTCAAACTTAAATTTTTGCAGCTATCTCTTCTTGTATATGTTCCAGACATGAGGTTTGGATCATAGAAAACAATGTATTGTATTGACGCATATAATTGGAACCAAATGTTTAAAGAGTCAAGATTTTCCTTTTATTCCGACAGAAAATTGATATTTTCCTCGCTGTTTGATTCCTCTGTTGCAGTCTTTGGTTGGAAAAGTACCACGTTACCCTCATCCAGTGGCATCTTCCATATCTAGCAGAATGATGGTAGAGCTTGGAATGGTAACAGCTGTAATGGCTGCTGCTGCAGTTGTTGTTGGAGGGTTCCTGGCTTCTGCAGTATTTGCTGTTACCAGTTTCGTTTTTGTGTTGACTGTATATGTCGTATGGCCTATAGTCAAACCATTTATTAGACTTTTTCTTGGTCTCATCTTTGGAATTTTAGAGAGAGTATGGGATAATCTTGTTGACTTCTTCAGTGACGGAGGCATTTTCTCTAAATTTTCTGATTTTTACACTTTTGGTGGTGTATCTTCCAGCATTGAGATGTTAAAACCAATTACAATTGTCCTTTTGACCATGGTCCTTCTTGTCCGTTTCACACTCTCTAGAAGACCTAAGAACTTCAGGAAGTGGGTAATGCTGCTTCATTTCTACAGTTTCTTTCCTTATTCTTCTTGCATTAATGCCTTGCCTTATTTATGCCATGGATCTGATCGCCATGAGTTGCACTTAATATTTGCAGGATCTGTGGCAAGGGATTGATTTTTCACGGTCTAAAGCAGAAGCTCGTGTTGATGTTAGTTTCTAAGAGTTATTCATTTGTGTAACTTTCTTAGCATGCTGAAGTTCTTCATGAGGTTCTTAGAATTCAATATTGTATTGACATGTATGTGTTTAGGGGTCAACTGGAGTTAAGTTTAGTGACGTGGCAGGGATTGATGAAGCAGTAGAGGAACTCCAGGAGGTATTCGTTTTCACTAATCGTTGAGAATCAATTGCTTGTGTATTGCAATTTGTCCCCCAGTCTTAACTTAACTATAATTCTTGTTTGTAAATTTGAAATTAATGATAACTTATTGATATCTTTGATATTCTGCTGATTAGTTGGTGAGGTACTTGAAGAACCCAGAACTGTTTGATAAAATGGGAATAAAGCCTCCGCATGGGGTTCTTTTAGAGGGCCCACCTGGATGCGGCAAGGTTTGTTATTTGTCCTAATCTTCAATATGTGTACATGAAATTAGCCCGTAGTAATTTTTCAGTTTACTTGCCTGTTTCCAGACCCTGGTTGCTAAGGCCATAGCGGGTGAGGCTGGTGTTCCATTTTACCAAATGGCTGGATCTGAATTTGTTGAAGTTTTAGTTGGTGTTGGTTCTGCTCGTATTAGGGATCTATTCAAAAGAGCCAAGGTGATTATACTTCCCATTTGTAGTTGAATTCTCCTGATATTATCCCACTTTGTCACCCAGAAGTGAGAAGTAGGAACAACAAGCAAGTCATTCTCCTTTATCATTAATTTTACATAAAGTATACTTCCCTTTTAATAAATGGTTCTTAGTGTAGAGTTTCTTCATCAATTAATGCATGGAATTTTTGCTTTCTTGAAGTCCTGTTGAGATTGCTACATTATGATCTTATTTTTCGGTGCAGGTAAACAAACCATCAGTTATTTTCATTGATGAAATTGATGCATTGGCTACAAGGTATGCACATTTCTCTTGGTGGATTTTAATGAATTGCGTGCTATCGTTTGTGGTTTTAAAATTTTGTGAGCAACATAGCTTCATGACATGTCATCATTGTGCAAGCTGCTGGCTGAAAAGTGTCTAGTCCATAATTTTTAGTTGGATGCTAATACTAGTACTACATGTTTGTTATCGTATGATCAGGCGTCAAGGGATTTTTAAGGAATCTTCCGACCACCTGTATAATGCAGCCACTCAAGAGAGGGAAACTACACTGAACCAGCTCTTAATAGAGCTTGATGGGTTTGATACTGGTAAAGGTGTTATATTTTTAGCTGCTACAAATCGCAGGGATTTGTTAGACCCCGCACTTCTCCGACCAGGTCGTTTTGATCGCAAGGTTTGTTTCTTTCTGAGTAAAAGACTGTTAGAAGTTAGAACTAGTCCACTCTGTTAGTTCAGGGACTTTAACTCTTTGGTTTAAGCTTGACATATCATCAGTCATCATCCTTTTTTTTTTTTTTTTTTTTTTTTTTTTTTTTAGACATCATACATCTTTATGTGATCCTAAATGAGCCGTTAAACTATTTTCCAATTTTTGGTTGGAATTGTCCTGCTGGATGATTCTCTATTGGATAATTTAGCGACTTTTTAAGAACTAGTGGATATAAATTAATTGCAGGTCCAAATGTCTGTTTTCTGCTTTATCCATAAATTGTATAGGTTAGCTCTGTTGAATGAATCAATGAAATTTACTGGTTTATTGTTATTTGGGTTTTATCATGTAGATAAAAATTCGTCCTCCTGCTGCAAAGGGGAGATTGGATATTTTGAAAATCCACGCAAGCAAAGTGAAAATGTCAGAGTCTGTTGATTTGTCCAGCTATGCACAGAACTTACCTGGTATGCATCCGTCTTTGCTGTTCCATATAATTTGGCATTTGGCTGACTAAACATTTGATAATTATTAGGATGGACGGGAGCAAAGTTGGCTCAGCTGGTCCAAGAGGCTGCACTTGTAGCAGTGAGGAAGGGGCATGAGTCAATTCGTCAGTCGGACTTGGATGATGCAGTTGATAGACTTACTGTAGGACCAAAACGGGTTGGAATAGAGTTAGGTCATCAGGGACAATGTCGTCGATCCACTACTGAAGTTGGAGTTGCAATAACTTCTCATCTGCTTAGGCAATATGAGAATGCAGAAGTTGAATGCTGTGATCGTATCTCAATCATCCCTCGTGGTCAGGTGCCCCTTCTGCTTCTTTATCTTCTTTTTTGTCCATAGGCTGATTTGTAAGTTGTTGCTCTTGTATGTTTTCAACACTTTCTGATGGATTAAAAGTTGTGTGGTTCATTACATACTTAAAAGATGAAAAATTAATTTTACTTAAAACTTGTCTTTTTAAATTAATTTCACTGTTCATTTGCACGTAATGACAAATTTGATATAACTATAATAATAGTATTTGACTCTGGGGTCATCTTTCCTATCACTTGTTACTTATGGAGTGATTTGTTCAGACATTATCGCAAGTTGTATTTCATCGACTTGATGATGAATCATACATGTTTGAGCGCCGGCCACAATTGCTGCATCGCCTTCAGGTTAGCTTTTTTATTGTTTATGGTTTCCTTTTAACTGCATCGTATTCATTAATTTGGATTTTTTTTTCTCTTTCCCCGTGCAGGTTTTACTTGGAGGGAGGGCCGCTGAAGAGGTCATATATGGACGGGACACATCAAGGGCTTCAGTTGACTACCTTGCTGATGCATCTTGGCTTGCTCGTAAAATTTTAACCATGTTAGGCCCTTATTCACTACTGTTTTTCTAACTCCCTGCTTTATGTGATGTTGTAATGAACTGATTGTTCACTCCTTACAGTTGGAATTTGGAGAATCCAATGGTCATACACGGAGAGCCACCACCTTGGAGGAAGAAAGTTCAATTTGTAGGCCCTCGGCTGGACTTTGAGGGATCACTGTACCACGACTATGACCTAATTGAACCACCAGTGAACTTCAATTTAGACGATGAGGTTGCGAAAAGGACTGAAGAGCTGATACATAATATGTATGACAAAACACTTTCTTTGCTTAAAAGGCACCATGCAGCCTTGCTTAAAACTGTGAAGGTAATTGGTCTGCGTGCAAATTTGCATCTTGGAAGTGTTACAGATGTTTATCCTTCAAGTGCATATGATTGAATTTCTTGAATATCTTATGAGGTTTTAAGCGGTGTAATGACTTGCGAGCTTCTTTGACTTTCATTTCAGGTTCTTCTTGAACGCAAGGAAATTAGCGGCGAAGAAATCGATTTTATCTTGAACAAGTACCCTCCACAGACACCCTTAAAGCTTCTTTTTGAGGAAGAAAATCCTGGCAGCCTTAAGTTCATCAAACAGGAACAGGAACAGGAACGTGAGTTAGAGTATGCCCTTCTAACACAATCCAAAGGAGAAACCCTATGATTAATGAAAGATCCCATACATGGGGGCTCTCCGTGTTCTTTGTGTACCGTACATGCATGAGGACTGCATTGGAAGCTTCATTGCCAGCAAGAGCGTGAAGAGCAAGAATGAGATTGTATCGTGTAGTTTTGTTGTGTGCTACCCAGAAGAAGGTGTAATCTATCCTTTGTAATTCAAAGCAAGCCCGTTTTTCCTTTTTATTGGGCTTTTTATTTTTGTTAATTTGTTTTATTCTTGTGTTTGATAGATGTAGCTCAGCTGTAGTTATTAGAAAAAGCCAGGAACGTAGAGGATTAAGAATTCCAAATTCATATGCACTTTTTTCATTTAAACATCAATAAGATCATAACTCCAATAGTTGGATACAATCATCTAATTTTAAACCTGTAAACCGTGAGTCCTTCTCGTGTAGATAGCTTGGGCTTTATTCGGGGGGCTTGGGCCCGTGCAAGGCCCACGACCTCCGAAAGAAGATCTACACACTTTGAATGATATTAGAATTAGGGCAGACTGGGGTTGATTCCAGTCTAACCATCTCCAATGGTTAAGTCAGAAACTAACTTTTGCTAGAGAGAATGGAGGTAGGGTTTATATTTTGTGTAGAGTTCTTAATTACCTTTGTCTGGAGATAGGTGAGGGGTATTTATAGGAGGGAGTAGGGGAGGTCAAGATATTTTCGGAAGAGATCTTTTCCCTATCTTGAGTTACATTTAATGTTCTGTTCTAGACCACCATATTGCTTTGACAGGAGTCAGAAAGAGAAGTGACAGGCATACATGGATGGGAGGTATAATAAATGATCCTTCTCCATCACCAACCTGTCCATTTAGAAATATCAAGGTAAGGCGACACCTGGTTGAGGATGGGACGCGCATCTAACTGATCCCCTTTACTTGTTAGCTTTATTTATCGCAGAGGTAGAGTGGTCATCTTGGCGAAAGTCTGATTGAGTTTGCTAGTCGCCCATGCACCCCCACTTACCCATGATCGGGTACGTGTCTACACACCCAATCACTAGTCCGATTCTTGGTCCACCATACTCGACTGGTCGGTACACAGGTGATCTAGTCTGTCGTAGCCACAATGGATCTTCTGATGGGCTTGGCTCATAGAGATGGTATAAGATATCAACAGTAGCCCCCCAACTCCTGACTCAAGGAACTAACCTTGGGTGGGGAGTTGTCTAGTTTTGCGTTTTCCTTGAGAGCTGAGCCTTGCTTATCCCCCAGGTCGGGTCGGGTAGCCCTCAAGTCTGTCGCCGAGAAAGGTCCTTGAATGTAGCATCGGATTTTAAATGTCTGGGCAATCGAGTGGGGGTGAGGTGGCCAAAGTGTATTGGTTGAGGATATGGGCATTGAATGGCCTCTAACATCAGGCCTTGTCGAAAGGTCGCGTCGCTCTGCCTTCCGTCGCTTCATCTGATGGCTAGTGTGGAGTAACCACGTGTGGCCATCCTAGGTAGGGAAGATGAGAGATGGACGGCGGAGAAGCTCGATGGGGTTTGTATAAAAGGGGAAGACACCAAATTCTTGCCGTTTTCCGTCATTTTTTTTGCTGGGTTTGGAGAGTTTTGGCCGAACAGTTTTGTGCCATTTTTGTGTTCCTTCGTTGGTAGAGAAGAACTGGAGCTTCCGTTTGGCTAAGGTTTGTTATTCATCCCTGTCATGTTGGTTTTGCTTTCCTTGTGTTTTCTTCCTCTTCCTTCTTGTTGTCTTCTTCGTTCTTTTCTAGAAGTGTGACTGGTTGTGGTGTTCACTTTGTTTTCTGGGTTTGGTGTATGCGGTCGCTTGGATTTTCTTATTTTGGCATGTTTTGATCCATAGCCTCAACTCCGTTCCCTCATGGTGGTGTTTAGACGTGTTTGTGAGCAGTTTTTTGGGAAATGTCGAGCTGATAAGATGTTTCTAATTCACAAGATACGGGGAGTAGCGGATCAACCTTTAGGGATGATGTAGAGGTAGTAGACCAGATGTGCGACGCAGCTAACTAGATGGGTGAGGACATGCCCATTGGGCTTGGGGGGAACTTCGAGTATCGAGGCACCAGACGAGGAATGAAAAGTGAGGAGGTGGAGGGTACTGATGAAAGTGGTGAGGGTAGTGACCAAGTAGAGCATGTAGGCACGTCGATAGCCGTACCACGATCGAAACGAGGGGCAAAATCGAGCAGTGAACCAGAAATGGAGAAGGGGTGGTCAGCTAATGGACATCCGAGCAATATGACGCAGCAAAAGTTGGAATAGTTGCCGGCGGAGTATGCCATACCGGGCAGTGTGATTCTGAGGGCCCCAACTGGGGACAAAAAACTGAGCACTCCTCACTTAGGGTGGGTGACCTTGTGTGCAGACATGCTGAAACAAGGGGTTCGACTACCCTTATCACTTTTTTTACAAAAGTGGATGAGTCGACTCAATGTAGCCCTTCATCAGATGAACACAAATGTGTATAGGACAATGGAAGTGTCCAGGCTCTGTGGCAACGAGTGCACAAGTCAGAGCTAACCATTAACCAAATGTTGCACTACTTCCTATTAAAGAGGAGTCCACATTAGGTCGACTTCTGCTACCTTCAGAGCGTAGTGGGGAAGATCATTGAGAGTAACCCCTCATCCCAAAAAACATGGAAGCCGCACTGGTTCTATGCCTCAGGTGTGTGGGAGTTCGCTGAGGGGGTGGACCCGAGGCGTCCTATGATTCAAAGGCGCTTTAGAATGCCAAGTTGGGCAGTCATGCGAGATGCGTCCATTAAGCACGTATTTGCTAAACACACGCGTGCATATATATATATATATTTGTCTTGTCTATGCTCCTGATAACAAAATTATGTGGTTTGTTGCTTTTTATTTGTTTGGTTACACTGGAACGTAGCAAGTGTGGTGGGTTTTGCAGTGGAGTTGGACCGAGCCGATCTCTCACTTGCTGAGCAAGAACAAGTGGACGTGGTACTCGCGTACCGAGAGAGCCGCAGATAAGCTTCTTATCAGAGAATGTATGATCAGCCCTTCAGGTGAGTTGACTGCCCCTTTGTGTAATAAGTGTAATCAACATGAGTTTGGCCGGGCTGAACTGTTCCGTGTTTATACAGCGATGAGGCCGAGCCGAAACGACCATACAATGCAAGCTAAGCTGATGAGGATGGCCAAGGGTTCATATGGTGGATCGACTGGGGGTTCGCAGCCAATTCGGGTTTGTGCGTCTCCTTATATGTCTGTGGCTCGGAGCCAAGCCACCGGGGTAACCACCAGCCCTGCTTAGGGAAGGCAGAAGATGCGAGTTGATGAGCAATTACCCAGATATACGGGAAAGAGGCGGGCAGAAGAAAAGCCAAGGAGGGACACTGGAAAGAGGCCAATGGGTTCAACTGCATCACAAGGAACGAGGAGGGCGAGCGTGGACCTCATCAGCAGTCTGCTAGAGCCATGGTTAGAAGGAGAAGTGACGCTCAATTCATACCAGGAGGAGGTGAGGTGCATTCTGAAGGTGAATATGGTTGATGGGTTGTTCCCCTAGGAGATGGGCTACAGTGGGATGACCATGTCTGCTCTAGAGGACCAACTGAAGGTAAAATAATCTACCTCCTCCCTAAAGGAGATTTGGGATGCTTCGTTGCTTACTAGGTATGTGGTGCAGGCAACCATAAAGCTATTCATTGCTGCTCAGAACGTGGCTGCTCACTGCGAATTCAATTGAGGCAAGAAAAACAAGCAGGCATTGACAGTTGCCGAATTGAAGCGGAAGGTGGAGGAGAAAGTGAAGTGTGAAGAAGAGCTGGAGCAAGTGCAAGGCCACTTGGAAGAAGAGGAAAAAAGGAATGTCGATTTGTTGACCTCATTGGGAAAGCTGTGAGATGAGAAGCGCAGTCTCAACCGATAATTATTGGTGGTACAGAAGAAGTTGAATAAGGCGACGCAGAAGATCAAGGTCTTTACCTCCGAGCTGCGCACCTGCTACGATGATGTCGTTAAGGACTTTACGGGCTCTGCTGAGTACCAGGAGAAGCAACCACCCAGATGGTCAAGGGATACTTCGACATGATTGAAAAGGTTGCAGAGAAGTATCATTCCTTAGACTGGAGCTTCCTGGAATAGGAAGTTGAGATAACCGAGGCAAAGCAGGGTGAGGGTGGAATAGTTCCGATCGCTGAGTCAGTAGTAGAAGGCGTCAGACTTGCTCCTCTAGGTACCAACCGTGTAACTATTAGTGCAGAGCCAGTCATGGTGGGTCCCGACCCTGTTGTGCAAGGGACCGAGGCGACCTCCACTGGGGCTGACCCGGCTAGTGAGAGGGTAGAAGGGGCTGAAGAAGAAGTTGGGATTCCATGAACTCCCTCTTGCTTTATTTCTGAACGTTGTAATTCTTCTCCTCTTATTAAATTTTTTTTTTGTAGGGGTCTGTAATAGCTAAACAATTTGATACGGCCCTTTGGTCGGCGTTTCGTAAGTGAACATGCTTAGTATGTTTTGTTTTCTTTTCCTGAACCTTTTAATTGTGTTTTTAACAATTTGTCCCTTAACATAATGATTGTTACAAGTTTTACTTTTGGCGGATATGTATGTGCACGTTAGTGTAAGTAGAGTCGACTAGAAGCGAAAAACACCATAACGTAAAGGAAAACTACAAATAAACAAAGTACCGACCATAATTAAAAAGGAGAAGACAAAACAAAAGTAAAAACATCGCACAACTTTACTAAGTACACAAAATTTCATTAAGTGCAAGAGATCAAGTTACAGAGGTTTCAAGCCGAGCACATCGCTGGTTCGGGTAGGTGCGGTACCGTGATCATGCTCGGTAGGAAAACATAATAGGCGACAAGTGGAGGAAAAAATAGTTGGTGTGCCTGGGCGAGGTCATATCCTGCTACCTAAGGGTAATACTTCCTTAGGTGCTCGGCGTTCCATGGATGTGGCAACTTCTTGCCATTTAATTCGGTGAGCTGATATGTGCCTGGTTGGGCAACGTTAAGGAGTTGGTAAGGTCCTTCCCAATTAGCCCCCAAAGTACCAATGGTGCTATTCTTGGTACCAGGTCGCCAGGTCGAAAATTATACTCGCGGACATGCTGGTCGTAGTACCGAGCTAACGGCCGATGTGGAGACAGAGAGATATAAGGACAAGATATCCCCGACCTCAGGTTTTGATAAGATGAGAGCTTGCCCCATATGTACCTTCAAATTTTCAAACACTAGAACACATTTGGGTGTCCAATCTACCACATTTTTGTTTCCTTTGAGTGATTTGAAGAAAGGGAGGCATCGGTCAGTAGCTTTCGAGATGAACCGAGTTAGCGCTGCTACTCGCCCAGTTAGGGTCTGAACTTCTTTTCGAGTCCGAGGCTGAGTCATTCAGACGAGAACCTAGATCTTCTCTGGGTTAGCTTCAATGCCACTGTGGCTAACTAAGAACCCCAGGAACTTCCCCGAGCTGACCCCGAACATGTATTTGGCGGGATTTAACTTCATTTCATGGCTTCGTAAGATTGTAAAAGCAACATCGAGATCAGCGATGTGCTGATCGGCGCGAATACTCTTCACTAGCATGTCGTCGACGTAAACTTCTATGCTTTTGCCAATCTGGTCGGCAAACATGTGGTTAACCAATCGTTGGTAGGTAGTCTCCGCGTTTTTTAGGCCAAATAGCATGACCTGATAACAGTACGTGCCCCGATCTATAATAAATGAGGTACTCTCCTGGTCAGCTAGATGCATGCGGATCTAGTTGTATCCTGAGTAGGCATCCATAAAGCTGAGCAATTCGTGCCTTGTCGTGGCATCAACCAGCTGGTCGATCCTGGGTAAGGGAAAGCTATCCTTAGGGCAGGCTTTGTTATTGGAGAAATCGACACACATTTGTCATTTATCCTCCGTTTTCCGGACCATGACAGCATTGAACAACCAGCGAGGATAATCTACCAGGCGGATGAAGTTATTCCGTTGTAACTTGTCCACTTCTGTTTTCATACCCCCGACGTTTCTAGAGGACGGGGCGGTACTATTGGTCAATATTGAGGCGGTGGGTAATTACGTCGGGGGCTAATTCAACGCATATCTTCATGAGACCAAGCGAATATGTTAGTATTCTTTTTTAAGAACTAGATCAATTCCTGACAAATGGTCGACGTGAGCTGGGAGCCGGTTTGTAAAAGCCGATCCAGATATTCAGGAAAAGGCGCCACCTGCTCAAGATCTTCCACCGATTGTGGGTTCACGGGACTGATTTCTCCTCTTGGTCAACAACCATAGAAGCGCTGGTCGGGTTGGCAGTATCATAGGTCTCCACACAAGACATCTTGTAGGTCAGTTTGGCTGAGGAGGCGTAACAGGTTCGTGGTGACTCCTGATCTCCCCTTATGATACTGACTCCGTGGAGGGTAGGAAATTTGATGAGCAGAACTTTCATGTTGATTGACAAGTTCAGGTTGCCAATGGCTGGGCGCCTGAGGATCACGTTGTACGACAAAGGACACTTCGCCATAACAAAGTCTGTGGTGATGCTAGTTTGCCTCGGGTATACCCCAAAAGATATAGTCAGATACATATGGCCGAGGGGCTGCACATGGCTTCCTCCAAAGGCTACAAGGGTTGAACAGCGTCGGTCGAGGAGGCTTTCATGGGCCCCAACTGTCTGAAGGCATCGAGGAAGATGATATTGACAGAGCTACCTCTATCCAAAAATACCTGAGCAGCCTTGTAATGGGCGATCTCGGCTGTGATAACTAAGGGGTCGTGATGGGGAAGGTTACGCCTGCCATGTCGCCCTGGAAAAACGTGATTGATTCTCTGTCTGCTGAGGGTCGGGTGGATGGACCTTTAGTCATTCCTGCAATCATAACCTTAGTAGCTCCGTGTCGACTGGCCTGCCACCGTTGGTCCGTCCGATATGATAGATATGAATACCCGGGATGCTCCCAGTTTATCGGTGGTATCGCCCCGTGCCTGGGCATCCATGGGGACTGCCTCCCCCGTCACATATTCCTTTAACCTTCAACACCTGATCAATGCCTCTATTTCTTTCTTTAATTGGTAGCTGTCATCCGTGTGGTGGCCGTAGTTGCGATAATACTTGCAATACTTGCTGTCGTCTTTCTTTCCTCGATAAGGAAACCTTCTCCTTGCTGGTCTAGGAAGTTCACTAGCTATTAATGAGAAGATTTCTCCGTTTGACCTATTCAAAGGGATATAATTTGTATACTGGTTGTGCTTCTCTAGTCTGACGTCGTTCCTCCGGGTTGTGGACCCTGACTCTCTCTTCTTCCTTTTTGTCGACCAATCATATGCATAGTCGTTAGGCTTCTTATCCCTGGGCTGATATAACGCATGAGCCTCCGAGATCTACCCCGCTGTAGTCTTTCTAGCCAGGCTACTCGGCTAGGGAATCGCTCATGGCTTCATGAAAGAGGTCCTTGTATGTCTCTGGTGGATTCCTGGTAAGGGAAAAATAGAAGTCTTCCTCCTGGAGCCCATCCATCAGCGCGTTCTGTGTTGTGGCCTCATCACACCCTTTGCAGCGCGCGTCGGGTCATTGTCTAACTGTGGATAAGTCATTTGTTGTGTAGAGCCGATCAGAAATGATCATGTATCTTTCTAAGAAGACTTTCCGGAGCTCGGCGAAGGAGCTGATTGACTATGGGGCGAGTCTCTTGAACCAACTCGTGGCAGGGCCCTTAAGAGTTGTCGGGAACATGCGGCACTTGGTTGCTTCATTTGCTCATCGCCCTTCCATGGCGTAGCGAAAATTATCCAAGTGATCGTATGGGTAAGTCATCCCATTGTATAAAGGGATTTTTGGGTCTTTCGAATCCCCTACCACCCTAGCCTTGAGCAAGTCCTAGGTGTATGACGGGGGGATTTCTTCCTCAGTGAACTCGAGTCTCTTGGGCATTTTGGATTTTTCGACCTGTTCGAGCCAATCCCACACACTCCTCAGCTCGCCCGTGACCAGGTCCCTAAGTTTGGAGGTGAGGCCGTCAACTTCTTCCTCGGCCTCCTCTGAGCTGACTTGATTTTTCCCCTTGTTAAGGCTCTTCACTAGGTGTTCGTTGCTCTCTCGCCATGATTTTTTTCTCCTTTAGGATGTTTCTGGCGTCGGCTACGTTCTGCCCATGTGCTCCAGCTAGTGTTGATGAGGACAAGGCTCTGCGGGTACTTTTGGTGCTGGTCGGCTTGGGCTCTCGTTGTGCATGCACTTGGCCTGCCAACTCGGCTTGGTTCTCTTGTAGTATCTCATTTTGTCGCGGAGGCTATTGCTGAGATTCTGCACGTCCTTTACACCCTTCAGGATCTGGCTCATCTTCTCTTCTAGGGCTTTCAAACGGTCTGACCTTAGGCTCTCTTTCCTTCACCTCTGGGCGTTTCTCCCTGCCGTACCCGAGGGGGTTCCTTTCCTGAGGTGTCGGTTCCTCAACATGATTTGGTTTTGCTTGTATTGGTGCTCAGATGGATGAGGGGATGCAGCTTCTGTTCGTAATGAAAGTAGGATTCCCACAGACGATGCCAAATGTAAACCGTGAGTCCTTCTCATATAGATAGCTTGGGCTTTATCTGGGGGCTTGGGCCCGTACAAGGCCCACGAGTGCGGACAACCTCAGAAAGAAGATCTGCACACTTCGAATGATATCAGAATTAGGGTGGACTGGGGTTAATTCCAGTATAACCCTCTCCGATGGTTAAGTCAGAAACTAACTTATGCTAGAGAGTATGGAGGTAAGGTTTATATTTTGTGTAGAGTTCTTTATTATCTTTGTCTGGAGATAGGTGAGTGGTATTTATAGGAGGGAGAAAGGGAGGTTAAGATATTTTTGGAAGAGATATTTTCCCTATCCTGAGTTACATTTAATGTTCTGTTTCAGACCACCATACTACTTTGATAGGAGTCAGAAAGAGAAGTGATAGGCGTACATGGATGGGAGATATAATAAAAGATCCATCTCCATCACTAGCCTGTCCATTTAGAAATATCAAGGTAAGGCAACACCTAGTCGAGGATTTGACATGCATCTAACTGATCCCCTTTACTTGTCAGCTTTATTTATCGTAGAGGCAGAGTGGTCATCTTGGCGAAAGTCTGATTGAGTTTGCTGGTCGCCCATGCACCCCCACTTACCCATGATCAGGTACGTGCCTACACACCCGATCACTAGTCCGATTCTTGGTCCACCATACTCGACTGGTCGGTACACAAGTGATCTGGTCTGTCGTAGCCATAATGGATCTTCTGATGGGCTCGGCTCATAGAGATGATATGAGATATCAACGAAACCTAATGAACATTATAAGTGAAATCTTGTGTCACAAAATTTCCAAAACTACATTCAAGTTAGGCACGGTGTCTAAAATATGGAGTACTGTTATGCTCACTAAATTTGTTTATCAACTTTTGGTTATTATGACTTGGCAATGACTCATTTATTCAAATTTTAATTTACTAGAACAAATTTGGCATTTTTTTATTCATCAATCAGAGACTAGGAGATTCGAACTTGAGCTATCTTCCAACATTGGTGTTTTTGAACATTTTAGTTTTCAAGCTCTTAGAGCACCTCCACCCTAAAGGGCAAAAGTAAGGCAAATGCAAGGCAATGTTTGGCACTATTCATGTGAATAGTGGCAGCCTTACCTTTTTTGGTTTCACCCCAAAAGGTTCGGATCAGATTTTCGGTTGTCACGTGTCACAATTTATTGTAAAATTCTCACCTAAACATTCAGATAACATTTTTGGATAAAATTTTCAAATTAAATTTTCAGATAAGATTTTTGGTTGCCACATGTCCATATTTATTATAAAATTCACATCTCACTCATTATACAATTGAAATACTCCCGGTCCTCATAGTCTGACACAATCGAGAATAAGGACAAGTCGATCATTGGCGGAGGCGGTTCCACTAGATCATGACTTGGGAGAGTATTTTCCTTCGAAGGACGTAATAGTGTTGTTGAGGCCCACAAATCCAAGAACTAGGCCCAGGTTTATTTTTAGCCTAGTACAAATAAATTGATCGCAAAAGGAAACCAATTGGGGCGTAAGAGAAATTGTGGGACGCACCTGCATAAGCCATGGACCATGCATCACGCCAAGCAAGCATGCGCAAAAGGGCCAAAAATACATTGGCTTTATAAATTCCCGTTCACTAACCTACCTGATGCTACTTGGCCCAATCATAGCTTATTGTGGTACAATAAAACCCAAGCACAACCATATTAAATAAACACGCGATGCCATTCTAATACCAAGTCATGCTACAAGCTTAAGTGGGCTCAAGCCACGTAATTACCCGGGACTTGATGAGAAGGTTGTGGCATAGAAGGGAACAAGCAATCACAGGGCCCATTGAGGGTTCAAGGAACGAAAGTTTTAGGCCACTTGGGAGCATTAAAACTCAAGCCTGTTCCTCGGGCCCAAACACATGGGTTGGCATGAGAGAGGGGGAAAAGTGATCCAATGCCTTAGGAGTACAGTACAAAAATTCGATAATTTCGCCGATATTTCGAAGAAATTATCGTTTTTTTGGGGCTTTGAAATTTTAGCACAATTCCAAGTATATATCGTCATTTTATCGATATTTTCCTCAATAATTTCGAGGATATTTCGGGTAAGATATTTTCGTCCAATTCGCAGCTTTAAATTGTCATAATATTACGGCTTGAACTGTGTCAAAAATGAAACAATTTAAACTCAACTCAACGCATAGTGGGGTTCAAACCTCTCCCAACTCCGAATTTTTGCAACCACTTAACCACCACGCTACTCATGACTTTGTGATTATAAACTATGAAATCTAATATATATATATATAATATCGCGACTTGAACTTTCAAAAATTAACAATTTAAACTCAGCACACATAGTGGGGTTCGAACCCCTCCCAACTTCGAACTTTTCCAGCCACTTAACCACCACGCCAGTCATCACTTTGTGATAATAAGCTATGGAATATGTATTTATAATACATGCGAGCTGTTTCTCAAAATAGAAATTAACATAATTACTTATTGTTTTATATTGTTGATCAGTTACTTAATTACTTAATATAATTTATTTCTTTTCTATTTAATCCATTTAATGTTATTGATTATTTTATTATTCATTATAAGTACTTACATTGCTAAATTCCCCTTCAAATTGTTGCTTAATTACTTAAATCTCTATAATTATTTTCTTTATTTACTACTTAATTCTTTCTTTGATAAATTTATTTATGTTCTTAGTTAATTTTTAATCTTCACTAATATTTTTGAAGTATGGTAAAGTGCCTAATTTTCATGAAAAGTCAAGTTGGTTTAATTATTTTTCAATTTTTGATAAATAATAAATATAAGAACGTGTACCATGTCCAATGAATAATGTGAAATAAGGTTACACATGTATCTTACCATGCAATCTATAAAGTGTAAAATATTGTACTAAAAAATGATAAATAAATTACTATGGGGTTGTTTAATTCTCTTCATTAATTACTCCATATTTTCTAGGTCACAGAGTTTGTCAGCTCGCAATATAATCAACTTAAATCACTCAAACCCACTATGCAATGCATTTCCTTCCAATTTTTTGTGTCAAAATAATAGATGATTGACTAAATAAACTTCTTCTAAAGTTTCATTAAAAATTTCCCTGTATTTATCACAATTTCCGTGGTTTTTATCCAATTTTTATCGATATCAATATTTTTCCGATATTTCCATCAATATTTCCGTATTTTTGATCCACCGATATTTCCGAAACTATCAATATTTAAGACCTTGCTTAGGAGGACATCTAGTAGTCTACTATAACACTTAGACAAGCCCACATCAATAAAATGCCCAAAATAAATAAGCTATTTCCAGCAGTTTGACGAAAACCCATTATAAGTTGGAAATAACATGCTAATAACCCAATACTGTACACACAAGCCCAGCCCAATACTGGCATGGAACAAAGGAAATCCATGTATGTAGGAAGAATACCCATTGGACAAATAACTCTACCCATCTTATTTTCCTCTGTAAGCTCAATTTTGAAAACCAAGAAGGAAAGCAAGTGGCGCCTCACCCTCATGGGGAGGTCTAGCCAGACAAAACCCTTGGAACCCCAAAGGGCTCCTTACCCATGGGCCTTGGATAGAAAAATTTCACCAAATAGGATATAATGGGAAGAAGCGCAAAGAAAAAGGAAGAAGGAGGTTAGATAAAATTAGGGTTCTTTGTGCTTATAAAAGGGAGCTTCCTCTATCCAATAACACCCATCATCCAGAGCCTGACCAAGCTTTGTCAAGTAATTGGGAATTTACTCAAGCCACCCGATCTTCTCCTTCCGTTGCTTTTCCTCTTTCCTTGAGATAGGAACCTTCTTAATTTTTCTCTGCCCCATTTTAAACCTTTGTTCTCTATAAGAAACTCATGTTTCTCTCTCTCTCTCTCTCAAATTGCTAAACTTGTGAAAGCTTAACTCCCATACCACAAGCTCCTCAAGTATTATGTTTATTTGGCTATTGGTGAAAGGAACCTAAGAGTGTTTTTCTAAAGTTTCATCAAACTCTTCAAAAACTCTTTTGGGAGCCTGGTTCTCGAACTCAGGCACTGGGGAAATTTTGTTCGTTTTCTTTTTACGGCATCCTAAACCCATTCGTCAGGCTACTGGAACAAAAAGACCCCTACAAGTGCCATTATTTCCTACATGGAAAGCACCACTGGAACCGAATGCGAGCATTGTTCACTTGAGGAGCCATGTGTAATGGTTTTCCTCTTTTTTGTTTTGCCTTGAATAATCTATTTAAAAAATGAAATTGGACATGCAAGAAATATATAAATAAAAAAAGAAATTAAATTGAATAAAACGGCAATTAAATTTTTTTAGCTTGTCGCCAAGATTTTGACATCTTTGAACGTTTGTCCACGACCCTCCTGCTTCGATGGAAAAGGCCATTTGTATTTTTGCACAAATGGAATTTTTAGTAGAAAATTTTAAGGGTGTTTTCGGTGCGATAACCGCACAGAAGTCACGCAATCGCATACCGGCCGAAACCATGCGGTATATCCAAAATGAGAACCACCGCCGACCCTCACAAGACCGATTACCGGGGGTATCGGCATCGATCAGTGTCGTTGTCGGCAATCTGTTTCAGCGATGAACTGCACAATTCATCCACCACAAACAGAGAGAGAGAGAGAGAGAGGAGAGAGGAGAGAGAGAGAGAGAGAGGAGAGAGAGAGAGAAGAAGAAGAAGAAGAAGAAGAAGAAGAAGAAGAAGAAGGAGAAAGGAGAAGAAGAATTCGATGAAGAAAGAAAAAACTCAGAGAAACCAGAGAGAAGAAGAAGACGGCGATGGAGCAAAAGAGAGGGTTAGGGTGATTTAGGGTTATGTATGGTGACGGATTTGGGCCTAAAATAGTATGGATGGGGGGCACTCCAAACCTCGAACTTAACCACGATTCCTCATCTTCTTCGTCTTCTTCTTCATCAAATCCAATCCAATCGCCGTTCTCTCTCTCTTTCTCGACTCCGTCTCTGACTCTCGCTCTCTCTCTTCCATCTTCGTCTCTCTCTGCCTCCCTCTCTAGACTCTGCCTGTGTCTCGCTATCTTATTATGGGGATGGGGGTGGTCAGGTCTTGGGGGAGAAAACAAGGGGAGAGTGGGAGAGAAAAAAACAGAGGTAGAGGGTTGATGTGGGTTGCGGGTGGGAAGTTGCAAAGGAAGTTTCAATTTTTTTTTTACAAATTTATAAATAAACCCAATCCTAGACATGTATTTATAAAAAAACCCAAGTACTATTTAAACATAGAAACACACCCAAAATCAACCCCAAAGTCAACTTTTTGGGTGTGTTTATAAATGGGTTTTGAGTGTGTGTAATGATGGGTTTTGGGTGTGTTTATAAAGTGTTTTGGGTGTTGGATTTTTTTATAATTTCAACCTCCATTTTGGGTGTTTTAGTGAAACTCCCTTTTTGTTTTCATTTTTCATATACTCGGTCGGTTGCGGTAGCCGACAGAATTGATCTCGGGATACCGCAACTGTGACCGGCACTGATCAGTCCGGTTGGTCAACCACAACCGCGTTGACTTTTTGGTCAACTTCGGTTTACCGACTGCAAAAGTCGGACGGTAACCAACGGTTTGCGGTACTTTCGATCCAACCACACAGCCCTTGAAAATTTGGTGTAGAAAGTGAAAAATATTGGAAAGAGATGAATTTGGTATGAAGATTTTGATGTGTTGAAAGTAAAATAATTTTTGTAGAAAGAAAAAAAAAAAATATTTCATTTCTTTCCCCCATTTATTTTTTTTTTTTTTTTTTTTTTTTTTTTATTTTTTATTTTATCAAAGGCTCTATGATAAGCCACGAGGCTTGTAGCCGTTGGTTTCTTTGGGCTAGTGGGTCAGTGCTGACATCAGCAGCCAACAGCTCAGTCAATTTTTACCCGTGGCCTTGCCCGGGCTGGACCTTGCGCACTGGAGGGAGAGTTTGTGGCCCGGGGCTCCCATTTGCCCGGGTTTGGGCTTGCGCAGGAGGTGGCCTTAGTGGCATTGGAAGTGGCCGTTGAAACTTGACACACCAAATTAAGCCGTTCGTAAGATATGGGTTAAACTTAAAGTTCAACTTAAACTTGCTCTACAACCGACTTATGCGCTATTCAATTCAACGGCGAAGAGCAGTTCCCGCACGAATGGGAATAATTTAGCCACAAAAAGCAGACAAGGACTTTTCGTGATTCCAACTTCTGAGGAAAGACCACATTTTCTCAGAGGTTGGAAGATCTCTTTGCCCAAAAAAAACTTCTGAGGAAATACCACATTTTCTCTCCCCCTCTTCCCTCTGTCGTTATGCTTTTTGATGCAACAGAAAGACCTAGCAAAACCCTTCAACTCAACGGCCCTTCCTGCACAGATGAGAGATGAAGAAGCCTCGGAATGGCTCCTTATATATCAAAAGCCAAAGCAAAGACACCAATGAGACCTTTAATTTTCAGAAACACAATGAAAGCTGCAATTTTCAGAAAAACAATGACAGCTGCAAGAACAAAAACAAGAAGAACAATTACAGCACCAATAAGAGCAAGAGCTTCTATGAATTATCTGTGTCTTTGATCTTCTCACTTTGGTGCCTTGTCTTCCTGTTCTACTCTAAACTTGGTCTTGGCCATGGGAATGGAGGTATCATCTTTTCCATTTATGATTTATGTTCCATTTTTCTTTGCTTTGGCTTTTCTCTATTTCTTATTCTGATTTTTTATTTATTTGGTTTTTGGATTTGGATTCTTAGTAAATTTTGTATCTTGTTTTTGTGGTTTTGGCTCTACTTTCTCCCACTTTCATCTAATTTCTTAACACCCAATTTTCATTTTTGCATTTCTACTAGCAAACCCATTTCCTCAATCTGCATTTTGTATCAATATTTCACAAATAAGTTGAAGCGTAGAAAGAAAGCTGAAGCCTGTAACGTTCCCCTAATAAGTTTCTTAGAGAATAACTATCCAATTAGTGGCTTTAGACTTTTCTATCATAGCATAGTCAAGTTACATGTGAATGAATTGAAGAGGTGAATTTTCTCTTTGGGTATGATAGTGTTAGAAGATTCTAATTTCTTTTTTGTTTCAACAATTTTCTGTAGCATGAAGAGGCCTTCGTTTCGTATTCAGTATTTCATTTTTTTAGTGGTTTTGGTTTTTTCTTAAAAATGTTAAAATCTTTAGGGTTTTCTGGCTTTTTCTTTTAGATATATTGATTTTTTCGTATGCGACATCTCTGCCATGGTTTGTCAATTGCTTCCTTAGTTGATATGTACTGTTGGGAAAATCTCTTCTACTGGTCCCCTTACATTCTTGGTGATGAATGAAAATGTGTCTGAGTTATCAAATCTTATCTTCTAGCTGGAATTTAGAGAGCTTTCTTATGGAATCACCATTCTTCTATTTCCAGATTCATGATTTTAGGATAAGCTATTTAGGTGGCATTTTAACTTTTATCCTTGTCTATAAATTTGATGCATAATTTGTTTAACTTGAGCCTATATCATCTTCAGGGAATTCAGCTCCTGATAACAGAACTACACATTGTCCTAGTGTTCACAATGGTGAGCATGGTGATCATGCATGCTCATTTGTAGAAAACGGAAACAGAAGGCAGACTAATGGAATGCTATTAGATTTTGGTTCGTCTAAAAGCCGTAATGATTCTGATGTATCTCACAACTATGCAATTTCCAAGTACTCACTTCCAGAGACAAATAGGTTAGAAAAATTAGTTTGGAGTGTTTTAGGTTATGGTGATTTGGTTTGTGAAGTACATCAAGCACAAGAAGAGCAGAACACAAGTCATTCAGGGCAATATCTGAATGGTAGAACTTCTCATTCCACCTATCTCAATTTTGATGAATTTCGAAACATAACAAAGCAAGAAAAAGGTCAGGATGTGCCTAGTCAGCTCGTTAACATTCCCCATGGGCTTGAACCTGATGGAACGGAGTACAACTATGCCTCTGCGTCCAAGGGTGCAAAAGTGGTGGCTCACAATAAGGAAGCAAAAGGAGCAAGCAACATATTGGGCAAGGATCACGATAAGTACCTGAGAAACCCTTGTTCTGTAGGGGGGAAGTTTGTTATCGTTGAACTTGCAGAAGAGACTCTGGTAGATGCTGTCAAAATTGCAAACTTTGAGCATTACTCTTCTAATTTCAAGGAATTTGAATTGTCAGGTAGTTTAAGCTATCCAGCAGATGCATGGTCCCCATTGGGAAACTTTGTTGCTGCTAATGTCAAGCATGCTCAAACCTTTAAGCTTCCAGAACCCAAATGGGTAAGATACTTGAAGTTGGATTTGCTAAGTCACTATGGATCAGAGTTTTACTGCACACTGAGTGTTCTAGAGGTGTATGGTATTAATGCAATTGAGCGAATGCTTGAAGATCTGATTGTGGCGTCTGCAGAATCTGCGGCCAATAAATTGGCAGAGCCTAATGCAACTGTAATATCTTCTCCAAAAGAAGAGGTTGGTTCAACTGACCGGAGGACAAGTGGTGAAGGTCAAAATGGGGTACGAACGGCTGGTGTAGGGATCGAAAACATTGAAGATACACAAAAAGTCAATTTAGACGTTACCAAAAATCCAGTAACTACAAACAAGATTCCAGCAACAACAAACAAAATTCCAGAACCTGTTATGAAGGTAAGACAGCAGCCAAATGGAAGAATTCCTGGTGATTCTGTTCTGAAGATTTTGATGCAAAAGGTGAGGTCACTTGAGCTGAACTTATCTGTGCTGGAAGAATATATCAAAGAATTAAATCGAAGACAAGGGGATATCTTGCCGGAGGTTGGTAAAGAGCTATTAAGATTATCATTGCTTCTGGACAAAACCAAAACGGAGATTAAAGATCTCATGCAATGGAAGGAAAATATGGTACTGCATGGTTTTTTCTTCTTGAATGTCTTTTCAATTTGTAATGTATATGCATATAGTTTTTGGGAAAGGAAGCTTTATCCGCCTAATCTTTTGGCATCCTTCGATTCTCCAGGAAAAAGAATTTACTGACCTCGAATCATGGAAAGCTGTTGTCTCATCTCAAGTGAATGCGTTGGCCAGGGAAAACAACATGTTAAGGTTAGAAATATGTCTCAACATATTACTACAGTTCTGCACAATTTTTTTGATGCACTAAATTTTGCTTCATATCAGTCTCTTTGACTCACTGACATGAATCTTTGTTACTGCAGATTGGATTTTGAAAATGTTAGGAAAGATCAAGCGAGCCTGGAAAGTAAAGAGCTTGCTGTTCTAGCCGTTAGTCTTTTCTTTTTGTGCTTTGCCATTCTCAAACTAGTTTCATTGCAAGTTTTGACATTTTTCAGAGCCTCCTCTCAGCCTGAGAATGCATGCAGGAAAAGTAGAGGTTGGGTTTTGATGATTGTTAGCAGCAGTATGACAATATTCATTACTTTGATCTGTAGTTAGTCTTTCTCCTCTTTCTTGTAGTGCCATAGGTTTTTGGCTCCTTAGTCATTAGATCTTCCGTATAAAAAGAAGAGAACGGTGTTGTAGAAAGAAAAAGAAAAAAAAAAGGTTGGTTGTCTTTTTATTTCCATTTTCTTTTTTTCTGAGCTACATCATTACAAACAATAAGAAAATAATCAGCAATCTTAGGCTCCTTGCAGCCGAATTTGCAAAATTTGATGCCTCAAGGCCCAACTTGTCTTCGTTGACTTTCTAGGCCAGCGGTCTATATAAGGTCCCATTGGTCCAACGGTCCATGATCCGGTGTCGTTATCGAACCTTTTTCTATTATTCTTTTATTCTGTTCTGTACGATGAAACTTCTTAACTCGACCAAAATGACGAAAAGTCTAAAATGCACTGCACAGTCTGCACTGAAATGATGTTAAACTTGTATAATGAGCTATTTCCTTCACTTAACTCCATTTTATTTAGCAGATGAGAGTTAGGGCAGTGTGTCATTCCTCTTACACTTGAGTCAATCCTCTTTATCATAAGTTAGAATAATGAGGCCTGATTCATTGGAAAAAGAGCATTGATTTATAGATCAATGGTCTTAGATATTGTCATAGTACTCCGAGTGAGAAAACCCCACTCCCCTTTTGTAACTTTGACAAATAGTAAGTTAGACTAACGCTTATATATATAAAAGAATCCATTTAATTTGTAAATAGTTAACCATTTATTAAACCATACTCTATGAAGGCGAAGCACCCTCCAATTCACTCCATTGACTTGGCAAAATTGAGTACCCAATTTCCATTCAAGACTATTCACTCTAGTGACAACATTTTATATGGAAACGAATGATAATCTTAAAAAAAATACATTAATTAAAATTTGAATGACAAAAATTCATTTAATAGTAAAGAAAGGAAGTTAAAATTACGAAAACATCCCCCAAGAAATTTATGTAAAGAATAATCGCTCATTAATTAATTAATATTATTATTTAATATTGACCCGGCACACACGGTTCGAGTTGATTCTCGGACCTCAGTCCGTTACGACTCACGAGTCACAGCTCGCAACCACCCTCCCTCTCTCTCTCTACTTATCTCCTGAGAAAGCCTGAAACTTCTGTAAAATTCAATCTCCGCATTAGGGTTTTCCAAACAACCCCACCACAGCAAACCACGCCGAGGCGAAACGGCGCAATTTCGCTCTCCGCCACACACACAATATAGCCTTATCGTGGACCCTGCCGCACCAGATATTTAGGGTTTTCATGTTCTGCAAAGCTTTCATGTCTTATGAATGGAGAGCATTGCCTTCAGTCTCTCATCTCCCCAAACCTTCTTTGTAGCCCTCGTATTCACTTTTCTCTCCTTCTTCCTCGCTCTCCTCGCCGTCCGATCACTCCCTTTCAAACCCAAATCAGGCGGCTCGGCTACCGACCTGTCGACGTCGAATAAAAACGAAAAGCTGCGAGCTTGCTGTGCTTGCAACTGTAACGACGTCGTCTCCGGCTCCGATTCGGAGCCGCTGAGGGCGCCGCACTTGAACGGCGGGATCGGTCCAGACGTGACGCAAAAGACGGCGACGGCGATTACGGAGCGGCAAACGGGCGCGTCGATGATGGAGCAGCTTGTTCCGGAGATTACGACGCACGCGCTTAGCTACTTGGACTATCCGAGCCTCTGTAGGCTTTCGATGACTAATTCGCTCATGCGAAAGGCCGCGAATGATGATAATGCGTGGAAAGCGCTTTATCATAAGGTATGTTACTGGTGAATTTATCGAACTTCTTGTATTTGAAGTATTTGTATGTTGGTCTTTGTTGAATTTTGATTTGAAGGCGAGGTGGTTTCCAATTGAAGGGATGGTGTGTTTGGTTGTAGAGAAAATGTGGGAAAATTTGGACCCTTTGTGCATGTAAGTTAATCGGAAATTGGTTGGGATTGTGTGCTTTGTTGTTGTTGTTGTTGTTTATAGTATTGGAACTTTGGGTGTGGCTTGACGTGTGGGGCGAGATTAGGATATTGCATGTTACTTTGCTACATTTGTGAGTTGGGATGTGAAACATGTGGGATGAGATTAGGCTATTGTGTGTTTACTTATGGCACATTTTGGGTGCCTGAGAGATGAAAAAGAAGAACCTTGTTTTAACTGCATTGGATTTATTCTCAAATTTTAGCTGCATGAAGTTTTCCTTCAATTAAATGATGAAATATATATCAAAAAATTTAATCTTTGTTTCTTTTATCTTGGTTTAATGTGCAGCCAATTTGTATCTGATCTTAGAACCAAAAAATTCTGTATGATCTTAGTTGCAATATTGTTACAAATATTACTTTTTTTATGTCTCTTTAATTAGAGAAGTACGTGACTGAATGTCTCTGTATTTTGCCGCCTGAAACCATAAGCAAGATTTAATTATTTGAAAGTTATTGAGAGATTTCTTGTTGGGATGTATGTTTAATTTAATTTTGAAAACAGAAATTTATCCATCTTTGAAGTCCTAATGCATGTCAGTTCTTTATTTTCACCCATCAAATGGGTCCTAAGAATATTTTGTTTTGGGTTTTTCAAATTCTCTTCTAGGACTTCACATTGGAACAGGATGGTATAACACCAGTTAATGGGTGGAAGGCTTACTATGCTGCTACAAGAGCGATTGTGAATGTCAATACTGAATTCTTTAACTTCATCAGAGAAAGGTCACTTGCAGAAATGAGTCGTTTATGGCTGAATGCAGACTATGTGAAGTGTGTTCATGCCTCAGGAGAACTCTTTTCAGGGTAAGATGCCTCTTATTTGTGTACACTGTATGGTAACTGCACTTCTGTCACGAGTGCTTTCTTCTGTTAACCTCATCCACGTGATGTGAAAATGTTGTTTTTTGTTTTTTCTTTAAATCACTGCTAGTCCTTTGATTATGCTTTTTGTATCCATTCTGACAAATGAAGCTATGCATGACTTTATGTTTTTTTCTTTTTTCAATGGGAGTGAATTTCTGTTTTTCAAACTCAGATTTAGAGAAAAAGGTCAATGAAATGGCCACTCGCAGCTCATGCGATGCCTTTCAGTTGGGATTTGGAGGGGATTGAAAGAATGAGGCTGTGCATGTTGTTCTAAAAAGCATTGGTAGTTGTTCTGTGCGTATTGTTCTAAGTCATTTTTGCTTCCTTGTCAGGTATAATGCAGTAATGCAGAGTTGGCGACTTGCGTTTGATTGGGAGCAAGGGGTCAACTTTCAGATTCGGGATGTGCGTGCTCGGGTTCTGACAGACATGGCTTGGGTTACCATGAAAACTTATTTTGAAATCGATACCAAGCCATTCATTGTGACCAACGTCTTTGAGTTTCATAATGGGCGATGGTACCTGGTGCATCATCACAGCTCTGATATGAATGGAGAGGTAGAACAGCCGATTGTGCAGGGGCAATAAGGAAAGGAAGATATGATGATACCGATATATATATACTAGTGATACAAATAAAAAAAAAAAAAAAAAAAAAAAAAAAAAAAAAAAAAAAAGAATAGTGTATCTTTTGCAGGAGCAAAGTCGCTTTAACTTTCACTATATTTTTCCTTGCAAGATGCTGTTAATTTTTCCAACCTCAGTTTTGGTTGTTTTCTATTCAAGAGGTTTATCCGTTTCTTTTCTCATCCTCTCATTGTTATTGTGATAAATGTTGATAAGTTATTTGTGAAATTAATTTCTTGGGTATAAAAATGAGTTTCGAGAATACTTGAAGGAACCAAGTTGCTGAAAGTTCAAGTATGGTCTCTTGAAAAGAGAAGATTGAGGGGAAAAGTTTGTGCAGGAAAAAGTGGTTCAAACTGGCTAAAATTGGATTTTGAACAGAATTAGAATGAGCGGGTAGTTCGACCGTTAACGCACATTACTTGCCACTCTAGAGGCCAGAGATGTGAGTGTATAGAACTATCAAAAGTTGGTGGTGCCTCTCCGTTCTCTGAAGGTGATCATCATCTCCGTTCTCTGAAGGTGCCTCTCTATTCTCATAAAGTATCTTGAATTCAGTCATTATTCAATCTTCTATCTTGATTATATAAAAAAAAAATTGTTTAAATTTCTTTATTCTTCAATCTTTTTCATTGTTTCTGTTCTTCAATTTTTTTCTTTTCTTCAAGATGGCTAACCAAGTGTAAGCCGAACATTTGGTTCTTGGATTGAAATATGAATTCACTAGAAGCACTCTTGCGAATCAATGGGCTGGAGTAATCCATAAAGAAAATGGAACTAAGAACGACGTAATCTTTTTGAAGATTGAAGGGCAGAAGCCATTGCCGAAATCACTTCATCTATTTGTCATGAGCGGGTAGTTCGACCTTAACGCACATTACTTGCCACTTTGGAGGCCAGAGATGTGAGTATATATGCTACGATGCATTTATGTTCTCCCTTGGTTGGATATGGTGTCCAGTGTAGAAATAAGAAGGAAAGGCGATACACTATCAGATTATTGGAGGGCCGAAATCAGGTAATTCTCAACTATTATTGTTTCTTTTTTTGAAAGAAAATAGTTATCCTAGTCTATGATTTATTCTTTTTCCAGGGACTTACTCACAGTAGTGGGGTATGTTCATTCGCGGGGAGTTTATCACGGGACGTTGAATAAGGGTTCTTGCTATGTTTTTGTTGGTCCCCATATTAAAATAATTAACTTCAAGAGTAAGCTGGTTGAGATCAATCAACATGAGCGGATTAAAAAGAAAATAATTAACTTCAAGAGTAAGCTGGTTGAGATCAATCAACATGAGCGGATTAAAAAGATGAAGGACTTAAATGACATGGGATCTCTGTTCAAGTTATTAATTAGGTCGCTTGTTCCTTCTGGTTCCACATGGAAAGAAAAAGATGCATTCATCAACTGTTTTTCCAAATCAATGAATTTAACGTGAGTTTCTTTTAAATGTTTTTGTTATGTAATTGTATGTGTTTTATGTTTATATTTCCAGGAAAAAAACATAAAACACATACAATTACATAACAAAAACATTTAAAAGAAACTCACGTTAAATTCATTGATTTGGAAAAACAGTTGATGAATGCATCTTTTTCTTTCCATGTGGAACCAGAAGGAACAAGCGACCTAATTAATAACTTGAACAGAGATCCCATGTCATTTAAGTCCTTCATCTTTTTAATCCGCTCATGTTGATTGATCTCAACCAGCTTACTCTTGAAGTTAATTATTTTAATATGGGGACCAACAAAAACGTAGCAAGAACCCTTATTCAACGTCCCGTGATAAACTCCCCGCGAATGAACATACCCCACTACTGTGAGTAAGTCCCTGGAAAAAGAATAAATCATAGACTAGGATAACTATTTTCTTTCAAAAAAAGAAACAATAATAGTTGAGAATTACCTGATTTCGGCCCTCCAATAATCTGATAGTGTATCGTCTTTCCTTCTTATTTCTACCTGGACACCATATCCAACCAAGGGAGAACATAAATGCATCGTAGCATATATACTCACATCTCTGGCCTCCAGAGTGGCAAGTAATGTGCGTTAAGGTCGAACTACCCGCTCATGACAAATAGATGAAGTGATTTCAGCAATGGCTTCTGCCCTTCAATCTTCAAAAAGATTACGTCGTTCTTAGTTCCATTTTCTTTATGGATTACTCCAGCCCATTGATTCGCAAGAGTGCTTCTAGTGAATTCATATTTCAATCCAAGAACCAAATGTTCGGCTTACACTTGGTTAGCCATCTTGAAGAAAAGAAAAAAATTGAAGAACAGAAACAGTGAAAAAGATTGAAGAATAAAGAAATTTAAACAATCTTTTTTTTTTATAATCAAGATAGAAGATTGAATTCAAGATACTTTCTGAGAATGGAGAGGCACCACCAACTTCTGATAGTTCTATACACTAAACAAAGAGTAATGTTATACTTACCACATGATGTGGCATGTTCATGTCATATCAATTAAATGAATGAAGTGTATTTTAATAAATAAAATTAGAAAAAACAGAAACTAGTATTTTACATGATGTGGTATGTACACATCAGCCACCACATCATGTGGTATAAAAAATGTGATAAGACTAGTATTATTCCTAAACAAATATAGCATTTGAGTAATGTTACACTTGCTACATTTCTATACCACATAATGTGTCATGTCAATTAAATCAACGAAGTGTATTTTAATTAAGACAATTAGAAAAATAAATACAAATTTATAAATAAACACAATCCTAGACATGTATTTATAAAAAAACTCAAGCACTATTTAAACATAGAAACACACCCAAAATCAACCCCAAAGTCAACTTTTTGGGTGTGTTTATAAATGGGTTTTGAGTGTATGTAATGATGGGTTTTGGGTGTGTTTATATGTTTAAATAGTGCTTGGGTTTTTTTATAATTTCAACCCCATTTTTGGTGTTTTAGTGAAACTCCCAAAAATAAATCATAAAAGAAAAGAAAATATTAAATAATTTTAATTGATGTGGCTATCCACCTCAACTGTCACATAAGATGGTATAGGGATGTAGTATACAAATGTGGCAAGTGTAGCATTATTCTTAAACTTTTTAAAAGGGATAAGATTTATATCGTAGATTAGGACTTTGTTTAACGGATTGTGAGAACACGTGGCAGCTTTCGTTATTTTAGGTTTAAAACCATTGAGGTGAGATGAATAAGTATCTGAGGTTCCATGGTCTAGCGGTTAGGACATTGGACTCTGAATCCAGTAACCCGAGTTCAAGTCTCGGTGGAACCTTCTCTTTTTAATTTTTAGGCTGTTTTTTTTTTATGCATCAGGCTTGAAAGTTATATAAGGTACCCTTTCAAAAACAAGAAAAAGAAAACATAAATGGAGAAATAATGAAGTACACATAAGAAACAAAAACATATATTTTTCTCAATTTATTACTTGATTGATGTATGAGCCTGAGCCTCACAAATTAAAACAAAGAGAGGGAAGTTAGGTGGCTTATTATCCAGTCCTCTCATTCTACTGGGGAAAGAGTGGCATACAACAAACACAGACAGACAAAGAGAGAGAGAATGGGAATAGCCCTTCTCTCGGTGCAAGCACCTCGTCCCATCTCTCTCTCTCAGTTTCCTTCCACCAACCCAAAGACTTGGTTGCATGGCTCAGCAACTCTCAAAACCAACCCTTCAAAGTCTGCCATTCTTCTCTGTGCAGCTTCAGTTGTAGAAGGCCAAGGCCCTGCTTCTCCTCCACCTGATGATTCACTTGCTGCCCAATCAGAATCTGCCACCGAACCCACCAAAGAGCTTCCCCTGAGGTACACGTTACACCAAATGATTCACCTTATTTATCATACACCTACCAGCTTGAACTTGGATTCACTGTCAATTATATCTTTTGTAAAATGCTTTTTCTTTCCCCTGTTGCCCTTTATTTATTTTAAAATTGATATCATCCGAGTCAAATTCAGGTTTTCTATGCAAATTATCACATAAATCCATTCACTAGTCAAAGTTGTGGACTTTGGTATGCAGGTGTGTGTGTGAGATATAGATTGGATTTTTGGATTTTTTGTTTCTTTCCAAATTTTGAATCTTTTGGGCCTTACCTCTATGATTGTGAATTTTGATGATTAATCATGTAAAAAAGAACAAATCATGATATGTGGTTTTTGCTTGGAACCAACTTTGATGCAGTGGTTGTAAGTCCTGTGGGAGAGAGGAAGTGGAGGAGGGATGCAATGGAGAGGGAAGGATTCAAGGTGGAATTGCAACAATTCCGGGCTTTGGTTGGTGGCCAATAAAGGCATACAGGCCCTGTCCTGGATTTTTGGCATCAGGCGGCCGGTATAGGCGGCAAGGACAAAGCTTGGATGAGGTTGCCTTTGGAAGGGGAGGAAGAGGAGACTAGCACCAAGGCAAGCTTTGATTTCCCTGTAAAACGCAGGGTTTGGATTTTCTTCTGTTTCTTTTCATTTTTTTCCTGTTTTTCTTTCTCTTTAACAAAAACAGTAAGAAAAGATGAGAAAAACAAATAAAAGTTTGCTACAATGTTTCACAACTCTCACTACAACCTAAATAAGAAAAACCAAAATTAAACGGTACGAAAAGATGAGAGCCAGAGGTTGATATGAGTGAATTACCAAATGTATCTAGGTTCTTCCATCATGGCATCACTAGAATGTAGTTGGATTAAAACAGTTCATTCATTTCTTATGTAATCAATGGTTATTACTTATCAAATTTTATTTCTTCTGCCATACATGAACTCTGATCTTATACTTGGTTAAATTCTTGTGCCAGATATACTGACTCTCTCAAATTCTTGGTTAGTGCAGCAAAGAATAAGCGAGGTCCAAGGATACTGAAGAGATAACTGCACGAGAGTGGAGCTTTGTCGGCATGTAGTTTTACGAAAAGTGTGGAGCCAGTGCCCAAATTGTAGAGTTGTACGTGAAACCATCTGGTATATTTACCACATTGAATTGAAAAGAAGCTAAAGATAGATGATGTGTGTTATATTTTCCTATGCAGAAAACCATCAAAACTCCCACCACTACAAAGCACTTAACCTCAAGCTAGAGGCAAGGTGTTCAAAGAGTTCAACACAAACTTTATACGACAACCTGACGAAAACTGACGAGGGAAAAAAATGTAGACATATAAACACAATGTCTGGATAATTTAAACCCTGAACTTACTAGATGCATATAAATTGAATAGACTAAGGCACTTTTATTTAAAGGTGTTCCATAGCATGATCTAGACCTGTAAGATGATCCCTTGGATTATGTTCGTGGAGCCAAAGCCCTCACTGATAGGAAAGAGCACTCACTTGAAGCCACATACTTGACTGCCAATCTCTTAACCAAATTATATTTCAGCTATCTTGCACAATTGACAACACTTGAGTTCTTTTGATCTTAATCTTAAGATGGGATTCAAACAATCTAAGACAGAACTAAAATGCTTCCTAAGGGTGTGTGTCGGGGAAGGAAGAAAGAGAAAGATAAAGTGGGGGTGGGTGTCTATTTCAGTCCTACATCGACTTCACACATCAACACAATTGTTTTTTCCTTCAGAAATAGCTTTACTTTACCCCATGCTTGTTGCTCATAAGCTTGGAAGGGTCAGCATGCATTTGTGTATGGGCTTTGCCGTTTAAAATTCTGGCTGGGTTTGCCGAAAGCCCCATTGGGATTTTAACTGAATTTTTACTTGAGATTTGTGATCTCAAAATATTATATTGTTCTGAAAATTTATTATTATTTTCGGATTGGAATTGTGTCTTAATAAAGTAAATTTAAATTTTATCCACACAAAAAATTTCACTTTTGGAAAAACCAAAGTTTTTTCAGAAAAGACGGAAAAACCTCTTAACTTTCAAACAAAGCCATGCAAATGTAAATTATTCCTTATTAATACCGACATGGCCATATAGGCATGTTCTATTCGAACAGTTCAAGACAATGTGCGTAGTGGAGATTGCGTATATGAATGGGCTTAACGAATTTGTTGTAATGAAAAACACGCAATTCTTAGGACACTGTGATTTCCATCACTTGGTGGAAACATTGCAATTACAAAAGGTATATTAGCTCAAGTTAAGTCACAATTGAAAGTGAAGGTTTCGTATAATATTTCATGCTAAAATTGGTTTTTAAATAAATATTAGTTGATCTTCTTCCCTTAGTGGAATGGAAGTATTGGCCACTCACTAGAAGCTCTTGGTCAGGCATTGGCAATGAGGTCTTGCCCTGTTGGAAAATGCCATGCCTTGGAAAATCAGTGAGAATTTTAGAAGCTACTTTAGGGCCCTAGAATTGTAAGACTACCCCAAAATCTGTAAGAACCCTGATGGAGTTGGGGCACTCCCAGCGGTTCCTTTGAGGAATCTTTTGGCAAAAATGCATTTAACTTGCTCACTTATGGAAACTGACAACAAATGTATAAATTATAAATAGTAACTAATTTGGCCAAAGCCATGATAATAATATGTTGAATGTATTATCGTGAGGGATTAAGCTCTTAAGATGCTTTAAACCTTTACCAATCAAATAGTGAAGCGTGGCTCCATTACTGTGTACCAGTCCGCATGGAATAAAACCCGCTCTTTGACAGCACCCCCAAATGTACAGAAACACGGAGCTTCACAGTGGCTCAGAGCTTCCCCAATTAAGCAAAGAAAAAAGTTCATAGAATCTCTCTGTGCAAGAACTTCAGAAGACAAAAAAAATGGATGCCGAAACCGAACAAATGATCGAAACAACGGTGCGTGGAATCCTGGAAAAATCGAACATGGACGAGATGACAGAGTTCAAGATTCGAAAGCAGGCCTCTGAAGTGCTCGACCTCGACCTCTCTAAACCCCCCTACAAGGCACTCGTCAAACGGGTCGTCCAGTCCTTCCTCGAAGAGCAAAATCAAAAGGAACAACAACAACGAGAAGCAGAAGAAGATGAAAACCCGAAACTTGGTGATGCCCAGGACCAGGAGTATGATGATAATGGCGATCTCGTCATTTGCAGGGTCAGAGTTCCTCTTCACTCTGTTTGTTTCCCGAGAAAAAGAAAAAAAAACCCATGAGATGAAAAATGAGTGTTTTTCTTGTTTTGGGTTCACCTTAATTTTGTACTTACTTGTTGGGTCATTTTGGGATTTGGGGTTTGGTTGTGATGCAGCTTTCATCGAAGAGGAAGGTGACACTTCAAGAATTCAGAGGGAAATCATTGGTGTCTATAAGGGAGTTTTATAGTAAAGATGGCAAAGAGCTTCCTACTACCAAAGGTAATCTATTTATATCCTATTTGAACACCTCCCTAGTCCTATGGCTTGTTAATTTATCAATTTATGCATGTACATAAGGCATTGATTTAAGCTTTCAGCTTCAATTACTTACATTAGATTTGTCTGTGACAGTTTGCTTACCTATTATTAACAGTTTTTTCTGGTATGTGAGAGTTTGTGATCAAATATATGTATGCATGTATGTCAGGCAATGATCTAATTTAGCTACAACTTCTGATTATAGAGCTCAATTACTATGCATTTGTCTTGATTTGGAAATGGTTGATGCCATCACTGTCATATAATATTTTAAGTGCCATGTTGGGTGTCCTAAGCTTTTGTTCAATTTTTACATTACTTGCTTTTCCCTGGGCTGTAGTTTGCACAATCTGACTGCCTTATCATGATTGTGTTCATTCAAAACATCTGAGTTATGGGTTAGCTTGTCATCTTGGCGTCGTAAACCACCAACGCCGATTGCTCAACTTTGTTTTCTGCATTGTTGTTTACATTCAGTGCTGCTAACTCAGAATTGTAGTTCTTTTTCCTTTTCTCCCTAGCTTACCTTTTATAATCCCAAGAGGCCCTTTTACCAAAATTGAGCTAGAGATTCCTTGTTTCTAGCTTTTGTATACTTGGATCTTTCGGATGCATGTACCGATGACTGTCTTATGCTTATTTATGGTTGTATTTGCTTAAATCTTTGTCCTACAGGAATAAGTTTGACAGAGGAGCAATGGGCAGTCTTCAAGAAGAATGTACCTGCTATAGAGAACGCCATCAGTAAGATGGAGTCAAGGATCTGAAAATTTCGGAATGTCTTATCCTTTTCAACCTCCATTACCTTGTGGATTGTACTGGCTTCCGCTTTAGGGCTTCATATTGGTCTCATGATGGCAGAATATTTTCCTTGGAACTTGAAAACTGCTGTGATGTTTATTAGCCCCTAATGTTAGAAGTCAACTTGTTGTGTTATCTGTTACAAGTTAACACGTTCATACGAGATGTTGTCATATTCAGTTTTTAGAAGGAAACAAATAAAATAGAAATGGATGATCCTTACCATAATCCTTCATCTTTGAAGAGAGATTCTTGTTTGTGTTTACCGCACCGTCGGGTTATGGATTGTACAATACAAACTCCTTTTTATCTTAGTATTCCAGTGAAGAAATAATTATCAGACTAATTTTTAACTGTCGTTCTTCAGTTAAATTACCTTCCAAGTGAAATTTAACTTGTTTGAGATTTGTTTTGCCCATTTCAGGTCCAAAAACAAAGAAAAAAAACTGAGAAAACACACAATACTCATTGAATTTTTCATAAATCCCTTGCCTTCATATGTACAAAATACTAAAACGTAGTTCACTACATGATCTAACTAAAACCTCAAACATTGGGACAGAGAGAGAAACATGATGTTTCATGTCACCACAAACCACCTAGTAAATAGTACCCTTTTTTTTTTTTAGGAAAAAAAAAAAAAAAAAAAAAAAAAAAAAAAAAAAAAAAAAAAACACCCACCATATTAAAAAGAAGATAGGCTTATATCCCATGATCAGTGGGCAACTTAAACAAGTTGGAGAACATAGGCTTCCAAGTCCAAGCCCCTCTCTTTGTCTGCCTTGGAGTGCTTGGCAAGCCTGCAGTTGCAGTTGCAGCCATCCTCATTGTCTCAATCAGAGCCTCTGTGATGCCTTGTTCAGACAAAATCTCCTCCAATTGCTTAGTGTCAATAACCAGCTTCACTCTCCAAACCCCATCGCCACCAGAAGGCAGAACCTCAAGAGCAGATGAGCCATTTGCCAAATTCTCAACAAAATCTGATCCTGCACCAAATGACTTCTTCACAGGCTCAGCTTCGGCAGCAGCCGCCTCCGGTTTCTCAATGACCCCATTCTCACAAACCAACTGATCTTCTTCCCTCAGTGGAAGAAGGAAGTATTGGCCACTCACTAGAAGCGCTTGCTCAGGCAATGGCAATGAGGCCTTGCCCTGTTGGAAAATGCCATGCCCTGGAAAATCAGTGAGGATTTCAGAAGCTAGTTTAGGGCCCTTGAATTGTAAGACTACTCCAGAATCCGTAAGAACCCTGATAGATTTAGGACACTCCCCAGAGGTTCCCTTGAGAGAAGAGCAATTCCCCATTGTGAAAATTTCCTACCTTCGGCCACAATTTCAGAGCCATATGTAAGGTTTTGAGGAATCTTTTGTGAAAATATCAGTGGACGGACAATGGGGTTGTGTCAGAACAGACACATTAGTCAGACACATTAGTTGTGGTTTTTCTTTCTTTCGAAATGTGTAAATGGCTGCATGTGAAACTTTTGGACCGTTGGGACAATTATTTAAGCCTAAATTTGGGCCGATCCAAAGGCAAAGGAACAGAATAAGAGGTAGATTCGTGAGTTAAAATAATAGTAGGAAACGACAGTTAGAAGAAGAAGACCAAGTTCAAATTTTGAGTGCCAGGGGATTTGTATTTGGCTGCAATGTAGGTGTTTGGTATTCCACCCTTTTGAAAATAGGCATCTCTTTAGCCCTTCAATTTTGCAAATATGTTCAACGTATATCAGTATCACGGGTTGCATCCCCTCAAGCATGTGTTAGGTCAAGTATGGAGACTAATCATGCTACCCCACAACAAACGAATGGAAAAATGAAAAATTGTTAGGTGATCTCGGATAATACCATGTAACGGTGTAAGTACAAATACTATCGACTATTCTTGTACAAGTACAAAAAAAATGACAATAATATCCACATCGCGATGTATCAGTGTAGAATTTCAGCCACACTCACTCACGCAATAATTAGTCATCACACACCCATAACAAACAATCAAAATATTCTGCCAACAAGGATGAGAAATCAGCTGTTGACAAATAAATGGAAATCTCATTACGGTCAACCGCACCAAATGAATGAAAATCTTTGTGTAGATGGAACCATGGAATATGAGGCCTTATCATTTAGCCACATTCTAAACAAAGCCGAAACATGATTTTGGTTTTCAAAGATTTAAGACTCCTATTTGCCTAGTTAATGATAAGAATGGCTTTGCTAAGTAGCTAGGCCAAGGATAAAAGAAACAGGGCTCATCGAACTCGTCTATTTATTTTTTTAAATACAGGCAAAATTGCATTTTTGGTTCCCATAATTTGATTCATTTTTCATTTTGTCTCCGTCGTTTCAATTTTGTCAATTTTAATTTATGTACGTAAAAATCAAGTCCTACAAGTATTACAAACTTTAAGAGACGAATTGCCCACGCTTTGGGTTGAATTTAAATTTGTGGTATATGGAAGGTATAATCCGAAGATTTTCATCACAAACCTCACATTCCCAGCCACTAATACTTCTAAGATAACATGGCCTAATAAATCCAATAAACCAAACTTCAAAACATATTCCCACGTGGAGCCAATCCACAGGCTCACCTTGTTTATCCAAACACCACATATATCACCTCAAGGCCTTAGCACCAAATCCACCAAAATTCAAAGCCACACAAAATTCCCTCCACACGTATAAACAACATTTGAGCTCTCTTTTCTTCTCATAAAAACCAACACACATAAAACACACTCTAGCTTAGCTCACACACATTTTCTACGGTCCAGATTAAACCAAACTCATTTCCAAAAATGGGCTGCGCTTCCTCGAAAAGAGTGGAGGCTGCCGTGGACTACAAGCCGGCGCCGGCGAGCTACGCGGTCTTCGACATCAACGCCATCCAAGAGCCGTGGCTCGTATTCGACAATACGACGCTGCAGGAGCAGCAGCAGAGCCACGAAAAGCCCGCGCATGTGCCGGCCCAAATCCTCGACAAGCTCAAATCGTTAGAAACCGAAGCGGAAGCAGCCCCTCACACGTGGGACGAGGTCAGCAAGGCCCTAGAGAACCTAAAGCCCAAGACCGACCCGAAGTGCAAACCAGAGCCAAGCCCAACTCCTTCCCCGGCCCAGAACGAACAGACCAGTAGTAGGAAGCCCCGTAAGAGCCTGTCCTTCCACACGCTCGACGAGCTCGACAAGAAGCTCGCTCCGAAACCTGCCGACATGAGAAAGAGCGAGTCGATGCGGTCCCTGTGTAAGCTAAACACCGAGTCGACCCGGTCCGAGTCACGAGTTGACTCGGAGGCGACTCAGTCGACTCAGTCGGCGGCGGGTTACATCAAGCCGGTGAAGGAGAACATATTCATAATGAGGGACAGGATGGAGAGAGAGAAGGAAGGCAAGCTGGCGGTCTACGATAGGCTGATGAAGAGCAAGCGGGACCCACTGAGCGAGTACCCGGAGAGGTGCCCGCCCGGCGGCGCCGACTCGGTGGTGGTCTACACGACGTCGTTGCGGGGGGTGCGGCGGACGTTCGAGGACTGCCAGAAGGTGAAGGGGGTGCTGGAGGGCCATCGGGTGGTGTACGACGAGCGCGACGTGGCGCTGCACGGCGAGTTTCTGGGTGAGCTGAGGGGATTGCTGGGTGAGGAGAGCAATAACTCCGACGGCGGCGTGGGTGTGCCGAGGGTTTTCGTGAAGGGGAGGTATCTGGGTGGGGCGGAGGAGTTGGTGGAGCTGAACGAGTCCGGGGTGTTTGGGAGAATGGTGAAGTTGGCAGGCGTGGAGAGAGGGGTGGGGTGGGGAGCGTGCGAGGGGTGCGGTGGGGCCCGGTTCGTGCCGTGCATGGAGTGTGGCGGGAGTTGTAAGGTGGTGGTTGGGGATAAGAGGGAGAGGTGCCCCAAGTGTAATGAGAATGGGCTGGTACAGTGTGTGGCTTGCTGGTCTTTAACGTAATTTCAACGGAATAGGGTATTAGTTTCTCTTTTTATTATCTTTGATTTCAATGTTGTGTATAAGTTTTTGATTGGTGTTTAAGAAAATATACACTATCCTGATTCCTGAGTGAGATTTGTAAGCTCTGTTAAAACAGAGTGTGATTTGTAAAGAACTGTAAAATGTATATAGAATATTAGAATGTACAATTTAGTGCCAAAAAGTATGAATAAATAAAAAAAATATCAGAGGGCCCAACCGGGTTCGAACCGGTGACCTCTTGATCTGCAGTCAAATGCTCTACCACTGAGCTATGGACCCTTATTGATGTAAACGTCCAAACTTATATTATTTAACTAAACACAAACTGACCTATAGATAAAAAAAACTCATATAATAGATAAACGGTGACGTGTATTACGGATGAATGATTCGTGTGAAACAATCAACATTCTGGAGGTTCAAGCAGGCCCCCCATTTTGGACGGTGCTAATTAAATCTTGCTTAGACTAAGTCAAGTTTTCGAGTCAATATTTTTGGTTTTCCAGAAGAGAGAGAGAGAGAGAGAGAGAGCCAGTCAATATTTCAATTCAAGGATGCCCAAATTTTACTTGGTTTATCATATTTGGAATTTGCAGTTGCTATCATAGAATGTAATTATTATTGATTAAAAACAGGAAATAATGAAAAATAAAGGCTGACGTCTGGAAACAGATAGATAGGGCAAGAAAACCAACCTTTCTTCTGCTGCAGATGGCCTAACTAGAAACTGCCTCCTACATGTTCATTAAAGATTCTTCTTAACGTCCTTCTCTAAGCAACTCATTAATTGGGTTATCAATTTCTTCTTCCCCACTTTGCTAAATTGCTATACCTATAAGCCAACCCATCAACCATACCTGCCTTTTCAATTTGTTGTTTATTGCCTATTTGCTCATCAACATGGACCAAACTTTATGCCTTCTCCAAGGACACCAGTCCTCTGTGTTTATCAGATAACAAGGCTGAAATTTACTCCTACAAATTTGTGGATTTGGATCATTGATTAAAAAGTTTTGCCGTTACTCGAGTCGAGTGTGGATTACGTAAACTGATTCGTTTATTTAAATTAGTCGTGAACATGAATGTCTACTGTTCATTTAAATTAATCGTACACATCTTGAACATGAATGTGTGATTCAAATTGACAGCTCATTGATTAAGTTAAGTGAAATGAACGATTGATTAGGTTAACCATTACTGGATTTACGGACGAGCATCATAAACTTGTATCTAAGAACTTAAGTCGACTCATAACATTACTTTCCATAATGAACTAATTAGTATTAAGGATATATCATATATGGTACCAAAAGGACTAATATTGGAGTAAACCCTTCATAAAAATCTTAAGAAAAAACAGGTTTAATCTCTTGAAAACTCGCTTTCGAGTCTTCATACACATTACACAAATGAAGTAACACAAATTTATTTTCGATCACACGCGTTACCAAGCATCCACCATGTGTTTTTATAACCGTATACAACTCATAATAAATATCCCCTTCCTCATCGTCTGTACTTGCTTACACATTCCAAAAGAAAGAACAAAGAGGAAAAAGAATATATAATTCTCAGCCCCTTGCAAGAAAAACCATTATACATTATATATATATATATATATATCGTACATATTGTATATCCACCCGTCTTCAGATTCTCCTCAAACTCTCTCAACTTCCCAACCAACGTTTATAATATATATTTGATGATGCCAAGCAACCCTATCCACTATTCTCTTTCCTCTCACTAACTTGTATGTTGTATTATCTGTACGACTCTACACTTCTGTTCTTGTTCAAGGGTTCTGGTCTGCAAATATATCCAACAGAGACAGCGCCTGCAAAATTTTATAAAAAAATGCATTAGAAATTGAGAACAAAATACAAAATCTCTGGCTAGTGAACATGTGAGCTTTGGTTGTGTGGCGTTTACCTCTGGTACACTAAGTTCAAGCCTGAATTTAGGGCCATCGTAGTGGTGAAGAATTGGCCTGAATGAGTCTTCCTCAAGTGGTTCACAAACTTTCCTGGTAAAAACTCGAACCTGCGGTTCATGAGGATAAATGGTGAGCAAATGAAACACAGTAAAATGGTAAATTTGAGAGCACTCAATTTGCTCATCTCAAATTCTTTTGAAATCGATCACAAACCTGAGCTGGGAAACGTGACTCGCCAGGGCACTTCTTGTCCTCCCAGGCCGTTGGATCAAAGTTGGTGCCTCCAAAACTTGCAGCCTAAAACCCACAAGAAAGGTCGTTGTTAGCTAGCAATTGGTGCACAAGCACAAAACGTAAATAAACATCTAGAAGTTTGGCCAAAACAAAAGTTGAACAAGCAAAACACATTCCTACTTCTTCAACAAAACACTAAAATATTAGGTGAAAAGTCTAAAGTCGGCAAATGGATGAAATTTAAATATTTCAAAGAGAAGTGTCGGCAGGAGAGAAGCTACAAACCTCAAAAATTCCATGGAGTTGGTGGGTGGAGTAGTTGTAGAGGAAAAGGGGCAACCCCGGAGTTATCGCCCTCACTGAATCACGATAACGTGGAGGCAAACCTGCAAAAGAATTATGCAGAAAAACAAAATTAACACAAATTCTTCAAATCAATTCCTTTTTTTAAAGCAAACCCAATTGAAAAACAAAATTATGGAAATAAAAATCAAAAGGGACATACCAAAAAGCTGCCTCTTGAGATTTTCTTGCATGGTATCATTGTTGCAGACAAAGATATATCCACCAATGGTTTCATTTCTAGGCAGAGACTCAGCTGGTGGCAGAGTCTTGAACCTTTTGTCCACAGCGCCCTTGCTGTCCTTGTTGTTGTCATCTCCACCAGCTTTCTTCTTGCTAGAATTGTTGTTGTTCTTCTTCCCAACTTTGCCGCCATGAACAAGATCTTCCTCATGAGCCTTGTTCTTGTAGGGCTTCAAATTGACCATGTTGTTGTTGTTGTTGTTGTTGTTGTAAATTGCAGGCTTCGAGTAAATCCCCTTGTTGAAGCCGCCATTGAGCTGCGAGCCGCCGCCAAGAACCGTCCCAGCAGCAGCAGAAGCACCAAGCTTCCAGCCCTCGTTAAAAGCGTTAAATTCTGAAGCTTTTGGCTTGAAATTGTTCCATCTGTCGTTGAAGCCATTGTTGAGCTCTGAAGCTTTTGGCTTGAAGCTGTTCCAGCCATCGTTGGAGCCGTTGGAGTCAGAGGACCCTTTTGGCTTCAGATTGTCCACCCAAGAGTCGTTGAAACCATTGAAATCAGACCCTTTTGGGGTTAAATTGATCAGAGGACTGACATCGCCGCCTACCTTTATATCGAAATTCCTCCTTTCATCAGGCCTCTTGCTGTACGAATTGCTCCAAATCGAATCATTAACTGTGAGATTTGCAAAGTTGGTGCCTTGAACACGAAGTTGATCGCTGAATTGCCAAAACGACTGGTTGTTGTTGTTGTTCTCCATTTTGTATCAAAATCCGATGAAGAAACTACAAAACTCGATCTGGGTTGTTGAAAGATTCGAACTTTATGCAGTGTGTGTGAAGATTAAGAGGATCACAGAACAGAGGAGAGAGAGAGAAGAGGAAGAGGAGGGGAGGTGAGAAAATATGATAGAGGAAGTGGTTGTGGTGTGGAAAGTTAAATAAAGGGAACAACTTTTACTATTGAGATCATGAGGAAGGAAATTTCTAGGAAGGGGACAAATGGGGTTTAAACATTGCGTGTTGATTTGTCAAAGGAAGAAAGATCCAAAGATTTTCTTACTTTTTTGGAGGGAAATAAAGCCCAATAAAGAACAGAATAAGCTTCTGTGATATTAAGTTGGAGCTAAATAGATGGGTGATGAAAGCAAAAACGCGTTAAGACGTGGGGAGAGAGAGAGAGAGAGAGGGTGAGGTGGCAGATGAAGAGGATGAGAGAGAGTAAGAGAGAGAGTGATTGAGTAGAGGGGGCGTTTTGATTTGGTACCATTTCTAGAAGGTGTAGGAGGTTCGGTGGAGTTTGAGAGTTCACACTTGACGGCGAAGTTTATTTGCTTCGAGCTAAGACTTTAATAAAAAAAAAAAAAAAAAAAAAAAAAAAAGGACAAGACGCGTAGAACTATGAGTATGTATGTGACTCGGCCATGGGGCTTACACGTCTCAATCAATCTTCTAGAGTATTCGGAGAAAAATTTGGTATTTTACTTTTTTGATCGTGTCATAGTGTTATTGAATAGATATAGTAAAACAATATTATTTTCATTTCATGCTATTGTTTCTTATAGTATTTGACGCACTACCAAATACTTGTTGTGTATACTTATTTGGTCCTATAGGAAATGGATTTTGTGTATTATCATGTAGTTCTTTAATTGCTATAAGATAAGAAGCATGCTAAGCCATTATGTTATTTAGAAAGCAAAACAAAGAAGAAGAAAAAAAGGGTTAAATTATGATAGAGAAATGCTAACTATTTTTCCCATTTCACTCCTTATTTTATATATTCTAGGGAAATTTTCATGAATACCATTTGAATTTTGTAAAGTGTCGAAATTTACTACTTACATCTAACTCAATTTAATTTATAACAAAAAAACTTTTTAAAATTAAAATAAAATTTTCTTGGTTTTTTTTAAAATCCAACTAATTATCTCACAACCTCCCCCACCCCCTTCTAACCCCCACTGCCAAGTAGTCCCGTCTCCCTACCCTCCCTCTTACTCCCCTCCTCCATATCTCAACCAAAGCCCAAAAAAAAACAAAGTATCTGTTTTTGAAGAATTGATTGCCAAATTAAATGAATTAGTCTGACGCCACCGTGACTGAATTAGTCTCGGGCAGTATCTCATCAATCCTGGTGCTCAACCTTTTAACAAACTCACATTCACTTGTTACCTAATGAAAAATATCCATTATACATACAGAAAATCCAATATGTCTATTTGCAATTAAAGAAATGTCAAATCAAAATTATAAAACCCTTACCCAAAACAATTTATAAAAGGTCATATGAGTCCACGGATATGGCAAATCACAAAATTGCACTCTCACCGTACATACATCTATACAAGGATTACCACACACACTCAGGAAACACATGGCTGCACGGGAGAGAGAGAGAGAGAGAGAGAGAGAGGCTGCCCCGCAATAGGGGTTTAAATTTATTAGAAGGAGTGGGGGAGAGGTGGGATAATTAGGTTGTTTTTCTTCTTCTAATTTTGTTAGTTATACTGAATTGAAAAAAATTATTATTCAGCAAATAATATATGTACAATACGTGGACTTGATTTAACGGAAATTTTAACGGAATTAAGCGTAGGTGGTAAATTGTAACATTTTACATAGTTTAGATGGTTAATAGTATAAATTAATAGTGCATGTGGTAATCATGCATATGCCTAAAAGTTCAAGTGGTATTTATGCAACTTTCCCTATATTCTATTATCATTCTCATTATGCGATGTTGTTTGTAATTGAAGGTTCATAATCATCTATTTCATAAGCAACGCTTTTTGTAAATCATTTATATATAATGATAAAAAAATCAATCAAATTTAAAATTGTTTAGTCGCATAACTGTTATTCAATAAACAAATAAACCAATGTTTGAATTAAACACTGAAATAAACCAATGTTTGTATTTGTGGATTACAACACAAGAAATTAAATGGAAGAGCATTGAGACGAATGCTTGTGGGTCTTGTGGCCCAGATTAGGATCATGATTCTATCCAAAGTCAAGTAGTCAAAAGCCAAGCATGCCACAACAAACCCACAATTGCTAGCCATGGAGGCTTAAGCACCACTTGAACCAAACTTATTTTGGAAAGAAAACCAACCCACTTGTTAGATTGACAAAAAATGAAAGAAGACGAAGAAGAATATTAACTGGTCCCATTATGCAAGAAGTTTACACACAAATGAGGCAATGTTAAGCGCAACTAATTCTAATGATCCTCTTCACATGATCCTCAAAATTATACATAAACGGAATATTCTAAGCTCTTTTTTTTCCTAGTGCCAACAGAATATTCTTGCTTGATAGAAGATAAAAGAGCATTATAAAAAGAAAAAAAAGGCTTAAAACTTTAGTCGACATGATTTTTATGAAATATGCTATATTGTCAGACTGTCGATGTCTCTGCTTAGGTAGAGCACATTTGGAGAAAAACTTGTTTATAATGTTTTAAGCCTTAGCTTACAACATGACCCACCATTAAAATTGTGCATAATGAGGTGTGTTTGCTTTGATGTTGATCTTGATGATGATGATGATGGTAACAGTTCTCTGTCGACTAAATCGAGCACTTTACAAAAGATAAAAAGAGTCGGTAGAGTTGTGGGCCAGAATTGGAAACTGGGAAATTAAAAAATTAGCCAACTGCCAACTACATTTTGGCTCTCAATTTTGGTCCACGATAATGTGATCAAGGGCTTAAGGAGATTGAACGTGTTGCACACGACTGAATGGGGCGGGTCTGGATAGGTCCGGCTCGGTGAATTCAGGTCCATGAACCGAAAAAATATTAGAGCATTAATTGAGATGACAATTGGCGTCGCCCGGGTTCGAACCGGAGACCTTCAGTGTGTTAGACTGACGTGATAACCAACTACACCACGACACCGTTGGTACTAATTCTTCTAGATTTCGTATATAATCTAAACAACACTATGCTTCTATGACTTCAGCTTGGCCTGGGACAGATGGACGTTAGAATTGTTCATGAATAATTTAAGAAATCAGCAAGAAAAGAAATATTATAACTAAAACACGGATGACCAAATTTGTAATAGGAAATTGTTTACCTAAATCTGCTAGTCTCTGTAATTAGGTCAAGAAATTATGTTAGTTTTTTTTTAAAATGCGGAAGAAATTATGTTAGTTGCGAGCGTGCTAATGGATTCCAAATTTTCAATTCAATCACATTATGGAATATATTGAGTTCAAATGCTATATTCATTGTAAAATGAAAAATACAATTATTTATCAACTAGCTCTTTGTTTAGCGATATTCTCTTTCGAAAAATACATACGATATAAGGAATAATATTATTACCAAAAAGGGAGTACTAGACAAAGGGGACTGACAATTGACAAGTTTGACGGGTGCATGCCACAGCAGGCAACATTGTGACATTAAACACACAAACATTGTAATAAACTACCGCAAGAAACAGGTAAGCATTGAAGAGCAAGGTACCTTTCCTTGATGAATATATGAATAACTCTCTTTTGGTCTTGCATTGAATATTTGAAACCCAAGTAGTTGTTTCTTGTTTGTGGTAGTTAAGCGGCTCAAAAGAAAATGGAAAGTAAAAAAAATGAAGCAAAATCAATGCAAAGCCACCTTCTTTTTTGCTCTATCAATATCATCGCCCAAAGCTTTGTTCACGGTCTAAATGAGATAGGTGGCGGACTTTCCAACTCATTTCAAAACCAAAACAAACAAAACCCTCTCTTTGTTAGCTCCTTCTCTTCACTAAGCACCCAAATCTCTCTCAGTTTCCTTGTATCTATTAAAACCATATGTTCTTGTTTGGGAAATAGAGAGAGAGAGAGAGAGAGAGAGAGAGAGAGAGAGAGAGAGAGAGAGGGAGAGAGAGGAAGAGAGAGAGAGATCATCATGGCTGGCATTGCTGGTCCTTGTTCTTCTGGTGTGCTTTTTAGAGCAAGAGAAGCAGGAGGAAACATTAATGGAGCTTCCATGGCACAGTTTGATGGGCTTAGGCAAGTGGAGAGCATGCATATGCCTGTAAATGGCAACAAGTCAAATGGGTTTGCTTTTACTTCAGGTAATTCAGTTCTGTTATTGTCAATTTCCATTTTCATTCTCTTTTATAATGCATAGGTTCATTATAGTTAAAGAAGCCTAGACAAGACAGATTGAAATGACATTAATGGTCTTGTTTATAAACTACTTTGAGCTGCATGGTTGGATACTAGTTTTGTTAACACCAAGTTTTCATAAATTAGTTGTTTCCTTATATGGCTTTGCTAGTATTATATATCTTATCTTGGGAAATGTCAGTCTGGTCAATCTGAACTACTGATCATGGAGATTTTTGTATGAATTTGTGAGCTGTATAGCAAAATGGATCATTCCATTAATCCAAACTGTCATCTTTGGGTTGTGAAGCCTTAGATTTGTTAAGGATGAGAAAAGTGAGTTTTTCCCAATTGGGTGTCCAGCTCTAAGTTTTGTTATCCATTCTCAGCACCAAAATGCAGGACAATCAAGGCCATGGCATCTCCAACTGTTTCTGCTCCGAAACGAGAAAAAGATCCCAAGAAACGAACTGTAATAACAGGAATGGGTCTAGTCTCAGTTTTTGGAAGTGACATTGATACATTCTACAACAAGCTCCTGGAGGGAGAGAGTGGGATTACTCTGATAGATAGATTTGATGCTTCAAACTTCTCAGTTCGATTCGCGGGACAGATACGTGATTTCTCTTCTAAAGGATACATTGATGGGAAGAATGATCGCCGTCTTGATGATTGCTGGAGATACGGTATAGTTGCTGGCAAAAAGGCCCTTGAAGATGCCAACCTTGGACCTCAAGTCCTTGAAACTGTCAGTCACATTCTAGTTTCTGTAAAATGCATTTCAGTTTTTCACCCATTATGACATTGAGCACTTATATAATCCCGTGTCTTTATGTTTCATAGATGGACAGAACAAGGATTGGAGTGATTGTGGGGACTGGCATGGGAGGCTTAACTGCTTTTAGTGCTGGAGTGGAATCTCTTATTCAAAAGGGATACAAAAAAATTAGTCCATTTTTCATTCCTTACTCCATTACCAATATGGGGTCAGCTTTGTTAGCGATCGACACTGGCTTAATGGGACCCAATTACTCCATCTCTACTGCTTGTGCCACTGCAAACTACTGCTTTTATGCAGCTGCAAATCACATTCGAAGAGGTGAAGCAGATATTATGGTAGTTGGTGGGACTGAGGCTGCAGTCATGCCTACTGGTGTTGGTGGTTTCATTGCTTGCCGGGCTTTGTCTCAGAGAAATGATGAACCACACAGAGCTTCCAGGCCATGGGACAAAGATCGTGATGGTTTCGTTATGGGCGAAGGTGCTGGTGTACTGGTAATTGAAAAATCATAATATCATTCTTCTGCAGTGTGACTTCATGTATTTTAGTCCCAGCATCTGATTCTGAATACATTTTGTCTGATATATATGGCTGTTACTTCTTTTTTTTTCATTGAGGAAAGGTAATGGAGAGCTTGGAAAGCGCATTGAACAGAGGAGCACCGATAATTGCAGAGTACTTAGGAGGTGCCGTAACATGTGATGCTCATCACATGACAGATCCTAGGTCAGATGGTCTTGGAGTATCATCTTGCATAACCAAGAGTTTAGAAGATGCTGGTGTTTCCCCTGAAGAGGTAAGAGCATCTCCTAAACTAAGGAAGTCTTTGTTCCCCAATTGATTTATTTACTGCCATTTGAGATTCTGATTTAATGGACAAACATATAATTCACAGGTGAACTATGTGAATGCTCATGCAACATCCACACTAGCGGGGGATTTGGCTGAGTTTAGTGCAATCAAAAAGGTTTTCAAGGACACATCTGAGATCAAGATAAATGGGACCAAGGCAAGAACCCTGAATGTGATTTACATATTTACTTTTGATGAAATGATTTCAGTTAGATGTTAACCTGAAATATAGACTTATTTGCATTCTAAAAAAAACCTGTGTTTCTTCTTTTCAAGGAAATAATATATCTGTTTGAAAATTATAGTATGCAGGCTAATTTTCACACTTTAAGCCTGGCAAGAAGATTTTTTCACTCTCACTTTAATCACATGAAAGTAGTGCATTTTAATTATCTTGTTCTTTTTTCTTGTTTCAGTCAATGATTGGACATGGTCTTGGGGCTGCTGGTGGATTGGAAGCCATTGCAACCATTAAAGCCATCAACACTGGCTGGCTCCACCCAACAATTAACCAAGATGTATTGTACCGCAACCTTCACTTTCGCATACTTTTGCTTCAGTTAGTTCATTTCAAATTTATCTGAAGCAATGCTAATTGATACTTGTGGTTCATAGAACTTGGAGCCTGCTGTTACAATCGACACTGTCCCCAACGTGAAGAAGCAACATGAGGTTAATGTTGGTAAGTGCCTTGACACACTCTCACAAAGAAGCCAAAATATAGTCTCTGAGTTTCCTTGCATTCCAATCCATAGCTGTCTTGACTAATCAAAGATTTTCCATTTGCAGCTATTTCAAACTCATTCGGCTTTGGCGGGCACAATTCCGTGGTTGTCTTTGCCCCTTTCAGTCCCTAAACAACAACATTCAAGCCAAGAAGAAAAGCAGTATCTTCCCCTAGTCTTTCTCTAATTAGAACCATTCGCTTCTGTGAGTGTTTCCACTTCTCTGAAGCACACAAGAGGCTGAGTATGAGAATGAAGTGCACTGTGGAGAGTGCTCAAGCCCATGAAGCTCTTTTCACCATGTACAATTTTATCTCATCATGATCCTTGATGCGGCCGGATTTAGTGTTTTTGATTTTCTTTTCCATTGAATAAAACATGAAATCCATTTTCTTTTGTGCTGTTCTTGCCCAACAGTTGGGTCTGTTTTCAGATTTTTCCTGTTTGTAATGCAAATGAATTATTTTGTATTGACTATTGAGGGAGTTCAAAACATAAATGGCCTAATTGTAGAAACAATTCTGGGCTTAAATAAAACATTCATTTCACCTCCTTATCCAATTCAATTGGGCTTTGTTTGTTGAATTATAATTTAACTAAGGCATATGGCCCATGCCCTATTTTGATTTCAGTCCATAAACAAGGTTCTTAGATTCATATTATTTCAATCATGATAAAATCTTTTTATAGGTTTTTAGATTCTTCTGACCCCCAAAAAAAGGGGTTTTTAGATTCCAATCCTATTACATAAGGTTTGTTGATCATGGGTAGTATTTAAAAAAAATAAATAAATGTACTGTCAACACATAATTTTTTTTTTGTAAGGTAAACTGTCAACACAAAATAGACAGAAACATTAAACTTAACAACTTCCTATTTTCTTGTCCAAACCAACCTGACTAGGTATCTTAGCACTAATGGTCTAAAAAATACTCAAGTTCCATTGCCTTATTTTGACAATTAATGAAGACTAATTGCTACTTCTTCCATCTTAGTTCAAGATTTATAACCAAGAAAAGGACATGCTATCATCCAATTAATCACACTACTCTTTGTTTTTTTTGGTGGCCTCTAGATATTTTTAAGACATAATATTCTCTGGAATTAGCTATTGGGAAAAACTGCACTCCTCTGTGTCTCCAAGTGTCTCTATATTATTCTCCTAATTACTGAAATCAAATTAGATTAACAATAGTAATTAAAACTAAGCATGGACTTCAAGCCTTCTGAAGAGATTTCCATTTTACTTTGACTAAAAAATGAATAATATAATCTGAGAATGTATTTCCCCTATATTTGTAAAACAAAGATTAGTATTTATTTTATATAATAAAAAAACCCCACGGCTCTCATGTATAGCCATGATTAATTAATTGATTAATTAAGTTTTGCCTTTTACTTTTGCATACAGATGGAAGGAAAGTTCAAATCACAAGTAGAAAGAGATGCCTTTCAAGATGTATCAATTGGCTTCTTTTAAAATTTTGTCATTCCAACCACTAGCTGCAACTTGTTAGAGACTAAGACCTTGTTAAATCATTTCATTCTCAAACTAATAGGTGAAGTTGCTCCTCAGGCTCTCAATGTGTGGATCGTATTAGCACCCGATTAAATTAATTAACCCCGCTTTAGGCCGACATTAAAGTTTTAGTGACTACAGTAAACCCACTTGCTCTTGGTGGTGCTGGCTGCTGTTCTTGTTGGTGAATCAGTGAAATGTGACCTCCAAAACTATTTGCACATGGGTGACTTGATGTTGACAATTAGGACTTGATAAATCTACAGCTTTGCATCTCTTAATCTCTGTATTAGTATATTAAACTATGCCTTGTTAGTTGTTAACAGGCATATAATTATTTTAATCTTTTTCTAGTTCTAAAAGCTCACACTCATAAGCCCCTTGATGTTGAAGCATCATGAGCTTTAGTATAATGTATATAGGAATATGCCTCTAAAAGATCCTCAGTTTACTTCAACAAAATTCTACGCTATCATGTCTCATCTAACTTTCGATCGTCTTTGAATATTTTTCTTACGAGATTAATGAAAATTATTCGTACGAGGTTTACAGAGAAATCGTGAATTTTAGTCATGTAATTTAACATAGATTATTGAAATATTATGTGAAGCATTCGATCTTCAAGCGATTCAAAACACCAGTAACTAAATATAACTAGGCACACCAGTGTCGTTGGGGGCTATATTAATATCCTATAATATGTAAGGAAATGCTCATAAATTCATAATGGCCATTGATCTCCATGGGAGCTTAAAATTTTGAAGAAAATAATAGAAAGGACAGTAGGCCAGCAACTTTGCTATTTTTGTTTTTCCTCAGACGCGCATGGTATTAAGATAGTACAGTGGAGGAGAAGGACCAACTGGGGAAGGCCAGATGACCCTACTAACCTCATAATTAATGGCAAAGATTTTTGTCGATGATTTTATTTCCTGTAATTTAATAAAAAGCCCCCAGAAATTGTGCCCATTAGTCACCACCCACGATCTGGAAATGCAGCCAAATTAAACCCATTTTGTTTTTCTTCTTCTTCTTTTAACAAAGGACATGAACGTAAAAACATGGTGGATATTATAAAATTAAAATAATAAAATAATAAAAAAGGTAAGAACCACTAAATAAATATTTCAGAAAATAAGCAAAAATCTATGGCAGCCTGCAGAGTGTTCAATTTTTATTTGACCAAGATTTGGTCAAATGCAGCCCAATTCATTTGGTTCAACGACTAATTATGTTTCATCCTCATACTGTTGGTAGGTAAGCTAACATTAAACTCTTCGACCTTAATTAATTTAATAAATTACAATTAGCAGCTTAATTGGATTACACGCAAGTGCTTTCAGAAAATACAAATTTATAAATAAACCCAATCCTAGACATGTATTTATAAAAAAACTCAAGCACTATTTAAACATAGAAATACACCCAAAATCAACCTCAAAGTCAACTTTTTGGGTGTGTTTATAAATGGGTTTTGAGTGTGTGTAATGATGGGTTTTGGGTGTGTTTATATGTTTAAATAGTACTTGGGTTTTTTTATAATTTCAACACCCATTTTGGGTGTTTTAGTGAAACTCCCTTCAGAAAAAGCATTATTAGAGTCAGGAAAAATGTTCTTCCTTCTGCGCATGCTTATGAGATCCTCAGATTTTCCCATAAAATCTCAGCTTTGGATTTAATCCAAAACATTTGTTCTGTTTCTCATGGGCACCCAGAAGGTGGAAGAAAATAATAAAATTATGAAAATTAGTGCTTGAGTTTTATACACTTTTAGATGATTGAGTTGAGATATTAGCCTCTTAAAAATTTTCCCTCTCTAGGGTTTTTCTCCCAATTTGGAATGGAAAATGGCAGGAAGCTTATCAAGAGCTTGGGAAATGTAGGCATCCATGGGGCCTAATTTAAGCACTTAATTGATCCCCTATAGGTTTGTGATTTACCAATCAGAGCTTTGCAACATGGGATTTGACTTGATTAGTCATAAATAATCATGGTTGACCAATCTTGTTGGACTAATATGAGTTGCTTTGCATTATGTTGAGGCAGTTAAATTAGGAGGAATCTTTGCTTAGTAAGAGAATTTATTTATTTATTATATTTTCATTGATGGGATGGGATTGCTTGATTAAAGAAGTATATGTTTTTATTTTAACAATACCAACTTATGGTGTGTGCTGCTTTACACGCGTGTGGATATTAAACTAGGGTCATACATACTTCTTTTAAGAGTCTGATGTTATAGTGTACTTTGACATGTTTATTAATTTGTAATTAGATTAGGAGGAGTTTGATTGAAGAAAATTATATTCTAGATTCTTATTGAAGTTGTTTACTAAACCATATGAATTGAGGAGAGTTAGATTCCCTATTTCTATTGAAATTGTTTACTAAATCATATGGAATTGGGATATGAGTGGTATTAATTACTAAAATGTCCTCGTTGTGTTGGTTGAAAGTATATGATAAATTTTAAAATTTTAAAATTGTATGAAGATATAATGTAAAAAAAAGATGAATTCCTAATGAGTTAGTTCTCCAGGAACTAGAATACCACCTCTCACATAAGAATTGAATTTCTAATTTTGTGTAAGCCTCACTTACTTTTTAATTCTTTGATGTGAAGTAAATGCAGGAATCCTCTATAAGTGAAATTCAATTCCTGATTAGTAAACACACTATTAGCAAAACTTGTTAAGTAATTGAACTAATCTAATATCAACAAAACTTCTAGCAAAATTTGGGCTCTCCAAATCCAGCACTGCATCTCCTCCTTGTGGGGGAGAAGGTCTCTACCCCTCCCACATCTCTCTTCCCTGGTTTTTTATTTTCTTTCGCAGTTCATGCTCGAGCTTTCATGCCTCTTTGTTGGGGCTTTATGCCTCCTGTTGAGGCTTTATGTCCCTCTGCTGGGGTTTCATGCCTCCTATCTTTATTGTTCCCCCAAATCTCTACCATTACATTCCGCTTAATGTTATCCTTTGGTTGCTCTTTAATCGGTTTCTGCTTTCCTTCGTTGTAGCAGATAACCCGCAAAGCGATTTCTCGTGATTATCTTGGAAGGTGTGTAGAGCCACGACATTGCTACGGCTCGGGTGCTTGCACTAGGTCCTTCATATCCTGATGGTTATGTTTGTTTTGCCTTGGGGTTGCCTTGAGTGTTGCTGGTTTATGGTGACTGTTTGGTGGTGCTTGTGTTTTTTTGTGGTTTTTGTTGCTATGTTGTTTTTAATTTTGTTAGGTTTTATCAACTTTTAGTTTTATTTATCTGTTGATATCATTATATGGGGCAGTAATGAAATTTCATCCTTCAAAAAAAAAAAAAATCAACAAAACTTAAACGTAGGAAGGAAAAAAAGAAGTTCAAAAACCACTTGTTACTCAATAATTGGATAAACTTTCAAAATCATATCGATGATTGCTTGATAGAGACACATGAGAGCAGGGTGTTTTGAGGTCCCAAATCCCTGTTGCAAGTATCAAATGGTAAATTCCAAAGACAAAAAATCCAGAAAATTTCAAGTCCACATCATTTCTTCTGGCCTCAAATGAGGTCCAAAGTTGAAAGTCCAAACTCACAACCTGTGGGGCTGTGGGGACCAAAATCCTATTCACC